GGACTTCGGTATATTCGAGAAGCAACATCCCTGCACTTGCATGGTGCCAGGTGGAAGCCACATATATTATTATGTATTTATTTCAGCTGCCACATCCATGACTGAAAAAAGCATGTGTCTAGACCATGCATGGTAATATCATGTCCACGTACACACTGGAAGCTAGTCGGAGACGTTTTTTTGGTACAACATAGTATAGAGAGTATGTATGTCTTAGGTGAATTGCCTCTAACAAATGCATTTGAGAAAGATGTTTACATTGAAACTCGTATTTTGCAGAAAAACAAGGCTTTGCTGTACTAAACACGATGTAGGTACCTCTAATGTGTCGTATAACGTACTTTGTACTTCTGCTCCGCAGTAGCATGTGCCACGCATGCATACTGTGCGCATCCATCCTTCAAGGCAACTTTGAATTTGAAACGCAATACGGAAATTGCCGCCTCAGCAGCCCTCGTGGTTGCCGACCGTGGGGAATAATGAAGATGATCTGAGCGACAATGCACTCACACGGGTGATACTTCGTCTATTATATGGAGTATAACATATGTGCAACATATATTGTACAAAGAGATGAAGTTCCCCTTCTAAGGTTCCCCCACCTGTAATCATTGTCTCCACGCTAAGCCTATAATACTAGACTGTTTACTTAATATGGACGGTTGGGTATCAATCACTCAATGGCTCCCGGACCCCACAATGGGGCCCATTGATCCTTGTGGCGGCTTCGCTTACTTGGCGAATCATTCAACCAAAAGACATGCATGTCGTTGTCTTGCCGTACCGACACAGGGGGACGGCAACGGTCATGCATTGGGACATTGCCAAGCTGCGTACTCCGTATGCCTAGGATTATGACAGGGAAGTCAAGGCTAATGACGAGAATGAAAATTTATTTGTACATTTCACATTACTGGTGGAACTTGACTCAATCGGTCATGGAATGTCGGGGCTGTTACGCCTTTGATGTAGTAAGTATGTACTATTGTATATCGTAACTATGTTGTAAAGGACACTATGTGCATGCAAGTCTGACAACGGAGTTGAAAAATCCACAAAAAAGTCAAATTCATGCCATAAATATGTACTGAGAATGGGTCGATGTAATGAATGCAGAGGCCCAGGAAACTCAATGGGCTAAAGACAGAAGCAGAAACATAAATAATAATAAAAACGCCGAGTCCAACGCCGTGCTCCCTTGGGAATGAGTCATGAGCTGATGCAAGAGACAGGCAGGAGATATGTACCCCAAACAAGAACAGAAAAATTGAGAAATGTGATCAAAGACAGTAAGAAGGAGTAAAATATGGATCGCAAGGGAATGAATGGTGTAATTGGTATGCGCGCTCCCATAACTGCAAATCAGATCGCAATCAAAGATGTGTTCTCAACAGATCGAAGGTATCAACTGGCTGTAATGGTTTTGCTGGAAGGGTTTCAACACACGCTAAATCGCTAATATGAGGGTCGAGTGGTGGCTGTGCCATGTGTTTACACTCGGATCCGGGAGGATCGGAATGCAGATAGGTCAATCGACTCAGCCGAGAGAGACGAGTTATCATCAACTTCAATGGTGCCTGCCGTGGCCATTGAGGGCTTGCTCGCAGCAATGGCAGCCACCCTTGCCAGTCGCGCCGCGGAGGGAGTGGGGAGCGGTTTGGGAGGTCCTTCTTCCGCGGTTCCGTCTTGCTGTTTTTGCTCGTGCTCTTCTTGTTGTTTCTTTTCTGCCATAATACGGTCGACCTCGTTAATAGCCGCCTCGAGTATTATCTTGAACTTCTCCTCGACTCCGTCCAGTTCCGTTCCACAGTCGCCAGATCGAAGAACTTGGTAAGCTGCCGTCTCGCAAAGGGAATGGGCAAGTTCCAGTTGCTTGTCTGCAAAGTCGAAAGGGGAGTCTTTCCGGAGTGCACTGGTCCCAGAGATGCCGACAACTCCAGCTGTAGTCCGGGTGCTGCGAACACAAGAGATTGGCCCTGTCTGTCCCAGTCCACTTGGCATATTCATCATGCCTTTGCTCAACAAGCCCGCGCGCAGCCCTGTACGTGGCATCAATGACATCTGTCCTCGTCGGATGTTGTTCCTGGCCACCCCGATATCGCGTACAATTGTCTCGAGCATCTGCTGCGTATGGCCATCATACTCAATGATGACATTGTGCCGTGTGCTTACCAACGCGTTGTATTCTTCATTGGACTCGACTGATGGGGCTTCCTCTGTCGTGCGCTTGCGACCCGAACGTTGACCTTGCTCGGACGCGTCCTGTTGTGTCTCAACTGCCACAGGTTCTGGGCTGGGACCCTTTCTTTGTGCGATCGGAACGAGGTCATCGGCATGAATGGAGCAGACAGAGCTGTTTTTCCGTCGGCGGGGCTTGAAGTTTGCGTGGCGTCTGTAAGCTTCAGAGTATTCACCGTGTTTCTTGTGGGTATGTGCAGCAAGCTCTGAAACGCGGTTGATCCATGCAGGAAGATTGTCTTTCATGTGGGTGAAGGCCCCTAGAGCATCCATTGATGCCATGGCCATAATAACAAATATTCGATTGTTGGATCCCCGGGGTTGCCACTCTTTCACAGGTCGAAATCAAAGAATCGACAGTCAAATTAATATATCTAAGTGGCGTTTCCGGTGTTCGTTTCGTCGTAAATCGTGAGTTTGACCAGAATCGTAAGGGTTCGCGGCGAAGAGACAAAGTTGTGCCACGGAGAAGGGGGATTGCGGTGCGGGTGCGGGAGGAAGAGCGGGTTTCTTTAGTAGCCCCTCAATGATGAGCTGTGCGTATAGGATCTGCAGTTAAAAAATGCAAGTAACGGTGAAGCAGAGTCTGGGGAGGGGAAGTGAAGAAAGAAAAGAACGGGAATCGAGAAATCGAAGAGCAGGACTGGTATTGGTATTGGTATGGTAAATACTTTGTTTGGTGGGCCGTACCAATTTGTAAGAAAATGTTTATATGGGGCTACACAGTACATATGTACCTACCTAGGTAGGCAGTTTCGGTATGGAAAAGACACCCCTGTGATATGTATTTGATAGCCGGAATCCTGCACATCCTAGGGCCGACTGCATCTGCAACTTCTGTCTGTTCTTACAGAATTGTAGATGATTGGATCGCCTGTATCATAATAATCTCGAGGAGCGGTGAAGTAGGATTGCTGCAGGTGTCAGTGTCAGTTTATGCAGCCTAAGAGTAGTGTTGCTCTAGGGGACGGAGTACTCCGTATACCACTTTAGCTTTCTCTATGTAGTTGACCATTGGACGTGGTAACACGCCTCACATATGTTGTAGGCTCCAAAAAAGTTCATCAGTGTGACAGCAGATCATGATCATCCAAAGAAACGCTGAATCTAAGCCACCCATTCCTCGTAAGTCGAGTCTCCCGGCAACCGAAAGACATGGGGAGATTCTCGGAGATTGAATCAGAGGCTAGGAAAAAAAAAGCTGGCAGTTTTAATTCGAGAACCCTGTAGATATCAACACACGGGTACCTTTCCTAAGAGAGGTTTGACACGTAAACGGCGGCTTATTCCCTTCGGGGACCAAAAACCGGGGACTCGGGGATCATATACAAGGCTTCGTACCTAGGTATGTATTGTGAAAGACAAATACCCCCAAAATGGAGACCTGGTACACTATTGGGAGCCGGGCGATCCCTCCCGCGGAAGACCCGGAAGAGTCCGTGGTTGGAGGCCGGGGGGTCCCACCGCACTGATGGGCAGTTGTGGTTGGCTGATCGATGTAAATCCATCAGGGATTGGTATCGTAAACTTCCTGTGCACATTTGCTAATACAATACTACTGGGTACTTCCCTGTACTCATATCAGGTCCCCGAACCCTCCAGACTCGATATTCTCAAATAATATTTTAAAGACTGCCATGGAGTACGTATGTTGAAGTTTCTAGGTCTAGACTTTTACGAATTTTACACGTGATACACCAACACAAATCTTGGGATTCTAGTGTCCAAAGATTGCCCAGGGAAATCATTACCTACCAATACGGAGTTCACATGTCGACCTTATAGGGCTTGATGTTTACAGGGCACAATTCGACTTCGAAAATCCATGGATTAAATAGGTGTCCAGGAACAGGAACACTCGAATAACAAAACAAACCAATCCATGGTTGCTGACCAGGCTCACGTGGCTTCAAGCCACGTGAAATATCCAAACCTGGTCGAGCACGTCCCCATATCAGGGATCGAAGAATTTCCTCCTCAGATGAAAACCAGTAGAATCCCCCATAACATCTCAACCGACCGCAAATATCCATCCCAACGGATGAGACTGCTGTGTCTTTTGAACCGTGATGGAAAAAACTCCTGGAGGAGGATGTGTTCCGCAAGGTCTTTCCCCTACGGAAGGAATGTCCGCAATAATAGTCCCGCGCAACTTTTGTCACACTGACTCGAAGTGGAATGAGTTAGCGAGTTCCGTACTGTCGGATCGCGCTCCTACAGTCTCAGCCGCCTTCCAGACGGTTGACCTAGAACGAGATTCTATGCAACGATCTTGGTTGAACGCTGTTGAAAATGAAAGAAAGATAGATCAACGGGAGTTCTCTCTACGGCATCAGAAATCCCCCCTCTGGAACCACTAAGAAATCTGTCAGACCGGATCTTAACCACTCCTCTAGCAGCGAAGACTCGTCTGACCAGGTACTCTTGATGGGTTTCCACGAGGCCAGGCGTCCTCTACGCTGTCCAAAAGGATGTTTCCCTCTGAAATGAGATGGAATCCACGAGAAAATTTGAAGAACCCTTGTATTAGAAGCGATCTGATGATGAGCTACTCCCTGAAGAATAAGAATGTTCCGTTCCGCTGGGAAAATCCGCCAGAAGGCGGAATCTCTTCCTGCTTTCACCGCCCCTATTTATCCGGCTGGAATTATCCATATCAGATCCTCAATCCTCGGGTTACCGCTCGTCAGCATCCCCTACTGAGAACCAAAGAAATCAGGACCAAGGCTTTCGGAAGGTGCGAGGATGAACGCTGAGAATGCTTAACGACCAGAGACGGCCCAAGTCTGAATCCAGCCGTCGACGGTGCGCTGGATGGTGTGGGCAGCGGCCATGGTGGCGCGGTGAGCTTCATCGAAGGTCTGCATGCACCTCTCGAGGTCCTGGAGGTTTTCATGAAGCTCATGGGCCCAGACAGTGTGGACGGACATGGTGGAAGCAGCCTGAAGGTTATCGGCGGCGAGGTTAGGGGCCTCGTTCTGGGACTCGGCAGCGGCCTTGTTCTTGGCACGGCGACTACGCTTGGTGGATTTCTTGACCACCGGCTTCTGCTCGGCCTCGGAGGGCACGGAAGAAAGCTCGTCGCTGGAGTCGGCGGGAGCGGGACTCATCTCCTACATCCATGTGTTAGCTTTTGCGACAAAGCTAATGAGAAGTCAGTGGTAGGTCTATGTTACATACCTTGGTCCTGGCCTCGGCGGCCTTGCGGCGGCCTCGGGTGGCAGCACCGGGGGCAGCCACAGGAGCAGGAGTGGGAGCAGGGGTGGGGACGGAGGCGGGAGCGGAAGGAGAAGGCATGCTGGCTGGGACGGCTTCAGCCTCGGCGACCTTCACAGGTTGGTTACGGTGGATGCACCGCTTCTTCTTGGCTTTACAGTCAGCACAGGCAGGGTTTTCGTTAGGCATCTCGGAGTCAGACACTGTTCGAACGTGTCGTTCGTCAGTATTATGTTGGGATAAGGCGGGTCAAGAGATCGGTTTTGAGGGAAGTTACTTTTGTTAATGAGATAGGATGAAATGAGAAATGAAAGCTAATTGTCGTGCGTGTGACGCATAGTAAGCGCTGCGGTCGAGTTGCGACAAGTTGGCAAAAGTGAAGATTCTTTCAGGTGGGCGACGACCAGTTAGCAAAACGACAACAACGACAACACGACAGCATGCCAAACCAAGCAAATGAAGCATATTAGGAAATCCCAGTCACTCGGCGCAGCTTGACATAAAGACCCACGGAAACTAACAACACTTTGCTTGTTTTCTTCTCTTTTTAAACATATTCTATTAAAGCGCATAGATACAGAGCCCTATAACCTAGATGAGAACATCCAACCTAGGTAGGTTATATCATGCAAACATCAAAACAAGGCTGTGATTACACATCATTTGGATACACCTGGCAAGTTATTCAAATCCATGGATGTATAGAAACCAAGCGTCTTTGCATTATTGATATAATCATGGCCACAATTCAATTTCATTCCACTGAGAACCACTGTTTCCCTCAATCAATGTCCAGTTCCATCTTTTGCCGTTCTCTTGGTCAGTAAGATCTAAACGCTCAACCTCCTCGGGCTGAATGACGACAACTCGGAAATTTGCTCGTGCAACAGGGTCATGGAGGTCCAAGACCTGTTGACCCAGTTTAAGATCCAGTTGGCTGGGAGTTGAGGATCTAGGTTTTCCAGGTGGAGGGTTTCGGAAAGAACCTAGATTCCCAGTCAGTATGAGCTGGCGATGACAGGCAAACAGGGCCTTTAAATCTGGCATAAGAGCAATGTAGAAATAGAAGCACTTGCACCAAAGAACCAAGATGGAGACAACATACCTCTTGCAACAGGGGAGTGGTTTGCAAAGTACTTTGTGACAGCGCTTTCCCACGTCCACTTCGCAATGTCACTGTTATTATCCCCCTTCAGCCTCAACGCCTTTTTTATCTCATTTCGGGATGTCTTCTCTTCCTCTGCATCCTCTCCACCGGGGTTGCCAATTGCATATGCCGTCCCCTTAATGCGCCACTGAGTCATGAGATCCTTCAGCCAGAACACGGCCTCAATCGCATGACCCGAGGACTCCAGTTGAGGAAGCTTATCCATTCGAGCATCGGTAGTGAATGATAGCATGTCACTTTCGAACACGGGTGGATTACCACCACCTTCTACCTGCTGATCCATAGCTTCCTGGCCCTTAGGGTGGAGCTCGAGTTCTGGGAAGAAACCACGACAGCCGCAAGTCCGCAGGCGAGGTACAGGACGTCGTTGAGCATCGTAGCCAATTGTTGCAATAGTGAATTCATATCCAGGGGTTTGCTTGAGATGAGAGTCAAGGAGATCGCGCCAGGGGGCACGCTGTGGGTTCTCTGACGGTTTGCTCATTGTGGCAGGCTTTGTTAAGAGACTAAAAGAACCGCTGGGAGAACTTCCACTGTATGATTTGATTGCACTGAGGCGCCGTAGGGCCACCTGCAGAGAGCTCTGATGGCTGACAGAAGCGGGAGCTGGAACCATATATCAGTATGAAGGTCTTGGCCTCTTTCTCTCGCAAACGCCGACGATCGGATTGATAGGGGTAGAACTGATTTCTGATATCGTATTCAGCCTGCAAGATGAGATTGAGAGAATGTTGATTGGAGAGTACGCGTACATATGTCGTACGAAGCAAACTTAGAGTAGAATTAGAGATAAGCGTAAAAAGAAGAGTGACATGGACCATCGGCGACATCACGTTTTGATGGTCCGTGCGTAATTGTTCTGCAGCGTCTTTTGTGGAGACTCGCAATCACCAACCAAAAAGCCCACATGGAACGCAATTGACAGAAGTTGCAATGCATCGATTTCAAAGGATATGTATCTGGAAGCGATTGGTAAATGAACGCCGATGTGAGGTGGCGTTGGCTGTCAATCGGCCGATATTCTCACCCCATATCTACTCAATGAACAAATCGGCCAGGCAGTACTCAGCAGCACAAAATGTCCCTTGCGAGTTTCCAACGCGCCAGCTAGAATCCAAAACCCATCCACTAGGATGGGAACGGATTCAAGCTCAGGTTGAGCCTTATTTCGCCAACAATTGGGATTTTGCCAGCATGAAAGAGAAAAGGGGGTTTCTTGGTCTTGGGGTATCCCGCGCCTTTAGTCACTTTTCCCCTTTGACACTAGATTGTCGCATTGATGTGACGTGCAAGATGCTTTATATGTCTTTCCTCGTTGATGGTGAGTCTTCATGGCCGGGGGTTGGGGTTGGACATTTATTGACCTTCGAGATAGATCAGCTTGAGAAAATGAGTTTTACACAAATGCTGTCGTATCGAGACCGGGTCATGAAAGTTGCCCTTGGAACAGTGAGCCCTAATAGAAGTATCTCTCTTGAGTGGATGCTTCACGATACTGTTATGGGCATGCGGAGTATGGACGAGGTTCTGGCAAATGATGTTGTTCAGGGTTTTTGTCAACTTCTGCAGGCCCAGACATCCCAGGAGAGAGCCACAATAAATACTCTCGGATCATACCTCAAGTTCAGAGAGACAGATGTGGGCAGGCCGTATGTACTGCAGCTGTTGTTTATTTTCGATATTATTGTGGAGTACTGACGGACATTTAGACTCTACACAGCTCTCATTAGATTCGGTGCCAAGCTCTGTCTCACTACTGCCGAACTCAAGAAGACTGCCGCCTTGGAAAGCACCGCATTTAGGCATGTCAGTGTTATGAATGATATCTATAGCTGGGAGCGAGAATGGAAAGTATACCAGGCGAACCCAACCGATGGTGCCCAGCCATTCTCCGCCATCTACATCATTGCCAACGAGACAGGGCTACCATATACGGCGTGCAAGCGATTGATGTATAGCTACTGCCGGGAATTGGAGCTCGCTTTCAAACAATCCAGCGATGAAATTCGACACAACAGCATGGAAAGCTTGACACATGAACTAGAGATGTACATCAAAGGTCTGGAATACTTTATGTGCGGCATTGAGTTATGGAGTCAGTGGACTCCACGATATCGACAATAAGGGCTCATATTTTTCGGATCAGGTCTATCTTGACGCGGGTTCTATTCGTAACCCGACCCTTCGCGTTTACATATATGAATATTTGTTTGAATAGGATTTTGACCAAGCCGTCATCAAACTTTAGTCCCAACACTTTTTGAGCTGAAAGCTCACAAAGCTCGGTGTCGACCTATATACCTTGACGATACCGAAAGTGCGTCCTCCTTTCTGAAGATCATCTTCTCGGCTTTGACCCATTCAAAACCTGGTCGGTCAAGGGTATTTTCGACATCTCGACACAGCCCAAAGTTCGTTGAAAATTGATGATTTTGGTGACTCGTGGGTTTCTAACAATTCTACTGATGCCTCCTCACCTTCCCTCGTCTTACTTTTTCTCTCTCTCCCCCCTTCTATATCATCGATTTCAGATTAAATACGCAAGTAAGACAATGTTTTTAACATATTCAGGATTAGACACCCTCAAACGTTTATCAATAGCCGAAACCGCGGACCATCTACTACCCTAGTGGGTGAGATGACCACACTCTTCCCGGTCCCTACGGGGACGGATGAAAAGCCTCTTGGTGTATGTGCCACTAAAACAAACGGATCAGCTTCGCCAAAGGATGGTAGGTAGATGCACTAGAGACTAGCCTTCTGAAATATCTCGATCGTTTTCAGCGAGGGAACTAGTTTTTAATCTAATCGGCCCCCCTTGAGCCCGATACCCTCCGGAGGCAAATCGGGGACAGCATTGAGCACGTGGAAAATCGGCACTAGCCCAGATGGTGGGGATTACCCGCAGCCCACCTTGCTTACAATGCCAGCGATGGCTTGGAAAATAGGCCGGCCCCAGTGTGTCACAGTTGGCGGACTGGGCCTCTTGGCCTGGGGGCGGCCTCTTTGGGCTCATGCCCCATCCGGCTCTTTCGATCCACTGGGAAATTGAATTGTTGTATCTGAATAGTGTAGAAGCGTATAATCCAGTTTCATTGGTCGTAGCAACTCGGTAATCGCGTGGGAGAGGGCAGAAGCGCCCACGTTGTGTGCCGCTGCAGTTTCTGTGCCGAACCGCTATCGCGAGGGTTCGAAAGCTGGTGGATACGGTTAAGTTCCACTGGAGCGGACGTGGAGGCATGGACAATGGGTGCGGTGCGGCAGGTCTGGAGCTGCTCTGGTTCGTAGCCTTCCGCTGCGACGCCCGCATTGCAGGCGCGAGAAGCTTTTTTGCTCATTAGCAGCCGAATAAGAACCATTCATGTTACCTAGGTACAATCACACGCTTACCATCTTTGCCGGAGGTAGGCTTTTAGGTGGAAGTTGCGGCTCAATCTCGATAATTCCACTGGAGTCCCATTGCAGAAAGCCTCTCGTTGATTGTCCTAGTGACCCGATCTGTGGTCATGTCGTGGGTGTCCTCATATCCATCAATTTTGTCACACTGGGCCTATTTTCCAAGCCATCGCTAACATGGTCTATCGACTTTGGTTGAGTTGGGCAATAAAGATCCCTTTCTGAGATTCAAACTGGTAGTTGGGCAAATGTTGGAAGATTGATGTATCAAATGCCAAGAGGGAAGGAGCCTTTAAGCAACTGTGTATTGATTTTCGAGATAATCCATATAAAATTAAATATTACGTACATTTAGATGATAACTTATTCCTGAGCTTCCTCGTTCTTGGTTTTCACTGACTGTCTCTCATCTCGATAACCCTTAAATGCGTAGATCGAACTAAGGAACATTCCTAACCCACCAAGACCAACAGCCAAATATAACGCGCCCCTATATCCTTTCAGGACATCCTCGGGGGTGTGACCTCCATTGTTGACGTGAACTTCCACAGTACCCGCGAGTCCTAAACTCAGCGAGATGCTGTAGTTGACGATAGTAGTCACCAGTGATGCAGCGACACCTTGATGCTTGCGCTCGACCGCATTCGACAACATCAGAGTCGCTGCAGGGAACGACATATCCATACCCCAAGGGATAACTAACAAGCAAACAAATGTCAGTGCCCAATAGGTTTGGTGAACTGGAGCAATTGCTATCAAAATATTGCCCAATGTGAAGGCAGTCATCGACAACACCATGATCATCCCGGGGCGCATACGGCCCATTAACCACCCAGTGACAACACATGCGATGATACCCACCGGACCGACAGGAACGAACTGGGCAGATGCCAGGAGAGGAGTCACCTGTCGGAACTTCTCTTCGAATCGCCAGAAGTAGTAGATCCAGATTCCGAATGAGCCCCAACCGCAGGCAACACAGCCAAGGACAAACGAGACATCGCGACTGAATGCGTGGAACGGAATGAGGGGGTGTTCGGCCACTCGGAATTCGACATAGAAGAACGCAGCGATCAACGAAATTCCAATTATCAGAAGGACATAGACGTAGGGCTCGCTCCATCCCACGATAGGCGCCTGGTTCCATGCAATGTTCACAAGAACTAAGCCGCCGATACCGCAAGCTCCACCAAGCGCGTCGAGAGCTTTAAGCAGGCCGAAGAAGGATTTGTCAAAAGGAGTGTCGTGATGAATGGACGGAATGACGAGCAGGCCTAATACAGCGCAACCGAGAGCAACGATAGCCTGGGTCCAATACGTCCAGGGCCACCAAGCCAACTGGGAGAAGATTGCGCCAAAGACAGACCCCAAAAGGGCACTGTTTGGCGCAGCAGCACCGAAGATGGCGAAAATCATATTCTTTCTCTTTCCTGGCTGGTATGTCGCTCCAAGAAGAGCCAATGCGTTAGGCATCAGCAATGCGCCACCGATGCCTTGGAAAACACGTGCAAAGATGAAGAGGATATAGTTCGAATAGACGCTGAGGCCTGCGACAAGAGACCAGAGTGCAATCCAGCAGAATCCGATGATGAACATTCGACGATAACCGAATAGATCGCCGCACCGGCCAGACACCAATATGAATGTGCCAACAGTCAAGGAGTACCCAGCCATGAACCAGCTCAAAACGCCGGGGTCATCAATACCAAAGCTATCACCGACAATATCAAGCGGCGAAAGACATACTCCGATATTGGTTTGCGTCATAAATTGACCCATGCAAACAATGGCAACAAAAAAGACCTCTTGGATGGGCGAGAAAGTCGAAGCGAGTGACCGCGCCGACTCAACTGGCTTTAGATTCATATTGTCGTCCCCCATGATCAATCAGAACCATATATCCAACCTCTCCAGGTGTTGGGAAAAAGAGTGAATGGCATGAAGTGGAAGATTTGAGTCGCCGGTAGTCTTTCTTGAATCCATCTCCCGTCTTTTTTTTTAGGTTGGCCACCAGCCCTATGGCGTTAAAAAAAATAACTGGGTCTTCCCAGGAGAGATGGAAATAGTGTTGTCCCTGATTATTGCTTGTCCTGTTAAAATTCACAACCGACACCCTTTTGTGGGCCACTACGTGAATTTGATCCACCGCGAACCGCGAAAGACGTTCGGCTTCGGAGTTGACTTTGATCATATCAGCAAGACGAAACCCCAAGACACTCAAACACCAAAATGAGGAGTCTTACTTTAGTGCTTATGATATCTGAATGTCGGGAAAATGGGAGGGAGTCACTCTTCATTCGATGGCACTGGGTGTGTCGATATTTCAAGGAATCTTATATCCGACAATTCGGATATCCGGCAATACGTTCTTTTACGCGATAATGCACAACGCCGTGGTTCTCTGGATTTATCTATTACGTATTTAGAAGGCACGCGTTTCAAACGTCGATTATTTTCTATAGAATCACCTGAAAGTCCTATTCGCAATCCGACGGTATAGGACAAGTTTGAGTTCCGGACTATTGACGAAAACATCAAGGATGACTTCTCGTGGCTTGGAGGTGCGATAAGTCTCACTAACAATTTATTGTACTTCTAAGAAACCAATTAGGCCGGACATGAACACATCAAGTCGCGTCCCTACCCCGAACACGCGCCCAGTCAAATTCATAGTCCTGACGGAAACCAATCATATTTTACACATTTTGTACCGCTTATATTTCCTATTCTGTGGCTAGATCTTCGCATGCTTCTAGCTATAATACAAATAAGTGGTAAAATATCTAAATAAAAAGGACATCTAGAAAAAAGACAGTCTCAGAATAGTTTCCCATGCTAGTCTAGTGTAAGCGGGTGCAAGCGAACGAATGCCGTTAGAACAAAGCCACGAACCGAACTAGCCCCCAAGAAAGAACTGCGATGAACCCGTAGAGATAAAATCGGTTAAGGTGCAGTTCGACTTGTTTTGAATATTGTTGAGAATGGCATATTCTTTTTTCTACCTCCAAGCTCGTCATATTGAACCCAATCACCCTAGAAGAATCCCGCCAATCACTTGATATTGCGTGGCAATCGCCATACTCAGTCTCTATTCTGTCAGATAAGATATCTACTAACTTCTAGCCAACCAAACAAGATCAAGCTGTCAAAAGAAGTTAGATATGGTGGAGAACTGAGAGCCCTGGACCCCCGGAGTGATTATCAAGCACTGCGGGGGGTCAACCGGGAGTTCCGATTAAAAACATCGACTTTTTCTAAATGGTTCAAGAGACTTCAGAGACCTTATTATCTCATTCAAGAATTGATTTTTTTTCCTTATAATTAAAATACCCTATCTGCAACGTCAAACCTGTCACCTGCAAGACCGTTAGATCGGCAATCATGGCAGCTCCACCCTTGGACCTGTCGCACCACTTGTCCTACACAACGAAAAACAAGAAACCCAGCAGTATCAAGGATTTCTATAAATACTTCCAGATACCCGGAATTGCTAATTTCGCTGGAGGTAAAGATAATTCCAAGATTTACCTATTTACTAATTCACTTTTCACTTCTGCATATACTAACTCGACTAGGTTTACCACATGCATCCTATTTCCCCTACGATACACTCGAAGCAAAAGTCGCTCTACCCCAGCGCTTCGAATCCGGCAAAGATAATAGAGATTCGCACTCCGTCCGAGTAACAGTCCCAAAGGAAAGCCCTACACCAGATGTCACTCGCAAAATCGACCTAACAACCGCCCTCCAATATGGCACCGCGGAAGGATACCCTCCTCTAAGTACTTTTCTGCGCTCGTTCGCTAGAGACCATCTCCATCCAAATGTACCCTATCTGGGTGGCCCGGATGTGTTGTTGACCTGTGGATCGACCGATGGCTTTGCTAAGGCCATTGAAGCATTCACGGATATATGGAGTCCCGACCGGGATTGGATCCAGCAGCGGGAGGGTGTCTTGTGTGAGGAGTTTACTTATATGAACGCTATTCAGACAGTGTCGCCTCGCGGCTTGAATGTCGCTGGTGTCGCGATGGATGGTCAGGGTATGCTTGCTACTGGGAAAGGGGGATTACAGGATGTGTTGGAGAATTGGGATTTCCGGCGTGGCAGACGGCCTCATTTGATGTATACTGTGCCGTGAGTATATTGGAAAAGTAGAAGAAAAGATAATGTGAATGTGTGCTAACAGGATGATAGAACTGGCCAAAATCCCACTGGTGGAACACTCTCTGTCGAACGCCGAAAGGAGATCTACGCCCTCTGCCAGAAATACGATGTGATTATCATCGAGGACGAGCCATATTGGAACTTGCAATTCCCATCCAGCCATGAAAAGACGGTTCATTACCGTGGCTCATCCTCGGAACCAAATCTATACACGAAGAACTACAACGCAGAGGGCAAGTCCTCAGGCTATGCTTACCTGGACTCACTCGTCCCCTCATATCTATCCATCGACACAGAGGGTCGAGTAGTGCGACTCGACACATTCTCCAAGACCATTGCACCGGGTAGTCGTCTCGGCTGGATCACAGCACAGCCGGCTATCATCGAACGTCTCACTCGCATAACAGAAGTGTCAACTCAACAACCATCCGGATTTGTTCAATCGCTAGTAGCGGAAATGATTGTTGGCCAACAGGATGATAAATGCGGGAAATCATCCAAACAGATCGCTTCGGGCTGGCACATGGATGGTTGGGTACGGTGGCTGGAAGGGTTACGCGCCGGGTATGAAACGCGCATGCAGGCTATGTGCACGGTTCTAGAAGAGAATAAGTATCTCTTCTATGGATCGAGTGGAGACCACGTCGATGACTGGGAGGTCGTTGATCGAGTGCAAATGTATGATTTTGTCTGGCCGATGGGTGGCATGTTCGCGTGGGTCGAGATTCGGGTTGATACTCATCCCTTGCGCTCACAATATTCTCCCGAGCGACTTGCACAGGCGCTTTGGATTCATTTGACCAAGAAGCCTCATCTTTGTCTTGTCGGTCCTGGATCGATGTTTGCTGCAACACCTACGTCCGCCCAGAAAGCGTATCGGTATATTCGTGTTGCTTTTGCCCCTATGGGGGTTGACGAGGTGGCGCCTTTCACCCAGAGATTGGTGGAGGGGTTCCGGTCGTTTTGGCTGCGGAAGGAACTTGATGGTCTGAGTGGCGATGAGGATGCAGTGGATGCTTTGAATTTACCGGGTGTCAACTTTTTAGGGAACGGATGCTGATAGACTGGATAATCTGTTTTCTCGAACTCCGCCACGATAAGTACGGCCCTTCTCAGTGGGCAGTGTCAGTTTGTGAAGAGCTTCTGTCCTTAATTCAGGGGTTGGTATTGCTAGTCCAATGTTTCCTATGCTAGTCTGTAGTGATGGAATAATTGATTCGCCACGGCTAACAGGTTGTCAAGGATCTAGGCAACCTCCGTGCCACATTGGAGGCCTTTTACGAAGTAGTAGTATGTGTCAGAATCGAGTTTATTTCCGAAGCGGTTGTCAGTGCCCTGCATCTCTCTAACAAAAACTGTTTCTCTATGTAGACTGTTGGCCAATCACGATATTGTACTTTTGTAGAATACTCCGTCATTCGGGGCATAAATCTCCGCATTATATCCACAAGTGGCGCCACTCGGGGACTAACATTTTGGGCCGATGAAAGCCCAGTTCAACATACTTTTTTTTTATCAGATCAAAAGTGTAAATCTAAAGTTTCAAAAAAAAAAACCCCCGTCGAATCAGAAAAGTATCTATTTCGAGCATGGTTATAATGGTTACCTAGACATAGGATATTGGCATTGCATAGCCTGTGGCTTGCACAGCCTCCTGATTGCACAGCCGGATATAATATCCCCGTTTTACTAAAACAGCCAGAAGTGAGTGAAACATATGGAGCCGGGGTCTTATCTTTTGTGTTTTAGGCATGCCGAATTTCGGCAGGGATGGCCCCCGTTCGGAAACGAATAAGATCGGCATGGTCATTATTAATCCCGATTCTTCTTCCATGGCTTCTAAGGTGGGTCATATCTGTTCCTGACTAAAGATGAGTAAGATTTGATGCGGCCATCTTCCGCAGATTAAGTGGATCTACAGAAAGGATTATGGCAGCAAATAGGGACTATCAAGTAGAGACACAAGAAGTTTAACATACTTATCGGCGCTTTAACGGCAAAACAACGGAGATTAGAAGTGTCAACATTGTCCCTTATATCCACAAATGCAACCTTATAAGGGTCTACTTCTCATTTAGGCCCCAGCCCGGCTTACACTTGGCTATCCGATTTCGGAATGGAATGCCTAGTGGTAGACTGTGGGTTCTTCTGTTCTTCTCTTCACCGGGTAGATCGCGTGTTGAGGGATTAGTCTGATCTGACAAAGAGTTCCGCCATGTCCCTGGATCCAAGGTGGATCGCGATGCTTGCAAATCATATTGTGACCCTGAAGTATAAATCATCTTGTAGCCTCGAGGTAAATTGTTAAGAAAAATTAAAAGGTTCTGTTATATCCCTCGGGCTACTTTCATTAAACCCTCTCTCTCAGCGCCAAAATTATATCAATCATGCGCAGCCTCATCGGCCTCGCACTGCTTCCACTGGCAGTGGCAGTTCCCCATGCCTCACACAAGTCAGACTCGACTTACGACTACATCGTCGTTGGAGGTGGCACCAGTGGTCTCGTTGTTGCAAACCGATTGTCCGAGCAAAAGAACACTACCGTTCTCGTCATCGAAGCCGGCGGCTCCGTATATAACAACCCAAATGTGACCAACACCCTCGGATACGGTAAAGCGTTCGGTACAGACATTGACTGGGCCTACGAAACGACAGCCCAAGAATATGCCGGTGGATCCTCACAAATAGTGCGTGCCGGAAAGGCACTCGGAGGAACATCGACCATTAACGGCATGGCGTACCTCCGTGCCCAGGCAGCCCAGATCGACGCGTGGGAGACTATTGGCAATAAGGGCTGGAACTGGAAGACTCTCCTCCCCTACTTCAAAAAAAGCGAGCAATTGCAAGATCCGGCAAAGTACCCATTCTTGGATGGATCGGGTGTTGCCTTTGATCCGGTCTACCATGGCTTTACTGGGCCCCTGAAGGTTGGCTGGTCTTCAACACAGTTGAACGACGGTCTTGCTCAGAAGTTGAACGCTACCTACCAGAACCTCGACGTTCCTATTCCATACAACCGGGATGCCAATAGCGGAGATATGGTTGGATACAGTCTGTATCCCAAGACGGTTGATTCTGAGCTCAACATCCGTGAGGATGCTGCTCGTGCCTACTATTATCCTTACCAGAACAGAACCAATCTCCATGTCTGGCTCAACACCCACGCCAACAAGCTTACTTGGAAGGATGGCCACGAGGTCACCGCAAATGGTGTCGAAGTCACTCTTTCCGACGGCAAAAAAACCGTGGTGAAGGCTAGCCGTGAAGTAATTCTCGCTGCCGGCGCATTGAAATCGCCCGTTCTGCTCGAGCTTTCTGGCGTTGGAAACCCAGAGTAAGCATACCACCGCCCCCGTTCAATATTTGAGGAAAGCTAACCGAAACTCCCCCACTAGCATTCTTTCCAAGCACGGAATCGCCACCAAGATTAACCTGCCAACTGTCGGCGAAAACTTGCAGGACCAAATGAATAATGGCCTCCAGTTCGACTCAAAGAAGACCTACAGCAACGACAAGAGTGCTGACTACGTCTCCTACCCCTCAGCTGCCCAACTCTTCCCCAACTCCACAGCACTCGGAGCCGATCTTCTCCGCAAGCTTCCCGCTTATGCAGCCCAGGTTGCATCCGCCAACGGCAACATCACCAAAGCCCGCGACATATACCGCTTCTTCAAGATCCAGTGGGATCTGATCTTTAAGGATGAAATTCCTGTCGCGGAGATCCTGCTATCGGCCTCTGGAGCCTCATACAGCAGCGAATACTGGGGGTCTGTTCCGTTCTCTCGCGGCAGCGTTCACCTTTCTTCCGCAGACCCCACAGCGCCGGCTATCATTGACCCCAAGTACTTCATGCTGGAATTTGATCTCCACGCTCAGGTAGAGGCGGCGCGGTTCATTCGTGAGATCTTTAAGACCGAGCCATTTGCTGATATGGCTGGTGCTGAAACTAGCCCTGGTCTTTCTACTGTTGCTGCTGGTGCTGATGACGAGGGCTGGGCTGATTTCATCAAGAGTAAATGTACGTGTATCATTCGCTTTGCTGAGGGATGCTTGGAGGAACTTCCATCGCTAACATTTCATTCAACTAGACCGATCAAACTTCCACCCGATTACCACAGCTGCCATGCTGCCCAAGGAGCTTGGTGGTGTTGTCGACTCATCGCTGAAGGTTTACGGAACCTCGAACGTTCGTGTTGTCGATGCTTCTGTCATGCCTTTCCAGGTCTGTGGTCACCTTCAGAGCACCGTGTATGCGGTTGCTGAGCGTGCGGCCGATATCATCAAGGGGCAGTTGTAATGTGGTATCGTGCTCCTAAATGGAAATATTGTATGCATATTGTTATAACAACTATTTTATTGTGAACGACAATAATCGACCGTTTCTGTAGCCTCTGTCCTTGACGACGCAGGTCTTCAGTAATCCGATATATTTGGCTCAGGATCATGTTATTGACGTTATATTTAATCCAACACTCTATTGTCCTTTGAGATGGCTTTTGAGATGTCCTTTTTTAGATACATTCGCGTTGTTATATACTTAGATTTCTGATACCATAAATTTCAAGAAGGATGGGTGACTTCAGTGAAAGACTTTTGTTGCATAATATCAGAAGAAGTACCTATGTAGATGGATGGTGTCGCCACACCCACAGAGTAACTAACCAGGTCCAACTTCGAAGGGGGTATGCGGTCCCAACGAACGAGGTTTGTGGGTCTGGGGGTTTTTACTTTTTATATACTTGACATGCCTTGACCTGTTGTTCCTTCTAGGATCCTACCTACTATGTATCCATGATATCGTCTTGCTTATGATTATTTGGAAGGTTATATACAGCAAAGGAGTACAATTATCATATTAACTTCGGAGAAATTTATTTCAAAACAGATATAAACAAACAATCAGTTACCACACATATCGGAATTTTCGGTCTTCTTTATCCGTCAGGTCTGTCTGTGGCAACCCGTTTTCGTCCAGTTTGACTTTTTGGTCCACACTAACATCACCCGAACTGGCAGCCTGTTTATCACGCTGCTTATTGTCCCAGATACACAAGAAGCGGAATAAGATCACTACCACGAAAAGTAGGCACCATGTCACAATGGATGTTATCACACCCTCGGTATAACGAGGCTTGTGAGTCCATAGTTGAGGCGAGGCAATGCAGGCAGCACAGTAACCGATGAAAAACATACCGTTCACAACAGCACGCTTTGTATTTCCCTTGAAATTCGATGCCGCAAGCGAGAGAAGTGGTGTCATGGAGGCGGTAATACATGAAGACTGCAAAAAAAGGAGTTAGCAACATAAAAATGGCCCGGTAAATAGAAATACATACCAGCCACGAGGCAACAATAAGACCCCATTGAGCAGTCACGTCCAACTTCATCAAGAAGACAGTCCCAATCAAAGGCGGGATAATAAGAACAAGAACGACCAGCGTTCGCTGATTAGGGAAGATAAACACTAGACCGGCACCGATCCACAGGAAAGCAACTTGCACAGCTCCTGATGGAGCCGTATATAGCATAGTCTCAAGGTTGGTATATCCAATCGACTTGATCACAAGAGACGCAAAAGTCAAAACCGGCGACTGCATGCATACCAAAACACCAAACCAAAAGACAACCCACGCCTTGGGATCCATTATTGTCTCTTTGAGCTGGGCAACAGAGAAAGAAGCCTTGTCACCACCATCTCGGTCCTGTGCCATGCGTAGCGACAGTATTTCCCTCTCGCGTGGATTCAAGAACCATGCATCTTTGGGGCCGTTTGGCATAAGGAAAAAGAACGCCACGCCTGCAGCAGAAGTTATCGCGCCGCAGATGATAAATAGCACGCGCCAGGGGGCGATTGGAAGTGAGGTGTTTTTTCCAATGCCATACATCAGAAAACAGCCTAGAACCTGCGCCACGCCATTCATGGAGATCCATAATGCCGTGCGGACATTGTGCTCTTTCTTTCGGTACCAGATACTGGTGATTGTCACAAAGGCAGGCGAGACGGCGCCTTCGCTGAAGCCGAGAAGGAAGCGCACGGTGGCAAATCCGGCGAAGTTGTTCGGCGCTGCGAGGCACATACATATAATTCCCCAAACAATTCTTAATTGGCGGTTAGCACATGATGGGAGCAGATATAGTAAAACCGCAAGAGTAAACGAACACAGTTGCACCGACGAATTTGGTCAATGGGAGTCGGCTCATCAGATAGATGAATGGATACTCGGCGACCAGTTGGCCAACATAGAAAATCGAGCTCGACCATGAATATTGCGAGCTGGTCATGTTGAGGTCTTCAATGAGACCGAAGACACCAGCATAGCTGAGACTCTGCTTGTCAAGGTATTGCAGGAAAAAGACGAAGCACATCTGGAGGTATGCGTCATTAGCCTGAAAAAGAGCCGGAGAGACAGCTGGAACCCATTACAAAAGGCAAAATGACCAAGTCAATTTTGCGTAGGACGGCTTTCTCTTCCTCCGCTGTGTAACTTCCACGAAACTCAAGCATTTCACCGTTCGTTTGATCGGCATTGTCGCTGCTCGCAACACGTTTCTCCAAGTTGTCCATCAAGGTAGATTGTCACCCCTTGATATACAAATTTTGAATTTTTGGGTTTGGGCAAGCTCAGACTTGGCTTGGACAACAAAACAGTCAAAGGTGAGCAGCGTTTAAATTTTCAATGAAAAAGAGCTGATATGCCCCGGATTTTCCCCCGGCTATAAAAGGAGGCTTATCTTCAAATGCCGAGCGATGATATGCGGAGAAGTGGCATCGGTCCGATGGCTTCGGGAATTTGGTGACCAATTTGCCGAATGTGAGAGACTCCCCGCAACTTGACTTCTTTCTGTTTTCTGATTTAGTATTTAAAATATCTTGGCTTACCCAGAATTCTCTCATCATACCATATCCCACAAGCCCAACATGTCACAAACCACCCTCCCCGGCTCAGACATCAAGCCATGGACCCGCCCCGCACCGCAGGGATATAAATTCACCAACGCCAACATTGTCGACGTCGAATCAGGCACAATCAAAGAAAACACAACTCTTATAACCACCGAAGGCAAAATCACCTATGTTGGCTCAGAACCATCCATCCTAGCCTCACAAACCAACCTCGAAACAATAGACTGCCAAGGAAAATATCTCTGCCCCGGTCTGTTCGATGCCCACGTACATCTATGCGCAGTCCCAGGTTTCAGCGACTTATCCAAAGCCTTCGGGAATCCAAATGACGTTCACCTCTTGCGCCAGCCCTACACAGCCTCGCAGATGCTGCATCGCGGCTTCACTAGCATCCGCGACTGTGGCGGTGCCCAGCTCGCTCTGAAAGAGGCAATCGAAGACGGTGTCTTCCCCGGCCCACGCGTCTTTATCGCGGGTCACGCCCTCTCACAATTCGGAGGACATGGCGATCTGCGCGGTCCGCATGAGGCTACGGAATGCTGCGGCGGCACGCACAGCAATAATCACCTGGGCCGTATGTGCAACGGCGTGCCCGAGTGCATGGCTGCTGTCCGTGAGGAGATTCGCTGTGGCGCGGATTTTATCAAGATAATGGGCTCCGGTGGTGTGGCTTCACCAACAGATAAGCTGGAACATCTGCAGTTTACAGCGGCGGAGATTCAGGCGATGGTGGAATGTGCCGATAATGCTGGGACTTTTGTCACGGCCCATGCATATACCACCAAGGCTATCCGGCATTGTATCGATAATGGTGTCCGTGGAATTGAGCACGGGAACTTCGTTGATCCACCCACTGCCAAGCTGATGGCTGAGAAGGGGGTATACTTGACGCCTACGCTCATCGCGTATGCTCAGATGGCCTCCGAGCGGTGGAAGAATTACCTTCCTATTGAGTCCCAGACAAAGAATTCGATTGTGTTAAAGTCTGGTCTTGAGGCTTTGAGGGTTGCCTCGGAGGCTGGGGTGACTATGTGCTATGGCTCTGATTTGCTGGGTCCACTGGGCTCTGCGCAGACCCATGAATTTGCTTTGCGGTCGCAGGTTTTGTCGTCGCTGGAGATCTTGCGTAGCGCTACTGTTAATCCGGCGAAGATGATGGGATGCGCGGATGAACTGGGTCAAATCAAGGTGGGCTTCCATGCTGACGTTGTGATTCTAAATAAGAATCCGCTTGAGGATGTGACCGTCTTTGATAAGCCTGATGCACATGTGCTTTGTGTGATGAAGGATGGTCGTGTCTATAAAAGCAGGTGGGATGTATTGCTAGAGGATGGTCAGATTCCCGTGAGAGTGCAATGATTATATTGTCGCGTACTGCATTGCATTGCATGGCAGTTGGTGTTGTGAGTGTTACGACAGAAATAAATAAACATATCCCAGTCAAAGATGGTGTTGTTTTCTTCCTTCAAAGGTAGGTACTGTCCTTAATATTTATGTAAATCCAGAGAAGTCTAGGACATCAAGCCCAGTCAAGCCCATGAGAAAAGTTGGATCATCACTCTGGAGTCCCGACAAAAAGTCGTACTCTATAGAGTGGAACTCCCGCGACATAGTTGAGTCGTGTGCTAGGTTCTGCGGGATTGAGCTTTCCAAGATATACTGCTCACCGGCAGTCCTCCAATCGGATGTATGCTCGTTTGACTGTGGTGGGTGCAATACAGTAGGTGAAAACGGCACATCGGGTTGTACAACATGGACTGCTCTTTGCTCCAGTGTCTGAGAGTGTTCCAATCTGGTAAGCCATTCAGCCCATTGATTGTAATCAGATGTAGAAGCCGAAGCTTGTATATCCTGCGTTTCGTTGGCCGTGGAGGATGCTTGATGGAGCTTCTCCGCGGCCTCGTTTGTTATCGACTGCACGGCTTCAACAAAATTTACCCCCAACTTGGCTGTCATGTTCCCAGTTGCCATTCTCCGAAGGCAATCTAGACCGAATTTCACTCGAGAAGTGTATCCTGAATCGCGTTCCGTAATCCCGGCCACTAGTGTCACGATCGTCGCAATACTGCATCCCTGGAAGTCCGTAAAGGAAAATCGAGTGATGTTGCGGGTTTGTGTAAGATTCTCGAATAACAAAAGAAGTTTTCTGCCTGCCTTTGCACAATATCGAGATCGCCTCAAAATAGCCTCGCTTGGATGCGGAGGGCGCGACGCAGGAAACATATAACAGCGAAGGCTCGTTCGAGCAACGGTTACGAGGGCGACTTTGCCCATGGTTATCCACGCATAGTAATAATTCAAATAGAGGTGGAAGATCGTGCGGTATTTTGAGTCTTTTGGGTCCATGTTGTCAAGCTTGAAGTCTGGCGGTAGGGACTTCTTCCATTGTCGAAGATCAGAGGCCAGGGAATCGGATTCTAACTGCTCTTCTGCTTCGGTGATAGTGCTACTTGAAAAATAAAACATAAGCTCGTACTCTTCTATGGGAGTCGACGTAACATACCATGGCTCGGCAATTCGATCGAGAATCTTGATCAGACGAGTGTACGCCATCTGGAATTGAATATTGTTATATCTTTGCAGACGATCCAGCTCTGGGAGAGGCGATGGATGTGGCACTTTGACTACATTGGCATCAATAGAGCGAGGCCTACTCAGTTTGACAGTGGTACACCTAAAGTGGTTAGTGAGGTTGACATTGACGATGGTCCTATCACCTACCTCTCGAGGGAATATATGGACCACCACAACCGACACCGGATCTCTCTCTCCCGGCCATCAACTGCTTGATCCTCTGGGTTAAGATGGAGATCAAATGCCAGTGCTTTGCGCAAAGCCAAGCCCATATAGATATAGGATGATCCAATAGCACTTGCTGGCATTAGGTAGACACCCAACAAGAAAGGCGCTTGAATGGATCGGAGGCAGGGTCGGTCAATCAGGTCAGGGATAAGCGTTTTGGCATGAGTATAGAACAATTGGCCTATATCATCATTCTCCCGATGCAGGCTGACTGCAGATTCATATGGTCTTTCTAGTGGCGTCCATTGACTGCCTAGTGCGAATGTTGCCAGTACAAGACAGACAAAGCTCAAATCAGATCTCAACGGTGAGGTGGTGTCTATGTAAAATTGGTCAATCTCAGACAATATTCGGTCCTGGTCAAAGTAGAAGAATGTATCTGTTGCGTGTTTAATGAATACAGAAAGCAAGAAGTCGGCGATAGGGCGTGGGGGGAATGCATCAATTGCTGCCTGTAAGCGTGCTACCTCAGATGGATGAAGTGCCTTTGGCCGCGTCATATGCTTGAATTCGTTATTTGGCATGAGCTGAGAATCGAAATACCGATATGACTCACGGCTTGCATGGCGACCACGTCTCTTTCGTCGGGAGCAGCATCCGGATGGAGCGAGAAAGCCTCCCTCAGGCGGGAGAGGATGTTTGGCCACGGGGCCCTTTTGGATTGACCAGCAACAACATGTTCGGCGAGCCTTTGGGACAAAACTGATGCCGGAGACAGCGGAACATTATGATTGACATCATCTTGCAGTAGTTGGGCTTGGATATTGCTTGATGCAGCGGCTACGCCAGGTTCAGTGAGGTCACCAGACACAGTATCTTGAATAGAAACCGATCTCGCCCTGTCTCATGTTAGAAAGACTTTTTTTTCAAAGACGATAGACTCGCTACCTTCCAAACCTGCAGGCCAAGTTACTGGCAAAGCACCGCTGACATCTTCCCGGGGTCGCCTCTACACACTTGCTTTTCCTCGTCTTGCAGCGATCGCATCTGGGCCCAGTTAGTGGATAGGTCTCATCTTAGATGAATCGTGCATACGCTCGGGGTGCCCTTTTGCGATTCTCGTCGGCAACCCGCCTTCTTCGTCGTCTGGAGGCAGAATCCATTGTTGGCAATTAATTTGGACGGTTATCCGAAGGCGCCATGGAGGAGTGGATCTGCAAGAAGGACAAGTTCCCGAAACTCGGCAATTTGGCCGAGAACCCTATCTACCCCAAATTCCCATTGGCAATATCTGAAGATTAAGAATACGAGACCAAGAGGGAAAATTATATTACAGGTCTTTTGCTAATGGGTAATTCTTGGAATCTATTAATGATCCATGGTTATTTTACCAATCGGAGACTGTCACAGGCATCTGATATTCGTTTCCCCTATTTGCTCATCCTTTTCCTTTGCGCGCTTCAATGATTGCACGTTGGATACTGTTCGAATGACAGTCCTTTCATCCTCATCGGTCTCCATATCAGCTCCTAGCTGAGTAGGGGTATTCAGCATTGTCATCCTTCTGGATTCCATTGATCCCCATAGAATCCTGATACCATAACCAGAGCATATCCTGTTCCTCCCGATCCAAGGTAAAGAATTGCCTGCATAGTTGAATTTCAGCCGAGCTGCGTAGTTCTAACAGTCGAAGTTCCTCCTCCCGGTTTTCCCGCATCAGTCGTTGGATGGACGGTAGCCCGAAAAAGACATTGGTGATGTTCGCCTCCACTCCACGTACCCTGGCGAGTGCACGGTGGAGATTTTCAATGTCAAATAACAAAACCTGAAATTCCTTGAAAGGGGTTGTGGGAGTATGTGACAGGTCCTGAGGAATGGCGATTTCGAGGTAGAAACTGAGGTCTTCCCCGTAGTACTGCATCAAGCCGTGTTTATGTTCAGGAGATAAAGCTTCGAATGTCGTTTGGGCTTTTTGTACGGCCTGAGCAGCCTTCTCGTCCTGGTCCCGTGCAAACCGAGCCACCTTTTCAACGGCTCTCTGGACCTCCGAGTGTTGAGTACTGAGGTTTGGGAACGAGTCCAGAAAGCGATAAGTAGTTAGACAACAATTCGCCGAATGGACAGTGGTTTTCAAGTCATCAAGAGCCTGGCGAAGCTCTGGAGCCAAGCATCTCTCATCAGTTGTCGACTACACGACAGAGGAGAGATGTTAGTATAATCGTCTCAAGGTTACCGAGATGGTTACTCACTTCAGTCATTTCTGTGAAAGTTTGAAAGAGCCTTCGAATTAGACGGAGAATAACGACGAAGATGAAGTGCTCAGAGACCTGGAGCCTTTGAGATAACCTTTTGCCCAGGCCAAAGATTGCATTTGATTTATGTCAAAAGATGCAGTAAAATGTAAAACCTCATCCCAGGTGGTCACCTGATAAACTTTCTTCTCTTCATTATTCCCCTTCTCTCTATTTTGAAAGTAGAAAGATATTTTCCGGAAGATTTTTATTTGATGTAATTTCCCTGCAGGTGACTTCTAAGCTTCCAAGGTTGCGGCTGCCTAAGTTCGCCCAAGTTCACCTTCCAATATCTTAATTTCCTCCTCAACTCTACTTTCATCCTTCACTCTCCTCGACACTCACACATCTTCAGCCATGGGGTTAGTCCATTCATCATCAAAAACATAGCTGGCTAACAAGACACAGTTACACGCACTACTACGCCATCTTTGGCTGGGGTACACCTGAATGGCAAAAGGCCTGGGCCCAGCTCATCGAAGATGTCCCGAACATCATCAAAGAAGCTCGGGTTCCTCTCAGCGGCCCAACCGAGGATGAAGACAAGGTCACCCCGGTGGTCATAGACCCTGAGGAAGGCGTCTATCTGAACGGGATTAGAGGAAATGCCCACGAACCATTCATACTGTGCAAGCCGGGGGAGTGGACTTTCTGTAAGACTGCTCGAAAGCCGTACGATGTGGTCGTTACATCCATCCTTCTCAGAATTTGGATGCTGGCACCGAAGAACCTTGATCTTGGGTATGCTGCATGTTACAGTCCAGCGAATCTATTCTAATGATATATAGCTCTGATGGTGACTATGAAGACTGGGCCGATGCGCGAGACCTCTGTGCCACCTTGTGGCCTGGGGAGCCTACCGATGCTATGTGGACACAGCGTGATGAGGGAAATGACGAGGAGGCCGAAGACGAAAGCGACCAGGTCAATTGAATGTGCGGTTTTACTTTTTAGGGGCCACTGAGCTTGCTTATGTTTTATTCGGTGCCCTGTGTGGCTCACATTGATGACCTTGACATGTGCACACACGAGATCGTGAATTTATTCTTTACTCTTTTTCAAGCTTCTATTAAAATTCTCTTTACACATAGGATCTGAGGACTGCAGGGTACTTCCCCCGGACCAGCCTTGCTGGAGAAATATACCCAGTCTCGCTTCCTGTCGGTCCCGGTTCTTCCTGTCCCTAGAGACTGTCAACGGCACACCCTTTCTTGCCTGCGTGGATGTGCTTTATTACACTCTTGGATCCTTCCCGCTCGCTCACAGGATTAACCGCAAGAAAGTGCGTCATACGATGGATACCTACGCGGGACACATTCCTCGTATGCAGCAAGGGTATTCAAATGCCTTGGTTCTCCGGAACTGAGCATGATACTGGCCTTTATCTTGTATAAAATGGAACATAGAGTTCGTCAGCGCGCCCGTCGTCGCGCGATCGATGTCTCAAACACAGCGCCGCAGCTCGTTTTGTTCGAACTATACGAGACACTGAGAGGGTTTAAACCCTATCATACAGCGGTAGCTGGAGTTGTTGGATTTGTTCGATTAAACACGACACAAGATTATGGCAATGATGTCCACGCTTTGAGCAACTCGGTATGCATTGCTCAATCAATCCGGCTGTGATGTGACCTTAGTTAACCAACTATTCACTCACTCAAACCAACAGTCCATTCAGTTAACCAACAATCCATTCAGTTAACCAACAATCCATTCAGTTAACCAACAATCCATTCAGTTAACCAACAATCCATCCAGTTAACCAACAATCCATTCACGTGCTTGCCGGTCATCCCAGGCGACTGGCACCAGATACCCTCCGTCTGGCCATTGTAGAAAGTTGGCAATAGACTTGATTGTTCCCAGGCCTTCATATTGTGCATAATGGACTGAATCCTCCGTCGTGCGCAGTGACACCACTGCACACGTTCTCTTTGATCCAGGCCGAGAGCCTTCTGATCCGTTCACAATAATCCCGTAAGTACCATTTGGCTCGAAAATAACGGGGGCTTCAGTCGTCAGCAGACAGACACTGGGCATGTTGTCGGCGTCTTCAAGGTTGTGCTCTTTGATCCACCGCTCCCAAGCCCGTTGCCCCTGGTTAAGGTCAACGTCAAAGAGGCCGATGTCGAACACTATACGGGATGGGAACAACCACGACGGAAAAAGTGTGATCTGAAGTCCTCGAGGCGTAATCTTTCCGGGTCCGCCCGAGAGGTATTGAATCTCTTCGGTATATTGACACACCTTCATTGCCCAGCGCATTCCATCTTCTTCAAACCGTGGCCCGGCCTGGAACAGCACGCCTTGGGGAAAATCATCAATCAGGCTGTAGAACTTCCGCATTCGTTCATCGGAGCCCTTGACCTCGAGAATTTCCTTCACGTCGAGATTGAGGATGCCCGCTAGAATGATTGGGCGATCGCCTGCCTTGCTGGTGGCTCTTGTGGCTACATTAAACCAATTCCATCTAATTAGTTGATCTTTGGTAATGTCACTTTTCTCAAAAGGACTAGAAACCAAGGTGACGAAACGTTCGAATTTGGATGTGTAGTCAATGGTATGTTTAAAGAAGGTGAACCAAACACCCATGGCGAAGTTGACAATCTTCTCCTGCATTATGGGGAGTTTTCCTCGGTCAAGCTTGGTCAGAAGCTCGTCGGCAATAGTGGCAATGTTAACTGCCTTGTCAGAGAACAGCACATACAGCCGGTTCTTAGCGGCCAGCCCTTCTTGAAGTGTCCATAACCGGCGCATCCAGCCCGAACAGTGCAGCACCCTCAGGAGAAGTTCTAGGTGGCTTGTAGAGCTGGAATTCACATGCCTCATCTCCGAATCAAGAATCATCGTCCGGTAAGCTGTAATCAGTTAGGCTACTATCCAAAAACGTCCAATAATTTGCTAACAGCCTGTACTGACCATCTACGTATACTTCACGAATGCGCTGGATCGCCAGGCTCCGAACGTCAGGCTGATGTGGTATACACAAGGTGTCGATCCACAACAGTACTGAATTATCTCTGCGCAGAGCTTGCTTGCCCGCGAAATGAGCAAGTCGAGCGGCCCCAGTGTGTAGTTGTCCAAATGGGCCTCCCTCATAGCGAGGGACATATTCACCGCCAGTGAGGACACGCCTTGCCTCCTCGTAAAGGAGCTTTAATTGGCAGTTTGGGAGACTGTTACCCTCCGTGTTGCCTAACCCATCGGACCATACATGCGAGATGGCCAAGTATTGCTTGCCGACGCGCTTTCTCACGATCTCAACTTTGATATTCTGGTTGTTGAGCTCGTCCTCACCACCAGGCGTGAGCATCAAAAGGGGAACCCCTCCATCCCGGAGAATTGTACGCAGCTGCTCGACATTTGACTGGAGGTGCGAACACGTGCAATCTTCTTGTACGTGTCGAGTAACATAGTCGCTCTCATCGACGTTGTTCGCCACACATTCCGTATCCTTGCAGGACTCATGCGTTATCGTGTTCCACCCGGGCTTGACACGCATCAACTGAAGCAGATACGCCGGGGTGTCCAGTCCACCACCGGCCACGCGACACTTCGCTGCCTCCAAGGGGCACCATCCCTCTGCGACCATTCGCTTAGTCTCACTTTCTCCGGTGAACAAAAATTGCTCAACATGAGGGGTCTGGGTCTGAGGACCGTCTCGCTTGACTGCAATGTTCCAGAGCACATAGCAGACCAGCCTAATGGCAAATGACATGTCATCCCGCACATAATAATCGCCGTATACTGAAAGTTGCTCGCAGACTTTCTTGACAATGTCAACGGCTCGCTTGCCAACTTTCCTCTTCTTCCATTCCTTGGCGTCGTCGACATATTTATGGAGATGCTTCGTCGTTATGTACTGCTGAGGGTCTTCTTCCCTGCGCAGGAGAAACTCGGACTGATCTAGCTGGTCCCCGAACACATAGTGGAGCATGCCAAAGTAGAGCCAGCACTCCATTCCAGGGTGGAATCTCTGCGGGATTGCGCGTCGAGGGAACTTTTCAGCTCCTGTTTCCAATTTCCAGCCATGGCGAACCGGGAATTGGTCCCAATTACCTGTATCATACAGCGAACCGTTGTACTTGATCCGAAGAGGCTTTGGGGGTTCATCAGGGAAGAACACATGCTCCGCCATTGCGATTGTCCAGCGAAGGACCTTGAAAGTTGCACCTTTTTAGTCAGATGGAGCCCCACGTCAGCATAGAGATTAGGCGTGCCCTAAAACGCTAGTCTCGTACTGGTTGGTCGGTTCCCGTGCCAAGAAATTCTCGTATTTGCTTGTTGTCGTCTCGTTTGCTGCTCAGCTGCTTTGCCTACCTTCTAGGCTTCATGGTTCCCATCTTAGTATTCGGCCTCTGTTGCTCGAGCATGTATCTTCCACGTTAAATGTCAGGCAAGATACAAGTAGTAATTTTGTGGTCTGAAATGTTATGCTTCCTACGTTGTGGCATTCTGAGGCCCGAACAAAAAGGAATCCTGGTGTCAAGTAAAACTTGAAGAAAGTGTGCGTAGTCGCGTATAATTATTCGAAGTAGAAGAAGGCAGTCGTTGGATATGGAAAGCAAATCTTTGGAGCACAATGCACGCATGCAACGACGGCTCTTTGTCCTTTAGTTACTTGGATCAAGGTAGATGAGTACCAAATCGTCATACGACAACAAGAGAGACTACCACGCGCAGGATAGGACCTGGTGGAAAACTGCCATATACTGCGGTAGTGTACGCCCCGTTTCAGCCAGCCTGCGTCCTGCGCATCTGTTTGCTAAATTCTTTTTCTTTCGCCGCCCGTAGTAGCTGGCGTTGAATTTCCGGTTCATTGCTGGACCACCATTTTTCTTCCCACGGTTGTAGGCCGCCACCTCCGGGGAAAAACTCTGGGAGCAGAGCTCGACCAGCCCCCTTGAAGTCCAACTCGAGCTCCATCAGCGTATGCATGACCTTGAATTCAGCGAACACCATTGGTATCGGACTTGCTTCGTTCCCCAAGTTCGAACGCATAGCCAATCGAATCGGTATCCCCAACATCGCCGGCTGACGCGGAGCCCCGGCCGTGATGAGATTTTGCACCATGCCAGCGCCGCCCACCGCGAGTAGATACCACGCATGATCCTGGATCCCCGTGCTGCTGAGGAGAAGCGTGAGCCACATCACCGCTAACAGGAACGTCATCATGCGCGTAGTATTCCTAGGGGTCATCAGTCGCATCAATCGACCCCTACGTGCCTGCCCCTCCTCGCCGTACGACAACTGCCCCCCAGCCATGTCTTCCAAATCTAACCCGCCCTTGGCCCCCAGCACCACGATCACATGCTGCATGCCATTACCAAGCGTCAATGCAACATCTTTGCGCTTGTCTAAGGTTCGACAAGCCCATTTCTCCTCCCGCCACTGCGGCAACGCGCCAGACGCGTAGGCCAGGATGGTCCCGGCCATCGTCACCAGGAAGATACTCCAGTCTCCGTACATGACAAATGGTATCACACTGATGCCTAGTTGAACCACTGTCACGACAATTCCCAGCCAATGCACCCAGTCATAACCAGGTTTCGCCACAGAATGGCGTCCATCCAGTGCCCACTCGTAAACACTGACGCAGAGGCGCGCCTGATGGGGGCTCACAAATTTGAGAGAATTGGGGTATGTTTCTATCGTTGCCGTGACCTTCCCCGGCATCTCTGTGTCTGCGATCCCGGCTTCCTCATCCTGGTACAAGACCGGGTGGTTTTGCAGTCGCTGTTCCACTTCTGCCGGCATCCAGTATTCATAATTCTGAAACACCCGCCCTAAGGTCCAAGACCGGTTGAACCGCGTATACCCCGTGGCTAGGTTGATTACGCGGAGCGAAGAGTCAGGGCTCGGAGGCATCAGGCGGTCCTCGCTATGGGCAGTGAGTAGCGCCGAGATAGCGTACGATACCCATCCGAAAGAGAAGGTGACGGGGGTGATAGGGCCGCCGGAGAGGGCTGCCAGAGCAAGGCCAATGACATCCCCGCCAATAATCAAGAGGATTGAGAATAAGTCTGATGGATTGACCAACTGGGCGCGGAAGCTGGATGCAGCTTCATCCATAGTTGTGGGAAAGTTGAATTATACAGCTTCGGTCAGTATTAATTGGGGGAGGAACACTTCAGTGTAGCGCTGGGGCTGAACTTCGCTTACATCAGGCGCCAACTACACCTGGGCACAAGTGTCAACGTTCAGCGTCGTAGAATACGAGGATATCCACAATTCAGCACTGACCACGTGCATAGTCCAATATAGGTCCCTGGGAAAAGAAAATCATCACGAACAACACCTCAGTCTACGCATCAAGAGCTAGGTGGATAAGGCAAAGGACTGAACCCTGAGGCTTGCAGGAACAGGCCAAATTGAAAGGTATGGCTACTAGGTGTCTTGGATTGTGACACAGCACTGAGCAGATGAGAACGCCTCTGTTCATAGAAAAAAGGGAGCTGGTGATACTGTGATATTAAATTGTTGTGGTTGTGACAAAAACGAAGCCTCACGCACCACCTGGCCCCGGAATTGCGAGTTGCTTAGTCATGAAATCAACAAAGGCCACAATTGTCTCATGTCCAATTGCAAATGCCTCGATTTTATATCTCGAACAGAATTTTACTGTCTCGGCCATATTTCTTACCCACACTCTGGACTCAAGTTCGAACTGTATACAAAACCGCAAGAATGCCCATCACCAAGAATGCCACACTGCCAAGTTCGGCGAAGGAACTGGCACTAAGCCCGGACTCGAAATTATTCATCGCCTTCATATCTTCACCAGATCCAATTACCAGGCAACCCTGGTGCCCGGACGTACGGGACGCCTTGCCGCATATCAACAAGGCATTTGCCGGAGATGATGCACCTGAATTAGCTATTATCGAGGTTGGACAAAAGCCCGAGTAAGTTTTACCATAGTCGTGTCTGAACAATATTTTGTTTCCAAATTACACTGAAATCGTGTCCTGTGGTGCACTGAACTGATATCTATCAGGTGGAATAACCCTCAGAATGTCTACCGCACAACTTGGGCCACTAAAAACATTCCCGCGCTGGTACGCTATGAGCGAGTCAATGGAGAAGTCACTGAGACGGGGAGATTGGTGGAAGGAGAAATTCTCAACAAGCAAAGACTCCTGACCTTCATTGCCTAATTTTTATCAGGATCTTGTCATCATCATGTACCCACCCTTTGCACTACTTATACCAAATTGCACTCTATGTTTTTAGGGTACTGGTCTATTTGTTCGCCATCAAACCCAAATGCTAGTTGCATCATCACGCGAACATGGATTTTATCGCCCTCTGGTAACCGTCGGAGGGTCATAAAACAGGCGTAAATCCTTGATATCGGACTCTTCAATACCTTGCCAAAATCCTTGTCAAGAAAGTTATATGATAGGAGTTAAAAAGAACCGTTCTTTTAATTCTAGTGAAAGTTATTCCGTCTTCCTATAATTAGAATTGCCTATTTCGTTAAGCCTACTACTTATATTATTTATTTATACTTATATAAAATTACCACTAATCAATATAGAAGACGTCAAGTGTGATAACTAAGGTTTTCTGGGTAGTTACAGCCAATAGATCATTAATTAATATCTTGTCATTCCCTTATTCAAGAACCATACAAAGCCAAAATCACTCCACTAAAAGCTAGACTAGACACGTCGCCATTTTGGGGAGGGGGAGCAGAAGAAAGGAATGCATACTGAAACTGTCTCTAAGCGAGCCATTTCAACGTGAGGCTTTATAGACGGCGCCTCGGTGGTTTTATATACTTTGTATTGCATAGTACCTAGGTAGCTATGGGATAACCTTAGATTAAGTACTTCGTAGCTACATATGTAATTAAGGTATACTAGGTGAGTTATCTCATATGAAGTTCATAAGGCTAAATCCTACCAGAAGTAGAAGTATGTACCCGTATAGAATAGACCGAGTGTCGAACAAATGTTTGATCTACACAACCCCTCTATTAAAGTCTTTGTATGTCAAGACTACACTACAACAGTACACTACGTTATACATCAAAGGTTAGAAAAGTCTCTTGCACAAAGTATGCTTTTCCCTCCTTTTTCTGCCGTCTAGCTAACAAACTGAGAAGGGGGAGAAAATATCTATGAAAACAGATATCTAAAAAGTCCAACTAAGAAGAATCCGAATAGACCACAAAAAAAGTCCACCAAAAAGGCATAAAAAGACATCTAAAAAGACTGTCTCAGAAGATTACCTGAGAAGACTACTAAAAAATACTTGACAAGGCCGCATAAGCGGCCAACTATTCTTGTCATATGTACATCAAAGACGGTCAAACGGTTTCAGATACAGAGTAGTGCGCATCAAGTCCCACAGACCTGGAACAACCTTGGAAGAACCTCTTATAATCATCTGTTCTCATCTTAATTTGGCGGAGACCCTCTAAGAGTGAACTATGTCCGATCCTATCAAAATATTGTGATTCATCCATTTTTCTGTGAAACTAAAGCAACTAAAAATGAGACTAGTATGTCTGCGAGTCCAATTTCTATTCATGGGTTATCCATCTGCACTATCTCTTTTGCCCATCTCACGACATTACCCCATTCTTCACTTTGGTGCACGAGATGCTCAGCAAGGCTTTGTACTATTGTCTTCCCGGCCACTCTAGCCCACCACACCCCCTCGAGGCGTCCCAGCAGAGCTCCCCAGCAAATATATATAAGCAATGCCAAGGGCTCTTCGCTTTGAACTTGTTCGACAAATTCTCCCCCGGCCATAACTACCCATGGAATCACCATCCCTTCAGCTAGAGCACAGTGCTCAAGTGTGTCGATAGCGTGTCCGTAGATTTTCTGTAATGGCGCGTCGATACCACAGCAAAGCTTCCTTAACACTGGAGGGAGGGTGCAATCTTCTGCGGACAAGAACTTTGGATCTGCCCCTGACCAGGGTTGAATGATAAAATTGAATGGCCCTTCATCAAGCGACGGGCGGGCCTGGTCAATAATAGAATGAATCCCTTTCACCAAATGGAAAAGAGATATTAGATCAGTGGGCACTCCCACTCTGGTCGCTAGCTTGTCATCGGTGTTGCTTTCCATCGACGGGGAAACAACAGTACAAGCCATCATTATCACTGAACACGCAAAAAGCGCATCGCAATTTATCGGTGACACATTTTCAAGTTCTATACGAAAGACAGGCAATGTCCTGCTCTGGTATTGTAGGGCATCACCCAGATATTCTGCCTTTTCTGAACTGTCTGTAGGGAGTTCGGCGGCCACATGGAATGACGTAAGGGCTAGCAGTGCGTCCATCAGGAATGGGTAATGAAGTGCCTGTTCTACCACGTATGTTTGGAAAAGTTCTCTAAGTATGGGTGAGAAGCTGTTGCATGTTTTTAGCGTCCAATGATGCATCAGCTGCAATTCCCGCGTGCGCGAAACCGATGGAGTGCTCGGATTATTCTGAGCAAATCCAGGATGTGGTTTTTGATGTGAGTTTTCAGGTATTGTATTCTCTAAATGCCTCCTTGCTGATGAATGTTCTTCTTCTTCGTATATCTCAGTCCAGCTGGAAGGTCGAAAAGTGCTACTGGTGTATTCACACACTGCATTTCGAGCTTTGCAAGTCGCGCAAGGAGGTCCACTCTCGTCGCATTTTATCCGTCGTTTCTTACATCGGTTGCATCCATCCCGGGATTTGGTGTGAGGGCGTCTCTGAGGCATGTCACGATGAATTATTGAATTCTGCGCAGACATGAGGACAAAAAGGCTATAAACATTCCAAGGCCAAATATTAATCCGTTGCCATCCCCAAAGCGGTGAGGTTGCCTGTCCCATATTCTTGAAGGAACAAGTAATTCACTTGGTTCTCCCAAGATCCCTCTCATCTGTTACATATATATGGCATCCTTCCCACCCATTTCCCCTCAATCGCCTCATCCAAAACCCATCTCGCAACGCTAGCTCTACTAATCCATGTGTTATCCACGCCACTACCCAAGTAGGTTGCATCAACCGGTGCCTCTTTTCCATTTGTAAGCCCGCCGACTCGGAATAATCCCCATTGGATGCCATCTATGTCGGATAAGGAAGAAACTGCGTTTCCGACACCTAACATCTCCTGATATTGACCGGAACTGAACAACTTCATGAACCATTCTCCTGTGCGCCATTTCCATGTTATAATATCAGATTCACCTCTGAAAGATGGTGTGCAGAGGATGAGAACACGAGTTATGTTTTGTGAGGCGAGTTTTGGGATGAGGGCTTTGTAGCCATCTGCCAAGGGCTAGATAATCTGTTAGTACCTAATCAAGATGCTAAAGGATTATAGGATGAGCTCATACTGTGCCCTGCGCTCCAAATGCTGGTCCTGCAAAAGAAACAAAGATGTCTGCTCCACATTTTGCGGCTTCTTCCAGGTCCGAATCAACCTCAAGTGTGCCTACAATAATCTGTGTTCCTTTACTTAGGCGGATGTGCTCGGAAACTTTGCTGGCATTTCGAACAAAGAGTGTAAGTCTGTGCCCTTCATTAAGAGCGATATCACAGAATAGGCGGCCGATAGCACCTAGTACACCCAAGTTAGAAATTCAGCACAAGATCGGATGATATGACTTGTAGATACCAGAAGCCCCTAGAACAAGGATGTGCATTTTCAGGAAATCCTGCAAGCCTTTGTGCTTTGAATTGGATATTTGAAAATCTCTGGTGATGCAGGGCATTTTATACTGCGCAAGTAGTGGGCCTGACATGATGCCAAGCATTGGCCCCACCAGAATACGCATCTAGTTGGCCCAAAATGGCAATTTATACGCAGTTTGCCAGGATAGCATGAATTATTGTATACACCATCACGTCAACCATGATATATTGTTTAGGAACTCCATCGGCACCGCCACCCATGGTGGAGTTGGACAAAAAGTCAAAATGACAGATCGAGTAAAATTAGACCTTATAGGCCAGAATGTAGCGATCTCCATCATACTCGGTGACAGTATAGTACTCCTTGCGAACAGGGTTGAAGCTCATGTCCTCATTTCCAGCCATGAACCACCCCTTGTGCTCTGTGGCTGTCTTTCCTTGTTCCCAAATAAAAAGATCGCCTTTCTTTGGAGCTCTGCCAGTACTGCGCGAGATGTAAAACTTGCTGTCGTATGAAACACCGCCCTGTACGTTGGGTATATTGACACAGTGCGCCCAGCTTGCGGTAGCGATGCCCTTGTCGTCGGTGTGCAGCCGCCGGGTCGTAGCATCTAGATTGTATTTTACATAGCGGATAGGGACCGGCGTCTTGTTGGCATCCTTGAAAGTTTCTCCATCGCGCACAAACTCACCCACCATCAGGGTGTCGGGTGAGTCGCTGCGGTCAAGGGAAATCCAAGAGAAGCGGAAGGGAGAAGAGGTGCCGGGGGTCCATTTATAATAGCTTTTGAATGGTATCAGTCTTTGATCAAACGGAATATGATAGATAGACTCACCGGATTTGAGGAAGCACATATCGGTACCCATCCGCAGAATACCCTTTTCCGTCTTTGGTTTTTCCGACACCATCTGCAATCTCAACCTCCCAGATATTGTCCAGGTCAAATGCACGAATACCATTCTTGGTATCGACAACATAGAGCACATTGCCATACCACATGATGCCACCCGCATGAATAGTGATGGATTTGAAGTCATCGTCGGCAGTAGGATACACGAGCATCACATGGCGATACTTGTGTGTCTTGCGATCAACAAAGCTGAGCCGTACACTGTCTCCATCACGATACCAACTGACAATCCACACCTCGTGATCATTCCAGGTTCCCTTTCCGAAAGCATCGGCAGAGCTGGTGATTCCCTGCGGAACCCACTCCTTCGTCTTGTCGTCGCCTGAGTTCCAAGCCCATGCTTCGGCGGGAGACCCATTGCCGACAGGGGGTGAACCTTTGCTTAAGGCACGATTCGCGGATTGAAGAACCGCAGTGACGCTCACAATTTTACCCTTTGACTTGAAGTACTTTGCGAGCACAGGTAGGTGAGCATTGTCTGCGGATTCTTTGAGGGTGAAGTCTTTGCCGTCAAGAGTGGTCTTTCCCTGGCAGTAACGAGGGTCTGCCGCGATGGTGAAGGAGGAGCAAAGAGAAAGAATAGCAGTTAATACTAATGTATACCGCATGATGGGAACTTTTCTTTTGACCAGTAAGGTTGAGCGAGTACAGTTCCCGGGGAAGATGCAATTTATAGCGTAGTTCACTACATCGATCCGAGAGTTAATATTATTAGCCGTATATGAAGTGTAACCGAAGAGCCTCTACACACATCTGTAAAAGGGTTCTTTCCCCTCGCACCGCTCGTGTTATGATGTGATCGCCCTGGAATACGAGACTTGGCAGGCCCAGTTAGAGTAGTCAAGCCCCTTCTGCATGTTGAAAATAGTTCTCGAGCATGAAATGCCCGCTCAGATCAACACGCGGGATGAAATGTCAGACTGAGGAATTTGGAGAGGCTCGTATTATGTGGGACATCATCAGTTACGGCTTGACCCGCCTTCTGCGTTATTGTAGCGAAGCTGGCTTTCGGGAGACCTTGCTGGCCTTATTATCTTAGGCAGGGGATCAGGTGCAGTATAATCGGGATGCTCTTTTCAAGTTGTTTCCTATCAACAAGAGCTTCTATAGGAACTTCCATGCTATCACACACACTATGCTTTGGGCTCATTGGAACCGATGCTCGAGGTTGGAAAGATGCGGTTTCGGTATACGGGCTATGACCTGAGAAAACAACCATCCATTGTGCATACATCTGAACTAAATCATAAACCATGTAAAAATGAATTGATAGACAATATGTTTTTGTCATCTCCTGGCTGTTATTTGTTTAGATCACCCATCGGATCTGCAGTATACTAGCTATGTCCCGTTTTATCCCTGCCACCATTCCGAGGTTGCAAGGAATGAAGAACTCGTATTGCACAGCCCCTACCAAGCCCTATCCCGCCCCGATGCTAATCCCGGTCTGATAATCTAAGAATAGAATTATTCTAATTATTTGCACAAGTTACTCCGTACCTGGATCTCGCTCGAGGAGTAGTCGACATCAAATATGGGCTTCATATTGGCCTGTATACTGTACGGGTTGTTGATCCCATTCCAGATCAGGAATAGTTGTCCACGTTTTAGTTCGTGTTATTAACAGAATGTGCGATGGCATACGAGCTTTACGAGCATCATTTCCCTCATAGTTGTATGGTCAAGTATTTTCCCAATTATATTGATAGCATCATCCCGAAGCTTGGAGAGGATATAAATCCATGAAGTCCCTCCCCGGATATTTTCTTTCCAGTGACTTGCTTCTTAGTGGTACAACAATCCTCTATTAGCACCGCAATAATGCATTTTAAAACCACCTTCCCTCTCTCTCTCCATTGCAGCTCCCTTTTCAACAGCCTACCACTTGGCTGTTACCGACCAGCACTCCAAGTCCGTTCGGGTCTTCCCACGAGACGCTTCCAAGTGGAACAAAGACGCCATTCACTGGTCTTTCACTGCCGACCTAGACCCATGGCCCTGGCAAAAGGACGTTTGGGCCGACCTTTCTGAAGTCAAAATCCGCAAGACAGCTGACCGGGGTCTGGTTGCCTTAGTCGCCGCATCAGGAGGCAAAGTTGGCATGATCGATATCAAATCCGGGCAGAAATCCACGACGATAGACGACGTCGTCTGGTCAGCAACACCTGATGGCAACCCGCATTCCCTCGAACGAATCCCCAATTTGGGAGCATTTGTTGCCGCAAGCTCGGCCTCCCATAAGCTGACGCTGTATGTCCCAACCGATGGGTCAGATGTCAACAATCTGAAAAAGATCAAGAAGACCCATGAATATACCGTTCAGAAGGCTCACGGTGTGCTCTGGCATGATGGCAAGTTGTGGGCCATCGGCGAGGATTACCTTCACAAATATGATGTCGTGGGAAAAGGGAAGGACATCGAGCTGAAGAGGGATGGAAAACCAATCCCTTTGCCTAAGGTGAAAGGCAGGGCGAGCAATGGTCACGATCTTTCTGCTAGTTACAAGGATGATGATATCTTGCTGTTGACGCATACCGCTGCTGCGTATAAATACAACACAACCAGTGGGGACTTTGATACTCTCATGGAAGTCGATAAGCTCAAGTCTTTGGTTCAGCATTCTTCTGGGGAGTATGCCTGGGTGCGCGGGGCAAAGGGTGATATGGGGCAGTATGTGTCGTTTAGTGATGAGAGCGCACCCAAAACCGTGACGGACAAGAGAGGGTGGAATGATGCTGAATTCTACAAGGCGAGGATCTTTGATCCTGGGTATGAGTGATCCTTGGGTATGGTATCGAGTGGGTTTATTTATCTGACACTGAAGCAAAATTGTACATAGGAATTTATTTGACATTTATCATGTAATTTTTTGGCTCATTGGGATTATGTCTTGCTCTATCAAATTAATGAAAACTCAATACTTCACAGGGATTGAAGCTATATAAGACACTAGGAGTGAGGAATAGAGACGAACATCACCTCTATAAAAAGTGGGGAACTCCTATGGGCGACGAAACCACCGTTTGCCGATAGATACGTCGTCAAGCAAAGGATAGCCGGCAGGCGAACATCTAGGCTCAATCATTTCTAGGATATCTCGTTGCTACTCCAGGTGCAGTCTGATAGACTAACACGATATTTTCTGTTGGAGCACCAAATGATCTTTTGGATTCGATATGCCCACAGTTCATAGGGGATCTTTTCCCAATCCCAAACTAGGTGCACATGAATAAATGAATACCCAGATATGATACACACTAAACCCCGCTTGGTCAGAAAAGAAACCCAGAAAGCTAAGCTCCAGACGAGAAGAAAAGGAAGACAACAAAACGTGATTGCATATTCATGATCCGCGACACAACCCATGAGAGAGATCCAAATCTCATCTCTCACATCTGCATGGCCTCATCACCATCGACATCCGCTCCACCGGGTATCCGTCCCTCGTTAAGCTCCTTCTCCAACTTGGTAATCTCCTGCAAACTCTTCGCATCGCGAATCAGTTTCTCGACGCGCTTGCGCTCCTTGTCGGTGAGTTGTACTCGGACGCCCTTTTCGGCCGGGATGCGTTCAGCCGGGGTGGAGACGTCGAATGTGCGGGACTTGACACCCAGAATCTTGGATGCGAGGGACGAGGGTTCCTCGTAGGTGCCAAAGAGCTCTTTAGCCGTGGCGCGCTCAGCGTCGGTTACTTTCTGGAAGTCAAGGAAGCGGACGGAGGGAATGCGCCAGATAGTCCAGTAGCGGTAGTTCTGCGAGAACCAGTGAGCTTAGCTTCTAACAGAGTCCAGACATATCATATATAGCCAGATCAAACTAGTATACGGGTGCAGGGCTAGACAAACCTCTTTGCGTGTCACCGGGTTTTGCAGGAGGGACAAGTGCGTCAGCCGTCCCAAGGTCCGCAGCGGATCTAGGTCGGCAAGTTCGGACACATTGTTTGCAGTCAGGACCAGAGTCGTCAGGTTAGGCACTGAAGTTGCGAGTGCCGGTTGGATGTGATTGATACGGTTGCGGGCGAGGAGGAGGGTGCGGAGGCGAGGGAAGTGGGGGAAGTTTCCGAGGGAGGAGATGTCATTATCGGTGAAGTCGATCGCATCTTGATCCTAGGAGCTGTCAACATCGGATTCATAAAATTATGACTGAGCTGACGGCGGACTAAACAATTGGTCTAGCAGCAACATGAAGAGACCTAACAGAGACAAATCTGCCTCGAGGATTGAAAGGAACACAGCACTTACTTTGGCAATACCCAAGTTCTCAATTGTGGGGATCTTGTGACCTACACGACCACGCAAAAGACGATATCAATCCAGCTCTTAATCAAAAGTGTAGTACCTGTTCTTTTCAGGCAGGTGTGTAGTGGGTGAACGCACCTCGGAGATCCAACTCACGATCTGTGAGTGGATTGATATATGTTAGGGAACTTTGAATGAGCTCAGCGGTCAAGCGCATGGTGGCAGTAGTGGCTGTTGCCGAGAGTATGGGATGTATGGGATGGTGAGTTTTATGGTGACAGCATAGGTGAAGTGCTGTGGAAGAATATTGAACAAGCTTGGTGAATCAATGCAACGAGTGAATCGGAAGCTAATTGCGCCAGTTTCTCTCTACATCATTTTTGCCAGGCGGTGACAAATAGTCACGTGATAATAATTGCCTGAAAAGGCTAGCGTCAACATAGCTGCTCGCTCCAACATGGAACTGCCTACCTCTACGGCCATCAGGTAGTGTAGTGCTCATTGGTACTAGGATATAGAGGTTAAATACAGAGTAGACCTTGGAAATGTATTAATCTATATTCAGGAAAAACATTCTCAACCACTAATAGTACACACCTCATTACGTGTAAATCACCGGCCTGAGATCGACGAAAGCACCGCAACCAACCCAAAAGGTACTCCAGAGCACAGTGTTGAAATATGATACGAAGAATCGAAAGTAGCCTGCCACGACGCACGCGACACGATAAAAAGATGAACTCCCTTTGCATATGAAAAAAAAGACAGACAGCGCCGAAATGAGTCGACGCATGTCAAACAATCAAACTCCAAGTGAAAATGCAATGCAGTGTAAGTAATTATGCATAATTCGGGTAAGGTGGATATATCGTGTTAGTCGTCGGCCAGAGGCGTCATGCTGGGTGATTTTTGGTGAGATCTTGTCGGACTGCCAGCTCTTGATCGACGGCCATTGGTTGTGGGGCCTAGAGCAATGGGAGCCAGATGGTCCCTGCTCTCCGTCCTGACTACCAAGCCTGCTCGATCCATAGCGATGCCCGAGCCACCACCACCACCGCTGATCCCAAGACCAATCGTCCCGGTCGAACTGTTATCTAATGCGTATTTGAAACTCGGAGTGTTGCTGTTGCTGCCCCAGCTCGACGCTCGCTTCGGTGGTCCCAGTCTAGCCGAGTCTGCCTCGGAAAGACGTCCACCATCCTCGCTCCCGTCAGACTCGATGGCACCAAGCTCGTAGTCTTGAGCACCGTCCTCGAGAACTCGCTCGTAGGAGGGGGCGCTTCGACTGATGAATGGCAGCATTGACTTGAGTCCCTTTCGTTTCTTCGGGTGATTGGGGTGCGAGGGTCCACCACGGCGTAACACATTACTCACGCGGTTGAAGATCCGCGATCGACGGCTGCGTCCGCACAAGAAGAAGCCGGCCATGACAACAATGAGCATGAAGAGGACGAAGCCTGGGATCCGGCGTGGGGAATCACCGTCAAATAGTGCGTCATGCCAGTGCTCACTGTGGAAGCTGTCCGAATCCGGTAGTAGCTGAACACTGGGATACTGGAAGTCGGCCGGGATACCGGGGAAATTGCTGCCAAAGCCTACTGGGAGACCTTCTTCGATCTCTAGAGGCACCTGAGAAGATGCGTACAAGACGATCTTGCCCAAAGTCCAACTCACTTCGGTCGAGTCAATCTTGTTGACCGCCTGGAAAGCATCAAGATAGCCTTTTTCTTTTCCATGAGCCAAGACTTCTTTAGTCCCGTTGTGCGAAGAACCAGTTGTATCCTCCAAACCCACGCGAGGCACTCCAATGCCATCATGTAGCATATTGATGATCCATGATGCCTTGAAGCATACTTCGTAGGCCTTTTGGCGATCAACCTTCTTTCCCCATTTGTGCTGTCCAAGGCCGTATTCAATGGAGTCCCAGTCTTGCGAGCAGAACGTTTGGACCCGTTCTTGATACGTGTTAAAGTCGTATGCTTTATCCTTGTATCCCATCTCAAAAATCTCGTGAGTCGTGTGCCAGTACTCGCTGATCCCGATAAAATGGTTAACATCGAAGTCGATAGCTGGAACGTGGATACCGTTTAGTAGACACGGTTCATCCGCACACGGTGCATCCTTGTCCAGGAGTGGGAATGTCTGACGGAGACATTCATCGAATTTGCCTGTGCCTAGCAGATAGGTTTCCGTCTCGCTCGCTAATGCGACTTTGCCGTCAAGCGTAATCCGCAATCCACTAGGAAGACAAGGGTCAGGCATCTCTTTGATACCTGGCCCAATTGCCGCCTGCAAAGCATCCAGATAGCGTCGCCGTGCTTCATGCACGCCGAACTCCAACCACGAAGTGACAAACACCCTGTGTTCTTGAACCGATCCATCAATATTCCGCAATCGCAATAATTTGAGGTCCTCGGCGTGCTTCTCTGTCTCCGTAACGTTCGGAGCGAACGCAATTTGGGCCGATGCACCACCCATATCAAGGAATCCGTAGGTGTTGTGTCCCTTTCCATGGTCGTGTTTTTCCGGGGCATCAAAGGATCCCATCAGGTAGTTTGTCGCAATCCATCCGTATAGCCCCTCGGTCACGCCCGGAATCACCTGGATGTGAACACCACAGTCCGGAAGCAAAAAATCCGAGTTGTCACGAGCATAAGAACAGATCTGATCCAGAAGCAATTGTCGCTCGAGGTTTCCCAGCAGTCGCATGCCCGCAGTGGCGAGGAGAAATATGGGAGTATCCTTGGCATCCTCGGCAGGAATGATTCCCTTGGCGTGGTCTAATAGTTGAGCGAGATGGTCTGATCCAACCAATTCGGGTCTGTTGGCGAATGAAGAAACACCTTTTGCGCAAGTGGGTTAGTGTCGGGTTGTTGGTGAGTTGGTATCGAGCAGCGCTCACCAGGGTGAATCTTCTTCGTCCATTCCTCCTTAGTTTTGATTTCCGGTAGCGATTTCAACTCCTCCACATCGGCGTGCTTTCGTGCAGCGGAATTTCGTAGCCATCGGTAAACGTGTACGCGAGTCCCCTATACGGTTGATTAGTGACATGACACCTTGTCTCCGGAACTAGATCGACATACAGACGAGCCCGCGTCCAGGACGACTCCATAACGCCCTAATAAAAAGGTCAATTTGCCGCATCATGAAAGTTGAGGTGGGACTGCATACATTTGCCCATTTGGACTTTTAATTATTCGCAGATCATGACAAGACTTCTCAAAAGGAAGCAAAGGACAGGTTTTCAAATTAAAGTGCAAGAAATATGGGGTAAACGAATGACAGGAAGTAAAGAAGACTTGAGAGAGAAGAGAGAGGAGAGAGACCAAGCCAAAGATAAGGAGAGTGCCAAAAGCGGCCTGGACGCGACGACTCCGGGGCGGTACGAAACATGACGGGCCGGACTAGGAATTTTAAGTGGCAACATGGGCCCGGATTGGTCTGAATTCGGGAAAGTGGGGTAATTTAAGGGTAATGTAACTTTCTGTGACCAAATAATCCCTGTTTTTCCTTTTTTTAGCTTATTTTCAATTATTTTCAAGTATTTTGTACAATAGTAACATCTAGTTATAACATACAACATACAATATTACATCGAATGTCTACAACATTGTGCAATCTCGAATGTACACTTATTTTCTCCTGCAGATGTGTACACGTCTCACTGCGGCATGCAGACTAATCACGTTGTTTTAATCTTGACAGGGACCAGGTCCACTTGGATCTTGACTGTCTCAACTTCAGTATGTATTATAGGTACATTGTAAGCGGATATGTATTCCAGCCTCGTCATCATGGAATGTAGATTGTGAAAAGGACCCTCGCACAGGGCTTACACTAAAATGCCGGGGAGAGGGGGAGAGTATACGTCAGCCCCTCCCTTCCCCGGCCTTGGAAGCCGATGGGAGATTCGTTGCGTCACTCTGGTGAACAAGGGTATGTCTTGGCTAAGGCTTCTCAAATTTTCCCTATTATGAGAGTAACAAGAATAGCCGGCCGCTTATGCGGCCTTGCCAAGTATTTTCTCAGTGGTCTCTTCAGATAGCCTTCTCATTTGTCTTCTCAGATAGTCTTTTCAGATATCTGTTTTTATAGATTTTTGTCCCACTTCTCAGTTTCATATATGGATGGCGGAAAAAGGCGGAAAAAGGCGGAAAAAGGCTTAATTTGTGAAATGGACTTTTCTATGTGCAACCTTTGATAAACATAATCCCTACTCTGGTAAAAAGCCCATTAAAAACGCCTTTCCCATGTATGAAATACGACTACCAGTTAGTAGTATCTAGTATCACCTTACTTCGCTCAGATTTAGTCACATAAATTGCAATTTACAAGCTTTCTTCTTAGATGTCTCTCGCTAAAATATTTTGCATGAAAGAGAAATGACAAAAAAAACCGTAAAAATAAAATTAGAAATATTGAAGCTAATATCCGAGACAGGTTACATGTTCTACATACAATTCCGAGGTTTGGAGTCACGAGACGAGGCTGTGACCCTGTCACTTCTTCGTTTCCTGAGAACCAACCACTATAGGAACCTGCCCATCAAGCACACTCGGTGATGAAGACCCGCGTAGATCGTCGAGCAGCGCCCGCTCACCAATCTGCTCATCGATAAACTGCGCGCGGTCCAGGCCAATCATTTCCACCTCCTCATGCACCCGCAACTGCATCCCCGGTGTGAACTTGAGAATGTAGAGCAGGATACACGAGACAATGAAAGAATATGCCGATATAGCACACACCTCGGCCAATTGTTTCCCAACTTGCATTCCGTTGCCGTCAATGCCCCCAGTAGCCTCGGTCACGCCATCCAACCCGGCAATAGACTGCGACGCAAAGATCCCGGTAAGGAATGCCCCCACTATCCCGCCGATACCGTGCAGCTTGAATACATCCATCCCCTCGTCTATGTGTAACCACTCGTTGATGTCTTGGAGGAGGGCGCAGACGATGCTCGTGAGGAACCCGATAACGGCAGCAAGCCACACGGACACAAATCCGGCGGCTGGCGTGATGCCAACTAGCCCTGCGATTGCGCCTTCGCACGCTCCTACTACCGAAAATTTTCCACGATGCTTGATATAGTCGACCAGCACCCATCCTAGTACTCCTGTGCAAGCCGCAGTGTTGGTGTTGAATGCCGCTAGCATTGCCCGCACGCTAGCATTGAGAGTCGAGCCGCCCTGAAAAATGACTGCTGTCAGATTGTGTTTCAGAAAAAGGCACAGTTGTGACATACGTTGAACCCAAACCATCCAAACCAGATCAAGGCCGTCCCCAAGAAGACTAAGGTGGTGTTGTGAGGTTTCGTTTGTGAAGGGCGGTCGATATTCTTGCGCTTCCCCAGAACAAAGGCATAAGCTAATGCCGACCAACCAGATGCGATGTGAACTGGGCCGCCGCCGGCGAAATCAAGCGATGGGAGATTATACAGCCATCCGTTGCTGTTCCAGGTCCAACATGCTAGGGGACAGTAGACGACAGTCGCCCAACAGAAGCTAAAGATCAGTGAGGGGATCATGTTGCCTCGTTCGAATGCTCCGCCGACAACAATCATGACCTACCACAAGATTCCATTAGCTTTGATTTCTCAACATTGAGTTGTCAGTTGTTGCTTACTGTGCACGCGCAGAATAGAAGCTGATAAAAGCAGAATACAATCTCTGGAAGATCGGCTGAGCCAGGCGATGGCGCTACCATCACACCTCTCAACCCGAAGTTCTTAAGGGTTCCAATGAATGGACTTGCATCCCGGGCATAAGCTAACGAGTAACCCCAAAATATCCACTGGAACGTTATTCTGGTGGGATCTTTCGTGTCAGACGATGTACTCGTGGGGTTTGAAGAAGAACTCAACATACACAGCCACAACCATGAACGCCTGGAATAGTAATGCCAGCGCTGATTTTCTCCGTGCGAGACCACTATAGAGAAGACCGATTCCGGGGATAATCAACCAAACAATGAACGAGCAAAGGATGATGTAGGTATAGTTCCACTCGACGCCTGCATATTGCGCATTCACATCAACCTTGAGTGGATCTCCACCTGTTGGGGTAGACGCATTGTAGACTGGCTATATTATATGACCGTGTCAGCTGCGTGCAAGTGCCGTTTCAACCATACTAGACTTACGGCGTCGGCCATGATGAGAGCTAGAATGGGTCACAATCCTAAATCCTTGATCCAGGGGTCCACAGCACATATATCCTCTAGCAGAGTGGACCATCACATAGCTCATAATAGCTAAAACAAATAATTCCGAGCACCTTATCTATGTTATGATAGCAGCCAAGACTTCATTGTATCAATGGGGAGCTTTGAATCTAGAGTAGTTGCCCACAGTTCATGGGAATTCGCCCACTCCCTTCAATTTCTATGACTGTCAGATCAATTATTTATGATAAGAGGACTTAATTCGATCTGATCTAAGATAAGGATCCGAGACGGGAATGTTTCATAGAGTTTCAACCATCCAATTACATCTCGTTCTCGTGCTGACGCCGGATCTTACAACCCTCTAGGGCTTAGGCTCTTGTTATCGAACGCCTATCTTATCTGGGGAATGGTCCTCCAAGGTTGGCGCATGGTTTACACGTGTCTTGGAGTTTGAATAGTAGTCTCGAAAATAGTACGGAGTGGCCTCTATTGTATTAAAGGAAGTAATAGATTAAAAGCGGATAGGGTGCCAAACCAGGATCGAAATGTCCAGGTATAAAGGCCTCCACAGCCCCATCCTCGCGTCCCCAATAGTTCCATTCTTCCCAGCCAATGTTAACATCAGCCAAACTGTGAACTACACCGCTGCCAAAACAAACCTTACGATTATAAACCAGCTTATGGCTCCTTGTATATCTTTACACTATACCTAACAGGAGATGAATATTGTGGTTAGAATAAAAGCTGTGGGGCTTTCTTATTGATGAGGCTGAGTAGTTACTGCGGGGCATGTCATAGGTCATAGGGAGATCTAAGACACATGTGCAGACATTGGCCAGTAGTCCAACTTCCAGAATTGAATCATTTTAACCTGCCATTTGGGGCATAGAAGTGTGAACTTGATTGGTCGTTGCATTTTTGGCCAAAGGAGTCCCAACGTTCATTCGGTACGAAATCTTAGTAGGAATTTGAAGCTAAATTGAAGATTGTTGCGGTTTTATTTGTGAATAGGTAGGATTCCGAAGTTGATGCTATCTTGACAGGTTTATTAAGGGGGTTCAGAAGCCCTGTGGGTTGTGGTTTATAATTATATTAGTGGGCGCGTAGAGAGGGGTCTATTATTACGTTTTATGCATTGACATTGGTCAGATATACAGATAGAACCTGGGAATGTAAATGCTACATGAACCGGTTTCATCTTAAGCAAGTTCTCTCTGTTGAACCACCATTAAAGGGTAAATTCACTTGATCCAGATCATCCAGTTTCAGCCCTATAATGTTGCTATGGACCCTACGGGAGGCTGAGTACAGAGGTGGGGATAAGAATAGAAAATAGGAATGCTGTGGCTGGGGCGCCTATATACAATAAACCAACATATGTACAGAGTACATATATTTCGTATGGAATACTTCATACTCCATAGGTAATCCTTACTTGATGTAAAAGAACCTTGGAAAGAATGTAACTTGCACAGCCACAGGGCCTTGTTGCGAGCCGCTCCCCAGTGAGGCTCCGTGAAAAAAGCGGAGCATTTTGATTCCTGTTCCTTCTTTGAACAAGGCTGACAGGCATTCCCTGTGCCACAGACTAAGATTTAATAAGTTGGTCTTATTGATCTTGCTATTCTTATTAGTCTTGCATAGAATCATAAGTGGAGGGATGCGCCCGGCGCTTGTTCAGCTGTTCCCCTCATCTCCGACTGATCTTCCGGCCCCATCGCTTCTTCTGTTTTTTTTTTTTAATCTTCCTCCTTCATTTACTCTTTGATTCCTGATTTTCAACTTTAAATTCAACTTCTACTATTTGGGGCTTTGTCTGTCCAATCCCAGTCTCGACTGCCTTATGTATTGGGGGCATCAAAGACCACACCAGGACACCGGGTCATCAGGACAGAACAACAGGATACCAAACACACGTGGGCAACAAACTCCAATATAGCTTGCATAGATCATACGAACACCCCCACTCGATGCTCTTTTAATCGGCTTAATTTGATACCTCCTATTTTCGCGGTCAATCTTAGGCTAATTGACCGCCATTTGAATATGTCGCGCGCCTCCCCACTCAGCGCTCAGGGGCAATCGCCAGCAGATGCGATCCAGGATCGATATGCTCCGGACCCTTACCTGTCAGCCGCATCCGATCCGGAGGAAATCTCCTTTCAGGCCAGTGCCATTCGACTAACGCCAACGCCATCGCGGGGGAGTCCTGGGCACAGTGCGGGACCTGGCTCGTCCCCTCATGAGGACGCTCGAATCGACTCCACAATCCAGGGCTATTTGGACCCAAGAGCAAATGATTATACGGACCTAAGCACTTGCAACTCCCCTATTTCTGATACAAGTGTTTTCGTGGAACCAAAAGATATCGAACTGGCAAGTGGTTCGACCTGGCAAAATGAAAATCTTCCATCGTACAGGATCGGGGAGGACAATGTGCCCATCGGTCCGGCATGGGGTTCGTCCATGGCACCGAATGTCTTTCAGTGGACGAGCTCGGACCACAACCCGAATCCGAATCCATCATCCACGCTGGCAGGTCTAGAGCCTCAGGGCAATTCTAGCACACAGCAATCGATCCCCACCTCGTACCAGTCTGGCCTCGGTGTCCTTAACGCAGGCACCGAGCCATCGGGACTCGGTGTCTTGGCAAACGAGGGGTTGACCGCAGAGCTAGCGTCGAGCGCAACCAGGGGAAGAAGCCCCGTCGTCAAGATTACAACCTTCACTCGAGGGGATTCGCCCAAGGATCGCAGCACGTCCCCCCAAAGACATCTCGGCCAGTCATTTGCACACCTATCTGCCAATCCAAGCGAGCTGGAAGACGAAGATGATGGCGATCGTCATTCGGTCTCGTCTGTTCCCGTGAAGCGATCTGAGAGCGGCGGATGGATTCCAAACTCATCAACCCATCTAGCTGGCATTGACCCAAGGTCCCGTGGAGACGAATTCGTGCCAAGTCCGAATGACGTCTATGTTCAGCGAGAACGGAACGAGAAGAACGAGGACATTTCCCACTGGTCTGTCTCTGTGAGCGCAGCCAACTCGCCTAGTCCACCGCGTCCACGCCCACACCATGTTTCGAGGAGACTTCGAGCGAGGAGTACCGGGGATCACCCTCTGAAACAGGAAGATTATTTCAACCTAAAATCTCGCACCGGAGACGCATCATTCCCTGGACCTGGGGTATTAGTTCATGAAAGCAGCGACGACCTCAGCGAAGATGAAGCAAGCATTGACATTTACTCCGACGAGCCTTCAGCCGATGTAGATGAACCTGGCAGATATGATCGCAGCACCCCCGAGGTCTATTCATCTTTCTCACCGACAGAAGCTGAGGAAAGCATCCGTCTTTACCCCTGGCATGATCCCCCTCGCGATCCGACACCCAGATCGCAAGCGATGCAGCCGGACAGCTCTACCGACGCTATGATAGCTTTTAACAGACGTGTGCGGGATCTCGAAACAGCATCGCTCGCAGCAACAATTGATAACAATAGCATTATCAATGTGGGTACATCCCTCGAGAACTTTTCCTTTACCGAACAACCCAAGAAACGCACTAGTCTGTTTAAGCGTCAATTTCTGCAGGCATCCTCGAAGTTGAAGCGCCAAGCATCTGACCTTTCCATCGGTCAATCTCATAGCTACCCCGGGCTTCCGCAGCGTGATACAGAGGACTCACTGGCAAAACCGAGTTACTCACCCCGAAATGGGTTCTTGCACCGTCGTCATTCGCGGTCGCCAAGCCTGAGCAACGCACTTCTTTCAATGACCAGCCAAATGGCCGCTGTCGGGGGTAGCCAGCCTGTCCGAGCAGTGTCGCCTGCACCCTCGCCGAATCCGGAGAGGAGTTCCTTGAACATCCAATTCAAGGGCCGAGGTCGAAGCAGAAGCGAGATCCCCCGACCAAGTAGCCCCGGGCTAATAAATCTTATGACCGCTCATGGTGGACCACCAGTTCCAAACATCACATCGCCTCGAGTCAGTTCGGACACCGACCAAACACCCAGAAGTTCACCTCTGGGCCCTGAAACCGGAGACGCTGAAGATGAGAATGATGTTGACACCAGCAATAACAAAGGCGTGGTTATGGATTTCCCTGCTGTTCAAAGTCTGCCAGTGCCAACAATCGAAGGGTTCAGGTCGCAGATCATGCAGTTGAACCCAAGACTTGAGCCGGCTTTGATTCATCGCCTGGCACATGAGCAAAACCGTCGATACAAGATCTTGGTTGATTTGCAGCAGAAGCATTCTATTGCAGCTGCCAACCACATGTGTAAATCTGGCAACTTTTGTACTGTTCAGGGAGGGCAACCCACTCTGTTGCAGGACCCCAAGGCCCCGCACGACCCCGAGGCAGGACAGATCCAGTTCCAAGTGACAAGTTTCAATTATGGGCAAGAGCAACAGTATTCTCCAGGCGACGGTACGGGGGCCGCGGCACAGTTCCCTCCTGGTGTGCCCCTTCCGCCGGTCAGTCGCCTTCCCGCCCGGTTTGAGTGCCCCATTTGCTTTGAAGTGAAAACGTTCCAGAAACCATCCGACTGGTCCAAACACGTTCACGAAGATGTGCAGCCATTTACTTGCACATTCCCCCACTGCACCGAGCCCAAGTCATTCAAGCGTAAAGCAGACTGGGTTCGCCATGAGAACGAGAAGCACCGGCACCTGGAGTGGTGGACCTGTGCATTCCCCGAGTGCAATCACAAATGCTACCGTAAGGACAATTTCGTTCAGCATTTGGTCCGGGAACACAAAATGCCAGAGCCCAAGATCAAAAAGACGGGCAAAGCCTCTGGCACTGTGGATGCTGAGACTGTGCCGAATAGCCGAAGGGAGCAGGAGCTTGATCGATTGTGGCAAATGGTCGAAGAATGTCGGCATGACACCGCGCAAGCCCCTCAGGAGGAGCCATGCCGCTTCTGCGGGAATGTCTGTAGCGAGTGGAGAAAGTTGTCAGTCCACCTTGGTAAACACCTAGAACAGCTAGCCCTGCCCGTTTTGCGATTAGCGAAGCCGAGCAGCGCTCCAACCCATGTCGCCAACCCCAGCCAAGTGGAGCCGAATCGCAGATCATCGGCCGCAACCTATCCCTCTGTCGCGCCATATCACCCTGGACAAGAAGTACCCGAAACGGCCTCGACCCATCTGCAGCCGCAGTATGCGATCCGAAACACTAGCACACCCGCTAACCCTGCGTTCTCGATCAACAACGTTCCGCTGACAAATTATCCCACGATCTCCGGCGGCGAACTTTCCATGGAGCCCGAGTCAATGACGGACTCTCTTACCCCTGATCAGTTCTCAGGGTACACGCACGCGACGGGCCAATTTGACCAAACTACTCTCCACCCCGCTCAGGCCCAGGCCTATCCCCTGCATCAGAACTCGGTGACATACCCACCGCCTTATAACGCCGTTCCGAGATCGAGATCCTCGGAGGCAGATCTCATGCTGCAACACTCGTATCCTCTCGCCCAGTTTCTCCCTCATCCCTCTCTGTACCCCGCCGATGGGAATTACCCAGCTTACCAACCCATGGAGTCCAATATCCCCTACACTTCTGCGACTTACTCTTCTGGATGTCCCTCCCGAATGTGATTATAGATACGATGCTCCCTTGAGATCGACTTCCCCCTCTTTTTTCTTCTTTACTGCTTATTCCCCTTCTCCGTTCTGCTCTCAGTTCTTCCACATTGGCTGCATCGTAATAGATAGCGCATGATCACTAGAGGAATTCCTGTGACTTTTTTTTCCCCAGCATCAGGAGAGTTATGCAAGCAGGTCCCAATCCTATGCATTTCTGGAATGATGACTATGATGATGATTTAGCATGCTCCTTTTTTAAAAAACATGTGCTCTCAATATCTCTATATATATTTCGGGCGCTCAGGAATTCCGTTTCAGACCGAATGGCGTATATGCTAAACGGTGCATGGCATATGAGAGATCAGATTTATGTTTTGGCTTTTCCTCTTTTGTACTAGGCTGTTCCCACTTGAACACTGGTTCCACGGTTCATCAGAACATAAAGTACCGGACATCTGGAGATCAACAATGGTAATCTGAGACATACGGAGTATCATGAATTCAAAATACCCCAACCTTGGAAGTCTCGTTTCAAAGTTAAACAACCCCTTGATTCCTAAATCCGAAACTGCACAACATGTACTCTGTACTCCGTATCGCGTATAAACGTGCGCATTTATCTTATTTATCCCTTGCGGCACGAACATGGCAAGAGAGTATCGCCGTCGATCAGCCTTGCCGATCGTCTGTCCTGTCACAGCCTAATCTTGTCCTTGCTTCCTTGCAGCCCCCTCCTCCCCTTTAGAGACTTATCGTAAGATCTTCGTGAGGGGCTGGAATTGTCTTGCATGCCTCGTGCAGGGGGACTAACGACATTTTCTGTGTGCGTGGGTGTGGGTGCGTGATACGTGTAAACTATGGATATATTTGAGGTTATGTTAGAAGCGGGCTGAGTCAACCCCGGGACCCTGGGAGATGGGGGGTGTCGGCAGCCGATCGTGAACTGGACGACCTCGGGAGGCCTAGGATGAAGGTGATGGGCCGTTATTGGATGTTGACTATCAGCCTCATATTTTTGGTATGGAAGACATCATCACAGTTTACGAAATAGCCCTTTACAAATTAGTATTTACCCGGGCGAAGGGGCTGTGCAATCAAGGGATGACATGTTGCATTCCACGCTGGCAACACGCGAGGGTGAACTTTGTCTTAGCTTTTACCTTCTCAAATTTCTGTTTTGCTTTTTCTTTTTCTTCCTTTTTTTAAAAAATGTATATTCTTTTTGAGCATATTCCTAATCATGTTCGCTAAACACATTCCAACCCTTGAATTGCCTGTCGCGTGGTGAAGTCAACCGGCTCGGGGCGAGGGTGTGGAGCTTGCGTGTCTCTCGCGTGTAGGGTTTGGCATTTGCATGCATCGTGAGCCTTTTAATACTGTGCCCCTCCCATTTGACTGCTTATTCTCTCTCGACTTTACGAATTTCATCACTTTCTTTATAGTACCTTATTAGATATAGCCATGGAGGTTCGTGCCCTGCTTACTCTATACACCCCCGCGGCTCTCCACATGAATAATCTAACTCCACCCCAGGAAACTCAGCTGGACTGGAATGACTCCACGGATGTCCTTCAAGGCATCATGGTTGGACACGAAGGACATGATCTGTCCGATCCTAAATCCTCAAATCTCCCCTTCGATGCCGCAAACCCACTGCTAGACCTCCAACTCGGATCGCTCGATCCATCACTTAACCACCCACTCTTAAGCCAATGGCCTTCACACCCCCGAGACCTATACTACTCCCAATACACTCACTCTCGCCTGACAGGCGATCAAGATGCCTGGAATCCGCTGCTGGCCACCGGTGTCCCGGCCACCTCGTCCATCTCGCATATGAACATGCCTGCCCAGATGCCCGACCAGGACTGCTGCTTCTCGCAACATCACTATAGCGAGCCATCTGAGAACGGAAGCCAGTATATGGATAGCTATCACTCTGCTGATTCCGGCTACGGTGGGACCAGCTGTGCGACGCAATCTGTTGTTGCTTCTTCATACAGCGTGGACTCCTCGAGCCCGCAGATGGACATGACAGAGAATATCTCCACCGAGTCGGGGCCTTCGTTTGATCATGCCAAGTATGGGTCTGTGTCTGAGTCATCGTACACATCGGAGTTTATGGGCTCGCCATCGCAGCTGGTTGATGCCTCGATGCGATGCGAGCATCCATCATGCAAGTGGGTTGGGAAATGCCCTTCGGACAAAAGGTACGTGCTTTGGTTTGCGATTTCAGTATTGTGATGGCAGCAAACTAACTTTCACAGGAAACACGAGGCTCGCCACAAGAAGCTCTTCAAATGCGACGTGCCAAATTGCCCGCGGAAGGACGGGTTTGGCACCATTAATGATCTTGCCCGTCATAAGAAATGTGTTCACAATAAAGAGCCCGAGCGTGGGCCCAAGATGTTGTACATGTGTTTCGGGACAAACTGCCCGCGCCCGAACAAGAGGTGGCCGCGCCTGGATAACTTCAAGCAGCACCTGAACCGGATGCACCATGAAGAGGATGGGGAGGGACTCTTGAAAAAGTGAGTTTTAAATGGGACATCCAATCTGACAAGCACTAATTTATGAATAGGTCCATGGATTGGTATGAGACAGTCATCCTTTGCCAACCAGAACAGAGCTTCGACGAGCGTAGCTCAAGAGATGAGTCGGTATTAGAAGCGGAAGAAGACGAGGCGTCCGTCCAGTCGACTGCCGATCTCGAGCCGGAATATGGTTCAATGTCCCAACAGAGGACCGACGTCTTCACATTTGGTGCTGCCACGCCGAGACCCCCTCAGTATGATACGCCGTCTCTTGTTGACTCGACATCTCCTCAATTCCCCGCTTTTGGCTCCCTGGGTCTGTCAACAACGACTCAAAATTCGTCCGCTGAACGCGGCATCACAAAGTCCGATGGATCGGTTGCAGATGCAGCTGATAACTTAATCAACGCCATGACGAAGATGATGAACAACCGCGGGCGGAGACCAAGTCAGAATATCGACGAGGGGATCGACCTTGAAACCGACGCTGCTCAGCTATCCCAGCCCCAGCGGCAAATGCTGCAGAAGGTTCTTTCGGTGGCCCTGGAACGGTTATCCGACGACAACGAAGCAACCACACAAGATCCTGATAGCGAAAAGCGTGGCTGGTTCCAATGTGACGCGTGCCCAAAGCAGACCCGGCTACGATGTGAAATGAAGTAAGCTGCCCCTGACCCTTCCGTGTTATCATCAGGGTATTAACCACAGCTTCACCAGGAAACACCAGAAGCGTCACGAACGACCATACGGCTGTACATTCCCCCACTGCGCTAAGTCATTTGGCAGCAAAGCTGACTGGAAGCGCCACGAGAGCTCCCAGCATCTCGGTATGCCAAGTTGGTTCTGCACAGAACACGATGTGCAAACAGGCGCCTCGTGCGAGCGGCTGTTCTATCGACCCGACACATATACCCACCACCTGCGCCAGCACGGGATTCATGAATATCACGTCGCAGCTTCGGCTGGCAATAACCGGCTCGATCTGGCTGGCCAGTCGCACTTCTGGTGTGGGTTCTGTAACCACAGAGTCCCACTAAAGAACCATGGCCCGGAGGCCCTGGATGAGAGGTTCAATCATATCGATATTGAGCATTTCAAGAAAGGAGAGAGGGGTCAGGACTGGCGGTTCCCATCTTCGTCACTCGAGGGAGACGAGATGGATCAGACTAAGGATGTTGCGGTACAGACGTTCGACCACAGTCGGAAGGCTTCAACGACCGGCGAGCGGAAGCGCAAGTATGCTGCGGCATAACATGCCAGGGTTTTTGAATACTGGAATCCTCCGTAATATAATAAGAATATTCTGCAATGTTTGGTTTATTGGGATATCATCAAGACAATGTATCTCCAAGTCTGGAATTGCCATGGCATTATTCAAAGCCACAATATAATATGGTGTTGAGCATCAATGAAACATAATATGGTACAGATTTTCTCAAGATTTTTCTCAAGATCGGATTTATTTCTGGGTGCTAGTAATCTCCCGGGCCTCTTTCTCTAGCACGGCCACTTGCTCTGCAGAAAGGGTAAGCAACATGCATGATAGGGTAATGCATTAATTTTTATTGATCTCACCATTCTTTGCCACCTTAGTCTCATCCATCTCCAACTTTAACCAAGTCCAATAAAGGACCTGGTAGACGAACACGCCCCCCAAGAAGACCTTGGCGAAGGGGCCAGTAAAGGTTCGATATTGGTTCATCTAGATAGAAAATTAGAGGATTGCAATTCAATACTACGGTCCTTTAAAGAAAAGCATATACATACCCCTTCTTTGTATGCACTCGGCTTCTCAGATGAGTTGAATATAGCATGTGTGGAGGTGAAGGTGCGTCGTCTCATGGGAGCTCGAGCGGATTGAAAAGACATCACAGCCGGCGTAAACCGACGAGCTGATTGTGAAAACATAATGTGATTTTAAGAAGGTTGCCTTCTTTCTCGTTGTTATCCGAGGAGACTAGCCAGGGTGATGTTGAAGTTCGCGTTCCATTTCGGGTATAGTGGTCTTGGCGTTGGTTCCTCAGGTGTCAATTTATTACATCGTCTCTCGCTTTCTCTCTCTCTCATAATTATACAGGCTGTATCCAGAATAAATCGAGACAAAAGCTAAGTACGTAGTTTTCAAGTGGCGCACGCTTGCTAGAAATGGGGTTGAAAGAATGTACTTTGGTTACCGCAACATTGGAAGGCAGTTCTAGTCTAGGAGTGGTCTGATTTATATCGATGGTCGAGTAGTACCTTTTTTCTTCCATCGAATCTCGGTTTCTTCCAGGCTAATCGATTATGTTCCTTTTGGGCGTCGGCGCTTGACCACCCAATGATGTGATATTTACATAATGTGTAGGCTTCTTTTTCTTTCTTTTTTTTTTCCAAGCTTGGAGGTGGTAACTTGCTGTACATGTAATTCATCTCCAAAATAATATCTTTCAGTATGGCCTGGCAAATAGAGTCTTGGAAGATTGAACGCATCAAAATCTACAAACGTGATGGATATGTATGGCGATACAAATTTGTATACAGCAAAGGCAACCGAAAAGCTCGTTGTGAGCTCGATCTCTTCGTAAAGCTTATCATGGGTGATTACCATGTCCGTGAACTTGCTCAGCAGGAGGAAACACTGAAAGAAAAGGGCCGGGCACTCCGAAAAATGCGAAACGCGGACGAAGATGAAGCACAGCTCCAGAAACTGGAGGAAGAGCAAGAGGCGCTCCGGAAGAAATGTTGGTATCAGGAGTGGGAGCTCTACAATTGGCAATGCAGCATTCCCAGTGGCCCTATAAAACTTGCCTATGAATCATTAAGAAAGAATCCAAAATGGTATATGCAAAAGGAACTGATCAAGGATTGTGCTGCGCGAGGTGGTTGCTGCGGGCGTGGCTGTGGGTGCTTCGAGAAACGCGAGTCTACTCCTGGACGAGACATGGGAGCCGGGCACTGCACCACTGGGTGTGCATGCTGCTTGAGCTTCCGAGGATATGAGCTCACTGCAACAGAGAGGGACGACATTAGAGATGCGCTGAAAGCGAATCTCGAGGACCGGAATATGAGAAATTATCTTCTCACATTGTCGCGCGCTTACTTGATAAGGGACAAGGAGGTTGAGAAGAAGGTCGAGGATGTCGATTCGGCGCCAAAGCGGTCCAAATGGAGGGAAATTATCGGAAGGAAGTAGATGGCTACTCGTGTAATGATGCCTTTGACACTATTGCTTGGAGTTGGAGATTCAACGGTTGGGCTATATACATATAGTCAATGGAATTCATCGCTACTATTATTAAAATGGTTATCTTGGCAGGGAGAAAAAATTGCACACCGTTGATTTCACGATAGCAACGCCCTGGGCCTTGTGTCAAGGTATATATTGGAGAGCTTTCATCAGTGCTTTAGTGCGACATGAGTGAAATGACATCAATAGGAACATCTTGATATCAAATTAAGAGGTCTATAATAAGACAAACTGCACTAGGAAGACGACAATATAGACGGCAATATATTCTTAATTGGCTTGGATGGGTTAGATGAGTATCGGTGTATGTCATGTAGATCTTCAGGGCTGTCCAGCACGAGCCACTGCTGAGTCAGCAGCACATGATATCAGGTCCGGTCGAAAGCGTCGCAGAAAAAAAGACAACGAAAAGGAAAAAACAAAGGGCGCTATTCTCGTCTTCTTCATGTCCCAAATTGTCCTCTGACACCTCCTGTCATCATTGTATCATGCCATTCCCCCACACCTCCATCAATCCTGAATGTGCCGTATTGGGGCATCAAAATGGTTGAGAGAATCCATTTAGCCAATTCAGGAGGGGAATGGAGCACTACAATAGCTAGATTCATGGGGGCTTGATTCATGGGCTGAAGGGTGACAATGGCTATTGAAGCAATTCCCCCCATTGAGAGAGGGTGGCACGTGCGCTTTGTTGACTAATTGAGGCGCCACAATAAGTGGCTGATGCATTCAGGCAGTCAGCCCCAATGAGCGCGAGTCCTTTCCGCCCTTCTTCCCTGAAGTCTTTGTTCCTCGAGTTCCCATCGTCTTCTACTTTCTTTTACTTTCAACAATTCTTCCCTTGTACTGCGCATTTGTCTTGGTGGCTGACTGCTTTCCCACACTTTTGTTTTCCCACGCGTTCCCGAGTCCGTGAGACCCTTCCACCTCTGCCCCAATTGCGCTCCACCACCGTGCGGTCTCCGCTAACATATTGATCAGCAATTGTCGGGAAGAAAGTGTCAAGGTTGCTGCTGTAACAGGCAGATTCTTTCCTTTTGATCGAGTGGTCCAGCTGTTGCTGGCGACAACTGAACCATTCGTAAGTGTTGTCCCTCCTGCCCGCATCGCGCATGGTCGTTGATCCGTCTTTTTCCATCTTTTTATCTTCCTTGTTATCTGGGCCATTGACCCCGTTGACTGTGTCCTTATTGTACTTCCCAAATTGGACCGTTTTGTGCTGACTTTGTGGTTTCAAAGTGATCCCCCAATCACCCAAACTACGCCATGGCTCGTGGCGCAAAGCGTACCCTGGACGAGGTTGCCAACAAGTCCGACTCCGACGATGAGGACTACAGCGATCACGCTCACTACTCGCGTTCGACTGGCCGGAAGTCGAAGGCCAGCCCCAAGAAAAAGTCTCGGCCGGCCCCAAAGAAGAGACGGCGCGGCTCAGACGACGGTCTTACCTCGGACGAGGAAGACCTGTCCGAGGATTTTGATTTCGATGAGGTGGAAGAAGAATCGGAGGAGGAAGTTGAACGCAATGTCAGAGGAACGGCGCGTCGACGAACCACCCAGAGCCGTCGCCCGCACTACGAGGAACCCGATTCATCAGAAGAGCTGCTCAACGATGATGGTGAGAATGAGACTCGACCTCCTCCACGCAAGAGCACTGTCATCACGTTGAAACTCCCACCCAATTACTTGGCCTTCTCTAAACGTGTAACCCGCCGTACCCGTGACGCTTCAGAGGATATCTACGCCCTTACCAACTCTGGCCGTCACATACAAACCGTTGAGCGAGGTACACATACTCCAGAAGCCGAGATTCTATCCCCGTCTCGCCGCGTTGCCAGAGTCGACCGCTTGGCCAAGCGCACAATCATTGATGAAGAGGATGAGGACGCCGAAGGACATGAGGATGTCGAGGAAGTCATCGATGAAACGACTATTCAGGGCTCACAAATGGAGGTACTGGAAAGTGACGTGCATCAAGGCGGCGCTGAAGGTGATACATTGCCAGTGAATGATGGAGACGACGAACCAATTGACGAAGAAATGCCGGATGAAGACGTTGTCCCTGAATCAGAAAATGGCGATGCGAAGAATGATCATTCTGAACACACCGATGAACTCCCAACAACTCGGCGACGAGGCAGACTCTCCCACGAGCAAAGTCTCGAGGAGAATGCCGCGCAAGACGCGGAGACAAATGAAGAATCGCAACTACGTCGATCCAGCCGTAAGCAGCCGTCTCGAAGCTCACAGCGCAAAAGCAAAAATGAAGAAAGTGATTTCGAGCCAGAGGAGGAGCCATCGAATGATGAGGAGGAAGACTCGGAGCCTGAGTCGCGTGCCTCTCCTCGCAAAGAAATTCAAGCTCGCGAGGAAGCCGAGGATAGCTCTGCCAGTCGGCGCCCTGGCCTACGCCAACGGCCCTCTCGAACCCGCGCACCCTCAGAGGAGGCAGAAGAACTCGCCGAAGAATTGGAAGACCTTACTGGCCGAGCCCGTCGCCGTGCGAAGCAAGCGGTCGTGTACGAGAAACCGCGTCGCAACCGAAAGGACGTTGATTATCGCATCATTCGACCTGAAATGCTTCAACCTAATGAAGACACCGACAACGAAGTGACAGGATCTCCATCCCGGCGTGGTCGGGGAGGTGGAGGCTGGCAACGCACTTTGTTCTCCACGTTGGGCCCATTCGGTGGCGGTGGTAATTCAGCAATTCTCGGTGTTCCTGGTGGCCCTACTGCAGTCGGAGGAGCAGACAGTGATAGCAGTGATGATGAAGGTGCCCAACAGCCAAATCGTGCTCCTGGTGTTGGAGTTGCAGTCACCCACAACCAGTCGGCTGACCCTGGTCAGAACTCGGCCGGCACGCCTGCAAACCTTGGCAAATTCAATAACAAGCAGGCATTGGCTGACGCGGATCCCCTGGGGGTTGACATGAATGTCAACTTTGACCATGTTGGTGGTTTGCAAGGGCACATTGACCAGTTGAAAGAAATGGTTTCTTTGCCGCTGCTGTACCCGGAAATCTTCCAGCGTTTCAAAATTACCCCTCCTCGCGGTGTTTTATTCCACGGTCCCCCTGGTACCGGAAAGACGCTCATGGCTCGGGCTTTAGCCAACAGCGTCAGCTCAGAAGGACGCAAGGTCACATTCTACATGAGAAAGGGTGCGGATGCATTGAGCAAATGGGTCGGTGAGGCTGAGCGACAACTTCGACTTCTTTTCGAAGAAGCTCGCAAGAACCAGCCTAGTATCATCTTCTTTGATGAGATTGACGGTAAGAGAGGCCCTTCCGAACCCGTACTTGACAATCGCTAATATTCTATATCAGGTTTGGCTCCCGTGAGATCGAGCAAACAAGAACAAATCCATGCCTCAATTGTCTCGACTCTGCTTGCATTGATGGACGGTATGGATGGCCGTGGTCAAGTGGTTGTCATCGGTGCTACCAATCGACCTGACTCTGTTGATCCTGCTCTTCGCCGCCCTGGTCGTTTTGACCGTGAATTCTATTTCTCGCTGCCTAATATCGAGGCACGTCGTGCTATTCTCGACATTCACACCAAGGAATGGGATCCTCCTCTTCCAAACAACATCAAAGATGAACTGGCGGATATGACCAAGGGTTATGGCGGTGCTGACCTACGAGCGCTTTGCACTGAGGCTGCAATCAATGCTGTACAAAGAAGATACCCCCAAATCTACAAATCAGACCAAAAGCTCGTGATCGATCCGAAGACAATCGATGTCGCCCCCAAAGATTTCATGCTGGCAATCAAGAAGATGGTGCCCTCTTCAGAGCGGTCTACCTCATCTGGTGCGAATGCCCTCCCTCCGAACATTGAACCCTTGCTTCGTCATCCATTATCCGAAGTCAGATCTTTGCTGTCCGAGATTCTTCCACAGCGAAAGAAACTTACTGCTCTCGAGGAGGCTCAATATGAGGAGCCGGATGATGGTGCAGGCTTCACCCGAGAGCTCCTTTTGCAGGAGTTTGATCGCTCGCGTGTCTTCCGACCCCGATTGCTCCTTCGGGGCCCCCACGGCATGGGCCAGCAATACCTCGCGGCCGCGCTACTGCATGTGTTTGAGGGCCTGCATGTGCAAGCCTTCGATCTCCCCACTTTGCTGGGTGACTCAACCCGCTCCCCAGAGGCAGCTGTCATTCAGCTATTCACGGAGGTCAAACGACACAAGCCGAGTGTGATTTACATTCCCAACATTCAATTGTGGTTGCAGACCGTCGGGCCTACTGTGATTTCTACCTTCATGAGTCTTTTGCGGTCGGTGCCACCTTCTGATCCAGTTCTTTTGCTTGGTATTCTTGAATCACAAGAAGAGGAAGTGGATGATGGTCTACTGAAGAACATGTTCGGGTTTTCCAAGAAGAACCTGTATGATCTATCTGCTCCAAATCATGATGCGCGTCGAGAATTCTTTGGAAAAATTATTGAATTCGTCAAGACTCTTCCGAAAGGATTCCCGAATCCAGAAAATCGCAAACTTCGTCAGCTGGAACAATTGGAAGTCGCGCCACCTCCGCCTCCCACGCCCGAGGCAGAGCTCACCAAGGAGGAGATCAAGGCCCAGAGGAAGAAAGATTACATATCCTTGAATCTTTTGAAAACCCGAATTCAGCCTATCATGGATCAAGTCAAGAGGTACAAGCGTTTCAGGTCGGGCGTGATCGATGAATCTCAAATCCGATACTTGTGGGAGGAAGAAAATCCCAACATTGTTACCAGTGATCTTCCCCCGGATCAACAGAATACCTTCCGGCCTTATGAGAAAGCATATGACAAACATGGTGTGTTGGGTCTCCGTGAAACTGCCACTGGGAAGTTCTACTACAACCTGGAGATTGTGACAATCGAAAAACGCCTTGCAAACGGATACTACAAACGCGCCATCGACTTTGTGGCGGATGTCAAGCGAATGGTCAAAGATGCTCGTCAGACTGGTGATCCGGAACGTATCTTGCGGTCAAGTGAACTTTTGACAAATGTCGAAGTTGATATCGCCGGTGTTCTGGTAGCCGAGCCAGCTCTTATGGCTGAATGTGAGCAGGTCTATCTGCGTGAGATGGCTCGCGAAAAGGAGGCCGCGGAGCGTGAGAAACGTGCCCAGGCGGAGAATGCAGCTCCTCCTATTCCTGAGCCTACCAATGTGTCGCACGATAACACTGAATCGGGCCTATCGACTGGCCCAATTCAACTCGGCGAGGCGTTCCCCGACAATGAGGATGACAAAAAAGCAGCTTCGCGCCCCGTGACCCCCACATTCCCGCTCAAGGGCTTCGCCAATGGGGAACATCACGGCGGTGGTTCGGATCTAAACGAGTTTGGTTCCCATGCTGTCGGCGCGAGCAATGGTACCCATGGAGATGGAGACGGCGACATTTTCATGTCCAATTCTGATGATCACTCGGGTAGCAAGGACACCCAGGGAAGCTCATTCGGGCCATCTGCACAGCCCAAGCCTCCTTATTCCCACACTGCACCTTCTCAGCAGATTCGTCGCGAATCTGGTCTTTCCAGCTTCTCTCAGCGAGGCCCCATGACTCCAATGGCCCCCGGATCTCAGCCAGCTGATTATACCAATGAAGCATCCACTACCCAGACGACTTCTGATAAGAAATCCTCTGAGAATTTGTCGAATCAAAACTACCACACTCAAAGCCCTCACGTCTCAAGAACCGAATACCCCGACCTTACTCCATACCCCGATCGCGTGTCGCAGGAAGACCACCTGCCCGACACCCAGCAAAACGACAGCAGCCAGCCTTCTCCCCATCCCCGGGACTCGTTGCTTAGCAATGCAGACACCCAGGAGAACAGTGGTTTGAATGGAAGCCAGTCGCAGTCGAAGCCACAACCTCCGCTGTTCGATGCACCCAACATGCCAGCAACCAATGCTTCGGCTAACTTGCAATCGATCCTGAACGAAGAACCCCATGAGCCATTCGTCCTCGATCTTGAGGTTGTTGAGCGTCTGCACACGCAGCTAACCTTGTCAACCAGCGGATTCTCAGTAGAGCAGCTGGAGCAAATCAACACCAATCTGATGGACTATGTGTGGCGCATGCGTGGAGAATGGAACCGTACCCGCGTCGCTGATGGTCTCGGCAAAACATACAATGCAGTCCTAGAAGACATGCAGGAGATGCAGGAGATCGGGCCCATCAGCCAACAGACCAAGGATATCTTGGCCAACCTGAGTTTCCAGTGAGAGCTGTGTGATGGGTCTACCATACTTTCACCCTTTTATTTTTTGTCCCTTTTCTTACTTTGTCAATATGTTGACTCAGTTCATATTCCCCTTTGACCTGGCGATGGTTTTTCTTTTTTTTCTTTTCTTTCTTTTTCTTTGTGGCGAGATGGATGGATAGGGGGAGCAAATGTGTCAATTACCCATTTTTCTTAATTGTTTATGCAAAAATTAGTTCCAGCGGGTTACTTGACATGGGAAATGTATGTAGACTATGAGGATAATGGTCTAAAATGTTATTTCTCTTCGTAAATGTAACTCTTATATAAGATGTGTAGATCTACACTTTTTATACTTGGGAATGAACATGTGACGTGACCCACTAAACACCCTGGCCTTTCGAGCTTGACCAACACCACCAACACCACGTTTCGCACTTCAAGGCCCTTCTTTTCTTGATTTCACCTCACTGGTAATGACAGCTTGACTATTTCTATCTCATCTTCTTTCCCGGACCTTCAATACCTCCATATATCTCTACCTCGAAAACCACATCGCCGCAATGTTCGACGTGGACTGGCTCAGTCTCGCCGTCCCAGTCGCCTACCTAGGCATTCTCTTGGGATCGCTTGCCACATTCTCCTCCCTCTACCGCAAGGACAAGTCCCGTATGTGAAATTTCCCTAGAAAGCCTCAACCTCTCGACATCCAACCATTCCGCGCGCCGACGTGTCCAATTGTCCTCCAAGGCTAATATATGATTTGTCTATCATTCTAGGCAAGGCAGCATCTCTAGAGCCATGGTTCCCTGCCCACCTCCAGCGCGATATCTACTTCTCTCTCCTTCACCTTGAACCCTCAACAACCTCCACAAAAGAGAAGAAGGCCCCCGCCATCCCCGACTCTATCTTCAAGGCATCTCTTCTCCGTCGCGCAGCTGAAGACATCCGTCGCATTATGGCACTACGCAGTCAGAAGCAAGCTCTCACAACGCTCGTCCAACGTGGTAGTGTCGGTGATGATCTCTGGCAGCGATTCCAGCGCGCGGAGAAGGAGATGGAAGACGAGGTCAAGGATGTGGTTTCGGAGGTATGATAAGCTCCGTTCTCCGTGGCCAATAAATCATTTTTCTGGGTTTTCGGCGAATAAATGATTGTATATGCTTCGTGCTTTGCTAACCAAAATCAAACAGGCAAACGCCTATGTCCCCGGCTGGGGCCAGACTATCTTCCAGTCTGCCAACGAAATGATGAATAACGATATCTACCGCAAGCGCATGGACGATCAGCAAAAGAAATTGGAAGAGGAGCGCCAGTGGTGGAGCAAGAAGAAGACGAGTATCCAGGAAGGATTCATGAAGGAGTTGAATGAGGGCTCGGTGGCTTCCACCGACGAAGCTAAGACTACCAACACCACAACCAAGTCCTTTGAGGCTGCATCCACGACCCCTGCCGCCGGTACCTCTGTCCAGGGCAGTGATGACGATGCTGTTCTTGTGGAGGCGGAAACCTCGAATACACCTGCTTCTCCACCAAGCGCAAAGAAGAAGAAGGGCAAGGGCAAGAAATAGATATGAGTCGCTTTTTCTGTTATTTGTACTTTTTATCTGGGGTTCAAAATACACTCTCACTGCTAGGGGTTTTTGGGCTGCGGATTTTGCAGGAATTTCCATTATTATACCAGTTATAGGTAAGGTTGAATACTCAGAAAACCTATCAATATACCACGAACCGGCCAATTCAAGCCCAGATTCAATTATGGTGACCTTAAGCCACTAGTCGGACAATAAATCTCTTGCAGAACTTCTTTCCTCTGGTCGCCACCGAAGCATTTTGCGCATGAATGCAAGAAAGAGTTGCTGCTGTTCACCTTGTAGATTTACCTCGTGCTACTCCAAAGTTCTTGAAGGAATTGGAACGGCTCCCTTCCAATTCCCTTGATTTCTTCAAGTCAGTATTGCTCTAGAGGTCTGGATTTTTAAGGTACCGTACCGTACCTTCAATATCAAAGAACTCTGTAGCATAGCCACTGTTCTGCAGCATCTCTCTCGGTGGTGGTCCAAGAAGCGCAATCATCTCAGCGATGTGATTAGCGTTCTAGTCTTGCTTCTACGAATCTCTGCCGTAAAATAGATGTCCTTGTTAGAAAAGGTCCCAGGTCGAGAGTAGTTAGATCATTGTTAGTTAGAGAATTGGTATTACTACTTACGACAACCCTAATATTCCAAATATCGACCTTTTGACCAAGACATACGTAGTAAAACCTTAGGGGCGCGGTATATATATGATTGTATATCACCAGAATAACGAGCTGACCCAAAACGAGCCTGGCCAAAGTCACATAGAACAGGTCAGCCATACTGCTTTATTTTCTTGAGCTTGCGAGATAAATAAATCACTCGGTCTCCAACCTTCTAACTAGGATTGGATTTCTCTCCCTCAAAATTAGCTAAGATTGAAGGATCTTCAATACCGATCATAACATTGGTTTCTTATATATCTAGAGGGAATGTGTTAGGACTAACAAGAAGTTAAAAAGGTACCAAAATTATCTTACCGGCGTGGATAATGCCAACTTCTGTATGGAGATAATCAAGAGCAAGTAGGAAATGCATCAGAATCAATTTCACTAATTTCTCTGGTAGTACTTTGGCTGCGGACTGAGTTCGGAGCTCATATAGACTTATGCCTAGAGGCTGGTGCACAATACACTGGTAGAGTCCTTGTGCAGCGATCTGGAAGCTATCCAGCACCGTGCGAACTAACATGGCACCGTCATGGGATGCACTATACGATACAGCAGACGCGTTAAGAAGGTCGTAGGCTTCGCCTTCTCTTTTGCCTTCGGTTGAATCACGTTCTTCAATGTGACATATTTATGCTGTCTACCACATCACCAATTCGTGTAACAGTTTTCCGCATCGATAGAACATACGGGAGATCCTTGCAAAGCCACGCCGTCGAGTATGCCCCATATCCTATTTTTCCAATAACTTGGTACCTATATTGGAAAACTTCGCCGATTTTCACAGGATAAGAGCGATCCGGCGTGTACCATGGAAGCGTTTCTTCTTCAAACTTGTTTGAATCAAGTTGGATATTGGATTGAGTGAATTGCCGCACGAGTGAAGCAGGGTGAAAACAAGGACACTTAAAAAAGCTGAAGATAATGCCCAAATTCAAGGGGCGACCTCCTTATATAGACTGTTCTGCCAGAGTCAGGTAACCACCTCATTACTCTCTATAGTACGCACACTACTTACATATGTAGGTAGTATAGACTGAGGGCATGGCTGGTAGAGGAGATGGGGATGATCTCGTATTGAGAAATAATACATTCTCCAATACGCTGCGAGGTCAATGCCGCCAAATAGCCTGACTATAGTGTACAAAACTAGCGGCCCATTTAGTAAAAGACTGAACAAAAACCCCATAAAAAGTCCATAAAAATAAGTGATATTGGAAGTTGTCTTTTAAAGACAACAATAGAAGGACAACTGCCAAAGACAATCACATTTCTCATCCTAGTGTTCTGAACAGGGATGCTGTGGAAAATAACACCAAACATAAATAGAACCGAAACAAACTGGGTGGATATTGACAGCATTGGTTCAAGGAAGGGGGTTTCAAGTGGACTTAGATCCAGGATCAGGCTCTGGGTAGGGAAGGGTAGGAATTGGAGTGGGTTGAGGTAGAGGCCCCCACTTCTTAACCTGGGACTGTAGAGCTAAATGACCTCTAGGAGTGTCTCATAACGCTGTATCCTGTCCCGGAGTGCAGTCACTTCTCTGCTCTGCACTGTTAATAGGGCGTACAAGGTCTGGTTGAATGAGTATTGGTTGTTTCGGTCCCGTTGAATTCTGCGCAGTTTCTGTAATAGTTCAGCCATCACCGTAATGTTCTGGGTGCTACTAGAAACTTGGGAGGAAGATAGGGCAGGTTTGGGTGAGCTAGCCAGTTCAGCATGGATGACGGAAGACCTCGCCGGGGTCGACTTGGCTGTGGATGATGCAGTTTGCCTCGGGGATAGGTTCTCCGAAGAAACTTGCCGGAAGAGATATTGCCCTACTAGACGCGGAATACACGAATGAAGGAGCTGGTGAGGTAATTTGAACCTCCCCTTCTCCACGGTTTCGGGAAAGTGCGCATATTGGGTGCGAATATAACCTCTATCCATTTGAAAAGCAGTTTCGTACTTTCTCCGGATGGTCGGCTTAAAGCCAATTGACTGGCGTAAGACATCATCGGTTGTGGTCGTGTATCCCGGATCGGGATATGAGATGGATGGTGTGGGCCTAGCTGGAATGGGGTGTTGCTGTAGGTCGTGGTCCCGTACATAGCTCGTGGGTTGAGGACTGGTTGAGACGGGTCCCTGCCAGACCTCATCGCCTGGGCAAGAAGAGCCTGCAGGTCGTGCACCGACATTGAGCCTGTGGGATTTCCGGTCATTGGTTCAATAGAATCAGGAGTTTATGGGAATGCTGGATATTGACGCGTCATCTGGCTGTAGAGGGCTGGGTAGAGCGGCTGGACGGATTGCGACAATCGTAGAGGGGGAGAGAGAGGAGGAAAGGGAAGATCAATGGAGAGGAGTAGAGGAAATCCCAGAAATATGGTAGACCTACATCGAATGTAAGTACATTATGTCTAAATACAATATAATATACACAACCCTAGTGATTTGGGTCTAAAACAAACCGTGAAACCATCAAATCAAACGCCATGATTTCCTAAATCCAATGCAACGGAGAAGCCAAAAATAGCTGGGAGCAACATTGGAATGCCTTGACTGACATGTTACAGAAGCTTGCTATCGTCTACCCCCAAGGGCGGCCCCAAGTCGATATGTTCGGCCAACATCTCCTTCGCCGCTACCTCGAGTTTATTTTCAACTTGGACTGGATCCAAGGCATCTGCTCGACTCATCACGATCCGTAGTAGACTAGCCATGATCTCCAGCTGGTACTGTTCCATCTCACGTGGATCCAGCTGTTCAAGACTCAATCCTTGCAATCGCAGGTTTTCAGCTTTGCGATCACCCAACAGTTCTAGCAAACGGTTAACTTGGCCGATATTCTCTTTGCTTCGTGGCGTCGAAGACAAGCGGCGGAGGCGCCGTTTGGGAGTGTCAGTCGGTACACCAGCCAGTCGGGCAATTTGAAGTACTATCATGCGTGCGGTGGTGTCATCAGGTGCGAAGCCGAAGGCAGAATGCATCGAGTGTATGGCGACCAATGTGCCAGAGACGTCTTTCGAGAGACAGAAACAGCGCACAATCTGATCAAATAGAGCTCTAGGAATCTGCGCTTGGGTGGCTTTCTGGGCGCGAGGAGATAACTGGGAGTACCAGGATATCATATTGGCATAGAGCTGACGTGCTGATGGAAAGCCCACATCGAAGGCAGTACGCCCACGGTCGTATTGGAGCTTGGCACAGTCCCAGAGGCAGGCATACGTTTCCACGTCGGGCCGGATGGCGGTAGACATTGTCTGAAACTTGGTCCAGAGTTTTTTCACGTCTTGCTTTCGGAGTTCTGCGTATAGAAGGTGGTTCATGAAGTAAGAGTTCGGCTTGATATGTGCATCCCCAAGACACTTGACCAAGTATTTGACCATGTCGTCGTCACCTCGGCGTGTATAATGAAGAAGAAGAATAGAGAAGGTCTCGATGCTCGCAGGCGGAACCTCTCTCTGCATAAACCGAGGCATGCGTACAGATTCTGTTTCCCCATACTGGACTTGAAGTTGAGGGGAACTCTCGGCTGGTAGGTATCGCCTCCATACAAGATCGATGCGCTTCTGGATCATAGCCCACGCAAGTCGCTCTGCCTTGTCACGTGCACTCGTATTCCCATCACGGAGCCAGCCGGCAATGATTCCATTCAAGTGCTTGCTATCAGGCTTGACACATCGCTCATACATGAGTTCAATGACTAGAGCAGCAGAGTCGACCTCGCCCATACCAATGAGCTTCTTCATCCAACTTGCATAGAAGAACCGGTTCTGAAACTGGCGAGGCAACACCTTGAGCGCCGACAAAGAGACCTTGTTCACTTCATTTTCGTTGATGCTCGATGCATGGAGGTTACCCGCCAGACCCAACGCGGCTTTGTACAAAGCAGTCGAGTCATTGGCCGGGTCTTTTCCGGTCACCATCATATCCTTGAAGATTGCAACTGCAGTATCCAATCGACCAGCCGTGAGAAGGGCAATGCTGATCTGATCATAGTCTTCCATGGTCATATCAGAGCCCAGGAATGTCTTCAGCTGCAGATAAAGTGCCCAAGCCTTTACTTCAGCTTCCTTTCCGGGCAGCCTTCCCCATGCTGTGATGACAGGGATGAGCACACGCGGCTGACGAGTTCGATCGTTTGCTAGGAAAGCCAAAGCAATATCTTGAGCTCGTTGTGGGTTGTTGTCTGCAGCAAATAATCGTACTCCGAGCTTCCAGTATTCTTCCAAATCCTCCTTCTTCTGGGACAGCTCTGCTTGATATGCCTCCCATTGCTCCAGTGCAAGGTTGGTGGAGCCGCTTTCATGCAGAGAGGTGATATAAAACAGGATTTGAGGCGTAGCCAGTTCTTGGCCGATAGATGTAGCGTCCTGGACTAGAATTTGCAAATGTGTTGAGCGTGTAGCCTGGTCGGTCTCTCCTATTGCTTGTGAATCCCATATTGTTTCAAGCGCCCTCTCGGGCATTATTGTCAAAAAGGCTGGGATGGTCTGCTTGCATCGTCGGTACCACTTCCATAAGTCTTGTCGAGCCCGCTCGTCTGACATCTTTTCCTGGAGTCGTCGTAGGGAATTATTGAACTTTATAGCGTAAGGATGAGTCTCTGCCCCTGCACGCTTTGCTGCGGCAGATCGTCTGGCAGCTATTCTTCGCCGATTCTTGACGCCATCCTCCCAATTCTCTTCTTCCATCGCGAGGCCTTCAAACTCCTCTCGTAGCATATCATCAAGCTCTTTGTCGAAAACTTGATCCAAGCTAGGCTCGTCTGCAGGCTTAGGATTTTCCTCGTCAAATTTTCTCAGAGCTTCTAGAGCAATCTTCCGGTCCTCTTCAGGCAAACTTTGGATGAAAGGGCTGTTGGGAGCGAAAGGTCCCTCCTCCAAAACCTTCAATTCATCTTGGAGCTTCGCGAGCTCCTTCTTGACCTCATCTCGCTCCTTATTATCTTCGGCTTCGGGGTCGATTTTGCGACGTGTTTTGCTCTCGGGGGATTCTTGTTCGTAGAATGTGACTTTGTCGTTCGGTCCGCCAAAATTAAGACGCCGCGGAGCTACGGCGGAGAAGGCCCGGCGTGGAGCGCGTGTCGATGGGATGCGGGCCACATGCTGACACCATCGGGCTCCTTGAATAGCCTGGCGCAGCATGAAGTCTGAAGTCAATCGGTCATCGAATGCGACCAGAAAAACAGAAAAGTTGGAGAAGTGAAGAAGTTCAAGTTCGGAAGAGAACCAATTATCGCCTGATTAGGTTTAGCGCTTGTCGCGCTTCCGCCCTTGAAGTCATCCCCATTGCGACAACCAACTCCTTTTGAGCAGCAGCATGGATGCTGATGGATTGAACGATGCCTTGGGCTTGTCAAATGACAAGTCCCAAAACCTGGTTTGTCTTGAGATCTGACATGATATCCTTGGGGTTGCGCGCTAACAAATCACCCCAGGGTGCGTACATCTACCAACCGCCCAAACATGGAAAATCAGCAGGCGAACGACCTTCGAAGCGCCGCAAAGTCTCGTCAACCGCCGGCAGAGACGAGCAGGCTGATAGGCAGCGTTTTGTGCCCCTTTTGAATGGAGACGAGAACGCCGAATCCGTCCAATTGCGATATGATACCTACCAGGAACTCTGGTCGAAGCAAGAAAACAAGATCCAGGTCAGTCAGGCAAATTAAAAAGTGGTCATAGTGATAAACTGCTCACCAGGACTCAAGGATATCCTCGAGGATGTCGACGCTGGAGTTTTGACGGATGTGTTGTCCTTTGTCAGAGACACCTCACCTCAAACGTACGTCCCTACCCCAATGCGATCCACGAACGTGCTCTAACTAGGGCCTTAGATGTGATGGGTGTATTCCAACGGCTTTGGTGACAGTTGGTTCAAATGTGTCCTCGCTCAGCAGATTGCTATCACGGCTTAATGGTCAGTTGATATCGACCGAAGAAGGCAGCGTCGTTGTATTGGAATCAGGCGATGCTCCCAATTTGAAAACAACGTTGAAGAACATTATCCGAGCTACCGTTACGAATACGGATGGAAATGATGGATATCAAAAGTTCCTTACAGATCGTGCTGTATGTGATTGCATCAAAGACGTCAGATTATTGTACTAACCGTTCACCAGGGACCTCGACTTCTCGGTTACGATTTAGATCTTCTTCACGACTATGTGCAGAGAAAGGGGACCAAGAAATTGGTCCTAGCTCTTCGAGATAGCGAGGCTTTTGACCCTGGCCTTTTGACCGATCTTTTGTCTCTATTCAAGTGCGATTGACATTCCAGACTTTGGTCGATCTTCTAACTAACCTTCTACTAGATCATGGCTTGACCGTATACCATTCACAGTCTTGCTGGGAATCTCTACCTCTGTAGAGCTTTTCGAAGGTAGACTGCCTCGCTCATGTGTTGCTCTCCTTCGAGGAAAGCATTTCGAGGTCCAAGAGGCCGGCAACTGTGTTGACCGCATCTATGAGACTCTCCAGACCGACCCGGACACCAATATTTGGCTGGGTCGCAATGTTACCAGCACTCTGTTTGAGAACACAAGTGACTATTTCCAAAGTCCGGAGGCATTTAGTCGCATGGTCAAGGTGAGAACTACCCCCAGTGGCATTAGAAACAGAATTCTAATTTATACAGTATACATACATGTCTCATTTCTTCGCAAATCCTCTGTCAGTACTATTAGCCTACCCAGATTCTACGGTTCTCGCCCAAAACAAGCTCTGTGGGGCCGTCAGAAACCTGCCATCATTCCGAATGTAAGGTTCTCCGGTTCTCAAGTTATATCTCAACTAACATGATTCAAGGTTTTGCGAGGATCTAGTAGAAGAAGGCTCCCTCAAGCAAGTCCGAGATATGCTAGAGGATGACGAATATCTTATTCAAGAGACGCCCAAGTACCTGGATGCAAACCAGCAAAGAATGCGAAACATGTTCCAGGCAGTCCGTGTCGTACATGTCTGTCTTCAATACACACAGAGCGCGAAAAAGACCAATGTGTCGGATCTGTCCGTTCGTGCACTCTCTGGCGAACTGTCCGAGTCCACTATTGTGGAAGAAATGGTCGCCACGGCGAAGACTTTAGATTCTGACAAGCTGGATGAACTCCTCGTGCGTCTCAGGGGGATAATAATCAGTCCAGAGGCCGATACGATTCAAGAAGATCTCAGGACTTTATTGGAAACGTGCTCGGAGTCCAGTCCACTGCGCAGTGGATACAATATCAACAGCACCGTCACAAAAACCACCGTCGTCCAGCAACGTATCCGGCTAAGCAAAGGCCAAGCCGATCTATCGGAACAAGCTGTGGAATATACCAACATCGTCGACCGACTGGTTGCTCTTTTGCAAGTGCATCTCACAGAAACCCTCATCAACCCACAAGATCTGTTTCTACATGAAGCCTTCTTGTTTGATCTGCGAAATCCATTAAAGGAAACATTTGCCCCTCGACCACGCTTTGCAATCGAGCGCGCCCTGGCTACTCCCTTTGATTACCTGCTTTCCTCGTCGGATGTCACTATGACCAAGGTCTCGGCCAAGCAACCTGCCACCGCGATTCTTTATCAGTTGTATCTTGATTCGGGCGCCCTGGTGAATATTCATGATCTCTGGCAGGCTTTCTATGGTGTATTTGAAACTGAAGAGGCTGATGGCTGCGATGACCGAGTCGTGATGTCTTTGTTCTATGGCGCTCTCTCGGAGTTGAAGGCGTTCGGTGTGATCAAGAACAGCCGGAAGAAGACTGACCACTTGGCCAAATCAGCGTGGATGGGGCTTTAGTTTTATCTTGAGGTTCAAATAAAATTCATGGCATATCATATTTCTGGCGTGGGGTATCATGGACATAAAAATACAGTAGCTGACAGGCTAGTTTTGAGACTTGGTTGTCTGGTGTTGCAGACAAGTTGAAGATCATAAAGAGCACGAAATCACCGCGATCAATCAATAGGTCGTTGGATTATGTCGTCATTTCCAATTGGCCGTCCACCGTCGCTCAAGACCATAGCTTCTCTCCTGCGTCGCCGAAGCGCTTGATCTTCGGCACTCCCCTCCTGATGTCTACGCGAAGGAGTTCGTCCAAAAGAGCCTCCTGCCTCACCCGCATCTACCATCCACACATCGCTGTCCGCGTCATCCTCGTCGTGGTCATTTTCTTCAATCATGCTGCCCATCAGTCCATGTTTCCGCAGCTGCTTAATCCCATCCGGGTGCGAGGAAAGGGAGCTGAAGATCGCGCTCATGACTACGTCATCCGACCACCATGTTTTCATGAGGATCACCACATCCCGCCGACGAGAAGGCTCGGCTATTGCACACGGAAATGGATATCTGCAGAGCCATCGGCTGATGATCCCCGCTTCCAATGCGTCGGGTATGTTCTCTGGCAACAAGACATTCAGAATATTCAGCGCCTTCTTCTCTCCCATCGGCCGTGTCTTTGGCAAAATGGGCGAATTGGTCGTAGATGTCTTCTCCACGTGTTCTTCTAATAAGTTGCAAAGACAGTTGATAATGGCGGTAAAGGTGGGTACGTCGGCGAGTCGAGTGCAGATCGAGGTTCTAGTGACTGCAGAATAGTATGAACATTCATATACTGTCAAAATGTAGCAGATTGGGTAGCATACGGGCTCGGTTGGAAACCAAGAAATTCAATGCATTCAGAGCTCGCCGTTGGTGAACTTTGTTCCTGGATTCCAGCTCCTCCAATAGCAAGTCACGAGTATCTCCCTTGGTAGAACGTTCTGAAATGATGCGCAGGGCCCTGAAGAGTATTAGCTGGCGCACAGAGTGGTTCAGGATAACGTTGTTTTAGCGTACGCAGCTCGGAGGTCATGGCTCGTGCTTTGAGAAAGCTTCAAGAGGGTGTCTAACTTGAGAGCTATAGGATTCGTTAGTACAGTAGCATATTAAATATAGATATATGCGCGCCTTCTTCTGTTCCCTCGCTAATGATCTTGTCTTCCTTCTCAACATGTTTGATTTCTGTCAGATCAACGACTTGGCGGAGGTCTGTGGCGATACCGCGTATGGCAAAAAACAGAGAGACGCCTATAGATCAGTTAATCATCTGAACCAAACTCGCTTCGTCAGGCAAAATCGTCCATAGTCCATACCTAGGCATAACCATAGCACACCATCCCCAGAAAAGGGAGCCATAGTGGTTGTGGGAGTTGGAGAGATGCGGAGAACACAATCGGCAGAATCTTGATCGGCGCAGGCCGCGGAGGCGGTGTACCTAATTTTTTTGATGAGAATCACGACGAGGAAAAAAACTCGTAACTCTCGAATTTAAACCCAACCACACAAAATGCCGCCTTCTCAGCTAAAGCAGCTGAAGGCTTCCCTCCGTGAAAATGGAGTTCTTGGTCCTCAGAAGTCCAAGAAAGAAAAACGACAAAATGCGAAGACCGGAGTCGGTGCGAAGAATCGCAACCAGCGCGAGGTCGCCTTGCAAGCCATTCGAGATCGTTTCAACCCTTTCGAGATCAAAACGATAAACAAATCCAGCAAGTTCGACGTCACAACCAGAGACGGCAACACGACCGCTGGAGGCGGCGCTCGCCCAGGTGTTACCAAATCACTGGGTGAAGAAAGAGTAGGTTTATCTGCTTTGGTCAGGCATTACGATTATAAAGCTGACTTTAATTAGCGACGCGCCACTCTTCTGAAAGAGATGAACAGCCGAAACAAGATCGGTGGACTTATCGATCGCCGGTTCGGTGAGAATGATCCCACCATGACACCCGAGGAACGGGCCGCCGAGAGATTTGCGAGAGAGAGCCAGAGAAAGATGCGGAAGGAGTCCATGTTCAACCTTGAGGACGATGATGATGAGATGCAACTTACTCACATGGGTCAATCTTTGTCGTTCGATGGAGCGAACCAAGACGACTTCGAGGCCGGAGACTTGGACGATGCGGAATCCGACGACGAAGCGTCGAGGAAACGGAAGCGACTCCCCGAGGGCGATGAAACCCAGGATCAAGATCAGGACCAGGAGGACTTCATCGACTATGGAGACGAAGAACAGCCAGGGCGCAAAAAGACCAAGGCCGAAGTCATGAAAGAAGTCATTGCCAAGTCTAAGTTCTACAAAGCGGAACGGCAACAGGCCAAAGATGATGATGAAGACCTACGGGAAGCATTGGATAAGGAACTCCCTGATCTTTTCGAGGCTCTACGAGGCATTAAGCCTGCGGTCAAGGCGGCCAAGCCAGAGGCACCGAAGCAGGATTTCTCAGAGATGAACCCAGAGCGCGCTGCCATGCTGGAAGAATCGCAAAACAGCAAGGATCCAGAGAAGGAATACGATCAGCGCCTCAGGCAGATGACATTCGACCAGCGATCAAGACCCACAGATCGCACGAAGACCGAAGAGGAGAAGGTGGAGGAAGAGGCTGAGCGGCTCAAGAAACTTGAGAACGATCGCCTTCGACGAATGCGTGGAGAGCAGCTCACTGACGACGAGGAGGATAATATGGATCAGGACGAAATTCCCGAGGATGACGAGTCGGAAATTGACGATGCTATGCATTTCGGCCTTCCCGCTTACCCTACTGAAACACGCCCTGAACTCGGCGTTGAAGATGAAGATGATTTCATCATCGACGAAGATCTGGTCGAGACAGATTCAAATGCCAGCCTCGACATGGGTGACAGTGACATGGAAGAGGACGAGGAAGATTCGTCGAGCGATGAGTCTGACGGGCCAGATGGAGAGGACGAGCTCATCAACGGAATGACGCTACCGACAGAGGATTCCGCTGCCGCTTCGACCGCTGCCGAGGTTAACAAGGAAGCAAACGGAAAGCTCGCATTCACGTATCCTTGTCCAAAGGACCACGAAACCTTTCTGAGTATCACAAAGAACGTGCCTGTCGAGGAAATCCCGACAGTCATCCAGCGCATTCGAGCATTGCATCATCCCCGGCTTAGGCCTGGCAACAAGGACAAGCTTGGTCGATTTGCTGAAGTTCTTGTTCAACATGTTTCTTACATAGGTAACAAGACTGAGCAGCCTCCATTTGCCATTCTGGAGAATATCATTCGTCACATCCATTCTTTGGCTAAGACCCATCCTTTGAATGTGACAATCGCGTGCCGAGCGCAACTTCGTGAGATTGGCAAGGAACGCCCACTCAATCTGCTGCCCGGCGACCTCATCTTGCTTACCGGCCTCTCAACCTTCTTCCCCACATCAGATCACTTCCACACGACAGCCACACCCGCTCATCTCTGCCTGGCGCGGTATCTGGGTCAGTGCACCACTGCCTCGCTCGCAGACCTTGCAAGTGGTACATTTGCCGCAAGTCTTTGCCTCCAATACCAAAAGGCCTCGAAGAGATATATGCCCGAGTTTGTCAACTACACTCTAAATGCTCTCTGCAATCTTGCTCCTACGGAACCCACTGTCAAGTTTGGAGCCTTCCCCTACAGAAAGTCACAGGAATCTGTTCAGCTCATGCCCTCCAAGAAGGTCACACCTCGCAAGCTGCAATTCCGCGATGTGACCACTTCTCCTTCAGATCCTCAGGCGCAGGAGGAGCTCAAGATCTCCCTCCTTACTACTCTCGTGTCTCTCCTTGGTTCCGCTTCCGATATCTGGGCCGAGAAATCTGCTTTCACCGAGATCTTCACACCGGTCCGTGCCGTTCTGCAGTACCTCCGCCAATCCCTCAAGGGAAAGGTATACTCAGCAGCTCGAGAGCCCATCCAGAGCACCCTAGACAAGATCGATTCCCACCTCGCACAAGCTCGTCTCGTTCGTCGCCCGCTGTTCCTGCACGACCACAAACCCCTAGCCATCAAGACAGCCATTCCGAAGTTCGAGGAGAACTTCAACCCAGACAAGCACTACGATCCAGACCGCGAGCGTGCCGAGTCCAACCGTCTCAAGAAGGAGTTCAAACGCGAGCGCAAGGGCGCCATGCGCGAGCTCCGCAAGGACGCCAGCTTCGTTGCTCGCGAGCAGCTGCGCGAGAAGAAGGAGCGCGACTCCGAGTACGAGAAGAAGTACAAGCGTCTTGTTGCGGAGATTCAGAGCCAGGAGGGCCGTGCCGCCAACGAGTACGAGCGTGCGCGTGGCAGGCGGTAATCTTGCATTTCAACTTCTGTTCCACGTCTGTTTTTCATATATCACACTTAGTTGTTGTACATCCTTTGGGCTGGTATATACATCATTGTTCATCTGGCGTAAGGCTGGGAATAAAAGTCAAGTTCATCGAGATCTACGTTATGTCCACTTTTAGTAAAAGAATTGTTTAGTCAAAAGCCTAACCTCAGTAGATCAAGGTTGTTCACAGTTTCATTTCCTTCGAGGGGTATATATATACTATATGCTACTGCTTCAAATCAATACCAATGCTAGTCAAATATTTACATCGGCTTCTCTGTCCCTGTGGCACCTTCTCCATCCTAGTCTCATTGGTTCGAATGAAGATCCGCTGGAATTCATCACCACCTTGACCCCAAGTCTGCCATTTCGGACTCGAAGGATGACGTTTGGTGTTCGGATCCAGAGACGTAATGAAGCTTGTCCAGTAACCCTGCATCACAGGCACGATGGGTGCGTTGGTGGTGTAGTACGAAGCTGGAGCTTTGTTGTTACTATTGGTCGGACCCCAGATCGCGCTCACTTCGACGGTGTGCGGTGTGCCCACCTCCCGAGCTCTCGTTGGTGGGGTCCTGAACTGCGTAGTGGTAATTCCAGCTTGGGACGCCTGCCGCTGCGTAGATCGAAGACAAGTCAATTCCGGGACAGATGTAGCGTATTTCGCCGTACGCCGTGCTTGCCGGCCGCCAGTAGGACCCAGCGCCAGGGAATTTCTCCGTCTGGTTTGGAGTAAGATATATACTGTTGATCCTGGCAAGATGGCTCTGTTTGATTGCTGGAAATTGGTTCTGGATGAACGTGTCTGCCTCGTCGACACTGGAGGTGCTCTTGGTAACGAATTTCGTGCCTTCATTGGTGTCGTCGCCAAATATCACTGGTACCTTGATGAATTTGCCTTCGTGGAAGAGGCGGTACGTGTAGTCTGGCACTAGGTCCTCGTCAATTGTGGGACCGTACAGGTATAACGGCTTCCCTTTGGCTCCTGGGTTGGGTCTGTCGACGTTCTTCTGCTGCAGAGCACTGACGTCGAGGTTGCGCAGACATGCCAGGGTATTTTGACTACCGTCACATGCAGTCGCAGTTACCAGCGCGTCGTATGCAAATTGACTTTCGGTGACGTTGAGCATCTGGGCAAAGCTTTGTGACTCTGCAGCTGCTGCAACAAACAGGCCTTCGTCTCTGCCACCGTATGCCGAGAGCATGAGAGTCACTGAGGCACCGCCTGCACTGCTACCACCAATGACAACATGGTTGGGGTCTCCGCCAAACTAGAGACAGTGTCAGAACCAAATGTCAAACAACGAAGCCACGAGAAGAACGAGGAATGATGACTTGACCTACTTTGCTGATATGCTTCTGAACCCACTTCAGTGCCTTGCGTTGGTCTTTCAGACCATTGTTCAAACTGCCTCCTTTTTCAACCTCTTCTCCGGCAAGGAATCCGTAGGGTCCAACCCGATAGTTGAAAGTGACCACCACCATATTGTTTCCGGATGCCTTGATCAACCCAGTGCCGTTATAGTTGGCATTTGAATTGACGGCAAAGCCTCCTCCTTGGATCCAAAAGAAGACAGGCAGTTTCTTTGAATCTTTTGCTGCAGCTGCAGGCGCATATATATCAAGGAACAGACAGTCCTCTGAGGTTCCTGCTGGGACTGCCCGGCCTTCACTTGCCGCTGTGGGGATGCATATACTTCCATGCTGGTAGTGAATGGTCAGTAACCACCTATGGATAACTGAAGACAAGAGAAGCATACCTCAGTTGCTTGCTGTGTTCCCTTGACAGACAAAGGATCCTGCGGGGCAGCAAATCGCAGATCTCCTACCGGAGGAGCAGCAAACCGCATGCCGAGCCACTGTGTGACTCCGGTGGATAGTGTACGACCCTCATATCTAGCATAGCCCAGGTCCACCACTGTAGAAGCCGATGCTAGGGATAGCAAGAAGCAGGTATACAAGAAAATAGCCATGGTGACTGACAGTCTGATTGTGAACCGGTCGATACCATGGTTTATAAAGGGCCCCACGGACATAAAAGAACAGCCGACCCTTCCGACCCTTGTCGAAGTCACGGTGACAACGCACAGCACTCAGCTACTGGGTAATACGAGGACAAAGCCCTTGCGGCACTGTTGCTTCTTTGAGATATGCATATAGACGCTTGCGGGGATGGGTCACATGTACTGCAAGGGACCTCTACGGGGAAGAACAGCGTCCATAAAAAACATAATAGACGGGTGTTTTTAGTGGTCAGCGGATTAGTCGGCCTCAAAAGTAGGTAATAGAAAGTAATAGGAACAAAAATCCATGAATGATTTCGATGCTAGAAGGTATTTTATTATAAAAGCAAAGTAGTCATATACACTCTGTATGGAGTTTTTAAGATAAGAGGTATGAGACATTTGAAAGACAACTGAAACCGTCGAGTCTAGTAAACAAAAGAAAAACAAGTACAGGGGTCCTCGGCCTAGATAGCTTCTTTGTTTACGTCTACAACGTAATGGTTCTTTTACTTCCATATTTGTTTCCCAATAAAAGACCAAAGAAATGATTCTACATCTACCCTAGGTAATAGACCCTATACTAAATAATATCAATCCCATCTATATTAATGTATATTAATAGTTATTAATAGTGTACCTAGGTTATAAGAGCCCCATCAATCCGAGCCCCACCGCAAATTCCCGGTTCCCCGCAAAACCCAAAAGCGTTTTCTTTGTCCGCCTGCGGATCTCTCTGTGTTTTCTTCCCCTCTCTCCCCCTCTCTCTCCCCTCTCTTTTTTTAGCCTCTAGACCATACCTTGACTCTTGGCACACCTGGGCAATGGCTTCGGAAGATGAAGACGACTACATGAACATGGTCATTGAGGAGCCCACTCAAAAGGAGACCTTCACCCAAAAAAAGCGCCGCGAACTACGAGAGGTACCGTATCCTCCACATTCTAACCCAACGCCATACCTGTCTCCGGCTAAATTCCAACTCAATTCTGCCAATTCTAACATTCTTTTCCATATTCAGGCCGAAGCCCGTGGCCGAGTCCCATCCAAAGCCGAACGCGCCGCTCGGGAAGCCGTCCGCCGAGAGGAAGCTTTGGCCACAAGCACCCTCAACCCCACCAACAAAGGATTCCAAATGATGGCAAAGCTTGGGTTCAAACCTGGTGGGGTACTTGGCAAACCTCCTACAGTCAGCGATTCTGACACTACCGACACTCCCGACTCTTTCCTAAAGGCGCGCGCTGAACCGCTGAACCTAACCTTGAAAGAAAACCGCGGCGGAATTGGGTTGGACACGGAAAAAAAGCGCAAGCTCCGTGAGGAAGCAGAAGAAGCAGTAAAAAGAATCAAACATGAGGGGGGAGTTACCGAGACCGCGTTCGTGAAGATCGCGAATTGAGACGCATCGAAGCGCAGGTGCACGCTGCGCAGAAAGTTGCAGAGAGGCTGGATGCGGAATCGGAGAGTGGGGTTACCACGGGCGAAAATAAAGAACAAGGGACGGGGTCTTCAGCCGAGTCCAACAAAGAAGGTGGCGCAGATCCTAGTCAACCACGCGACGGACCCGACGCAGCCGCAACAAAGAAGAAGCCAATCAAGGTCACGTCCCAAATCAACGTCCTGTACCGCGGTCTTATCCGTGAGCGGGAAAGGAACGACAGTGATCGCCAGGCACGCCATGCTCTCCAGTCCTCACTCCCTTCATCATTTTTCCCCAAAGCACGGCTACCAGAATACGATGACCCGACTATGGACCGGGAGGATAAAAAGGCCCTTGGCAGTGAACTGGATCAGAATACCTCCACACTGGAGATAGAGCTGGAAGAAGACGACGAGGAGCTCGATGCGTTCAATGCACTAGAACCAGCTGAGCGGTTACGCAAGCTGGTTCTCTTTCTGCGCGAGACATATCGGTATTGTTTCTGGTGTAAATATGCCTACGAAACTGATATTGAGCTGGAAGGGTGTCCTGGCCTGACTGAGGAGGATCACGATTGATCTATCAGAGCTTGTACCATATGGGAACATTCTTGAAACAGCACTAAGCTGACGATTTGGCATAATACCTAGCACTTAGCCCCCCAACCTCTTATGACTTTGTATCCCTACGGAATGCTACACTTATGTCACGGAGGCAAAAAAAATAATTCACTATTCATTATTAACATGCAGCTTCGGTCCTCCTGGTTAAACCATAATATACACGAGGTCCTTGGTATCATAAAAAAAGGTATACAGACAAGAAGAGAAGAAAAGAAAACATAACTAACAGCCTTAACAGGAACTGTACTTGCTGTGCAAAAGATCGTGCAATATATGCTGAAGATCATTCATGCCAATACACCACGACCATACCAACACTTCAAAACGAGAAAGATATCAAAAAATCAGACGATTCGATCAACCAGCTCCTCGACCGAACGATTCTTGCATTTCTGCAGGGTCTGGTAGCACGACTCGCAGATGCGCAGGCAGCAGAACACACAGCGGTGCCGGATCTCAATGTCAAATTTCTGGCAGGTCATGCACGGCATCGGACACCACGTATTCTGCGCTACGGGCATGGTGCGGTGCTGCTGGTAGCATGTAAGGTGGATCTCGTTCAACTTCGGCGCCACAGGTTCAACCTCCGGTGGAACGAAGGGCGAGGGGGCCAGCTCCTCGCGTGGCAGTTCTGGCACTGCTAGTGGCGGTTCGGCGCTGTCTGGGGTCGGGATGAAGTCTTCCAGTTGGGGGGACTGGGCCTCGTCGGCTGGAGCGGGAACTGGAGTCGGAGCCGGAGCTGGGGCTGGAGGCTGAACTAGTGTCGGGACTTGAGGCGGGGGAGAGTTTGTCACTGGAGTTGGCTGTTGTTGGGGCGCGTGGAAATCGGGCTGTGATTTCTTGCTTCGCATGCCTGTCATCCGAGGGGGAGGAGACTGCGTTGGGACGGGGACGCGTTGAATTGGGCGTCGTTCTGGGACTGCATTTCCGGAGGGGATCGGAGGGAAGTATGGGTTGTTGGATGAGGCCTGCGGTGCTGGAGTGTTCTCTTTCGGGGGAAGTGGGAGTTCCTTGTCCGGCGGAGGAGCCGGCTTTGGTGGTGGAGGGGCAGGGAAGGCTGCTGGTTTAGGCGCGATTGACTCGTCGGACGGCACAGAGTCGGACTTCTTTTGGAAAGAGAATTGCGATTTCGCCGTTGCTGAAGACTTCAGAGCTGCGAGAGAGGGCACGCGAAGGCCGCGAGGGCGCTTCTCTGAGTCGAAGATAGCCATATTCCGAATTCCAGTATATACTATCTCTGGATATACAAAAAAAAAAAAATCAACGTCACCAGTTTCCAATATGGGTATTGAAAGAGAACCAAGCCTCTTAAAGAAGGGAGACAAGTAATTTAAGGAGAGAACAATAGGAAAATTAGAGGAAAATCAAGAAAATCAAAATAATCAAAATTAATTTACAAGTTTTTCTCTGAATCCACTCAATTAGCACCCAATTGTTAGCCGATCCATTATGCATTGCATATATAAGGATCCTCAATGCCTATTAAACCACATTCCCCCTCTAACTGACCGGATCTATTGGTTGACGATCCATAGACCTCCTCTAATCTACCCTGTTTCAGATAGTGGGGATTGGATCTGTGGCAATCTCAAAGCGCTAAGGAAAAATAGATCTATCTAGGATTCGGTAGGACTCCGTAGATTATACTATAAGATGATAAGTGTTTATATTTCCCCTGAACTTATAGTCATTACATTCCTACTGATATCATGTCGATCTCAAATTCCCAATGTCATCATCCCTAATACTCCGTACTATCTTAATGAAATTTACATGTCTAATCTCTTGGCTTTCTATGTTGTAGGCTCTTTGCTAACCTATATTTCAGCAAATAATTCAAATCATTTCATATCATTTCATATTTAGTGATCGGGTTCAGCAACGGGTATATACGACCTGCGTTCTCGTGCAGCCTAAATCAGTTAGTCGGTTTTCCCACAGATATATCCATTGGCATTGGCCTACCTCGACATATCGCTCAATCCATGGCTTGCAGGCAGCCCAAGCTAGCAGTCCACCTGTAGCAAAAATGAAAATAAACACCACCGCCTCGTCTTTCCGTGAATCTCGCTCTAGTATCACAGACCCGTCAGCACATCTGATATAGCATCCAATTCGATTCCCCTTGGCTGGTTCACGGGTCCGACAAATCACTTACGGAAGCAAGTCGTGTACACATCTTCCTCCTTGGCGCCTTTGCATGTCGGTAGCTCGTAGTCGAGACAGAACTTGCGATTGCAATCATTGCAATTCAGGGATCGGTATTTCTGAGCGCGTTTGCTGTATTCATCGGTATGCTCAAGCTCGGAGCTGAGAGAGCCGCGCTCGTAAAAGCGGACGTGGTCGATGCCGGAGGAGCTTTCAGAGTTGGCGGGATTGAGGGGGATGATCGTACTATTGGAGAAACAGGTGCATTTGCAGAAGGAGGTTGGAGCTGTAAGCATTGAGTATTAGTATCACACAAATATCGATGCGAAGATGGTGGCATTTCGATCTCCCACTTGGCGCTTGGGGGCCTCGGAGAAGAGAGGCGAGCACTTACTGGATGCTGCTACGAATGATGTGAGAGACAAAAATGTGCAGAGCAGCAGCAGCAGCTGAATGCTGCGCTGTGAGGACCAGGTAGAAAACATCCTGGGCACGCAGTGGGCGATGCGACAAGTCCTGGTTTGGCCGGGTTTAATGACGATGGATGCGGGTCACATGACTGTGTACGCAATGCAACAAAGACCAACCCTGGAGCAGCGAAAGATGTCTTGAGGATTTTATGATTTTTATATTTATGTTTGATCAAAGGCAGCTGACTTAAATTACATGGTATCTGTGTTGTTGAAAGGCTACTAGCAGCCTCGTTATGTATAAGCACCACATCAGAGTCTAGATACACATCATTCAACTCCCCAGCAAACTGGGACTCGAATTTATGACTTTCCCTTGATTCCCTTCTTCCGGTTGTCTCTCTGTCTCTGTTCCTTGGCAGCATCACGTCGCCTCTTCTTCCAGGCGCGATTGTTGTCACCGCGATTCTCCCAGAACCACTTTGCGAATTCGGTTTCTTCCATGCTTGCACCGGCTTCCGCACGAGCTTTTGTGACAGGGCTATCAATCGAAACATCCTCATCATCCGAGTCCTCACTCTCGTTCCACGTCATGTGCCGGGTGGCCGCAGTAGTGTCGGGAGTGGGAGCTGCACTGCGCTGACCTCGGTTTTGTAGGTCGTTCTTCGTGAAGGGTGTGAAAGGTGTCTGCGGCTCAGCCATTTGAGGCTCGTCCTCGGATTCAATGTCATTACCAAAGAAGCTGAATCCAGCCTCGGCTTCGGGAGCTGGCTGGTTATCGGATGCTGTCGGCGGGGCCCGCTTGAAAAGTGCTTCAAGAGGGTGGACTTCCTTGGCAGATGGATCTTGTTCCACCTCTTGCGCAGCCTCCGTGGGTATCTCATCCGAGTCCGACTGGCTCGGTGTATCAGCATCACCGTCGTTAGCCTCTGTAGACTTGGTGGTCTCTTCTTGGGATTGCGGCTTGGCATCCTCCTCGCCAGAAGATGCAGATGAATCTTCAGGGTTCTCATCCGGTTTGCTCTCATCCACCTCGCTCTCCGAGTCACTGTCCTCGTCTGAAGATGAGCCACTCGATGAGGTATAATCTTCAGACTCAGAAGATTCCTCTGGAGTCTTTTCTTTGCGTGAACCCTTTTTCGTGTCTTTGGCGGCCGTTTTGGCAGCTCGGCGCTTCTCCTTGGCCCCTGGAATCTTACCAGGCCGGTAATTATCCTTGGAGATCTTCTCACTGGCGGGTTCTCTCAGATTCCCGGTGGAATCCACCCAGCCTTTTCCATCTTCAAATGTAGCCGTAGGCGCTGCGCTTTCCTCCGCGGTGCGCAGGAAGCTTGGCTGGGTCACCGTTTTCTCAAACTCATGGATGACATTATCCTTGGACTTCTTCTTCTTCTTTGCTTTCTTATCATCGGAAGCTGCGTCGGATACTCGGTTTGGTGGGATCGTTGCTCGGAACAGACATTCGGATTTGTCGGTGTACTTGGACTTGGGTTGCAATTTCTCCTCCTTGCTCTTCTTCTCTTTCTTCTCCGACTTTCGTCTTTCCTGCTTGGAATCACTGGACTCGGTCCAGCCTCGTTTCACTTTGCGGTCTGCGGGAAGCTCAAAGCCTTCCACTACACCGTCCTCGGGCGCTTGCTTCTTGGACTTCTTGGACTTTTTCTTGGCGCTAGAGGGGGCTTCAGGCACCACATCCTCTTCCTCCCGGTGTCTCTTTTGAGGGCGGGCTGCCTCGACTTTGAACTTCTTGCCCTTGAGGATCGAGCCGTTCAACTTCTTCTTGATCTTCTCCGCTTCCATGTTTGGCAGAGTCACGTATCCGTAGTTATTCTCTGGGAAGGTGGAAATCTCGTGGAAAGATATTTCTGTGGCCAAGTTGCGAATAGATGCTGGCAGCACAGACGGAAGGATATCCTGGGTGAAAGGCGTGATATGCAGTCTGGTCGTTTCAGTCATTGCCAGAGGATTCTTGGTAGGCGTGTGAGTGAGTAGGGCTATCACTAATAATGCATGACCTATGGAGGATGTCAAGGTTTCAAAGTAAAATTGGGGAAGATTCCAACGATTCAACACCGCTCTTTGATCTTTTTTTTTTGGCAAAAATAACGTAGAGGATTGATTTTATGCCACCGCCTTTCTAAGGGGGGTGGCTATTGGCTGAGATCGTTACGAGGTTGGCGATCGATGTTGGCCTTAAATGTTGGCCTGGATTGGCCTGAATTGGCCTTGTTGCCTGTGTCTTCCTAAAGTCCCCTCAATAAGTACATGTACATGTGATGTGGTTAATGACTTCACCTCCAATCCCGAGGTCCATGTCAATCCATGCCAGTCCATGCCACAGTTAATTAGGTAATACTTTGAGATCTGCAAAGTGCAGGTAAAAGTAATGCATCTTAGGGCCTATGATGTATACATCCTATTAAAAGTAGAAGTGGAGTGTAATCTGCCCATGACTTGACGATGACGATGGATCAACTGATGATCCTGGGTTGAGAATTAGTAAAAATCTTGCTATTTAACCTGTTTATCCTACATATGCTGTATAAAAATGTGTATATATACATGTTAAGGTTGTTTTGTTAAGAACTATGTAAGAATATATAGTAATTCACATAGTCTAGGCCTTTTTATGAAATAAACAGGTATACTTGCCCAAAGAGAAAAAGAAAAGTTACAAAAATAACAAAAATAACATCCGCCACATCCGATATTTCTTTCTATCTTTCCATATTTTAATCTTTGAGTCTGTAAACATTCTTGAAATTGGGCTTGGGGGATGTGTAGAAATTCCTCACCGATCTCACTTCCCCAGTTACTCCGGACAGATCATAACCCCCCCCGCTCTGAAAGTTACTCCTCTTACCTCCACTCTCTCTTAGCCTCCTTAACTTTCTTAACCTCTCCCATCTCCTTCACCATTTCTACTGCCCACCACCCCCAAATACACCCCCCCCCCCCTTGGGGGCCCTTTCCGCCATATCCGGGAGTTAAAACCGTGACTGTCGGAACTGTCGATTAACCCGACAATCTCGCCATCCTTCCCCTCACCACATCCACCTGGGATCTAAAATGGGAAACTCCCAAACTAAGGAGTCACGCTCCACAACCCCGTCAAGTCGTCGAAGTCAATTATCTCCGGGCGCTTCCGATGCCTCAAGTCGACCGTATCAAGGTTCTCGGTCAGCAAGAGGCAGTAGGCCTGACCTTTCGATTCTTGGAATCGGCAGCAGTCATGATCGAGAGGTGGCCACATTAGAACATCGGCGGGAGACAAAACAAGAGCGCGAGGCCCGTCGCTTGGATAAGGAACGAGTGGCTCGTCTCAAAGAGAGGGAGCGCAGTATGAAGGAGGAGCATGTCGATGGAGGCTATCTCGTAACGCAGGGCGTGTATGTGGGGACAGAAGACTACAATAAGGTAGTGGTGCGCCAACTGATGGTAGGTTTACCTGGAATCCCCCTCGATGCAAATTAGCCAAGGCTGACCGGCTAGATTGAACGCCGACTGGCTCCCTTCTGGAGAGGTCTTAATGACTTCTCGGAGTCGTGGGCTGAGCATCAGATTATGGCGGCTGCACGAGGCATGCCCATTCCCCAGCCCGATGAGATCCCGCCCGAGTTAGAGTACAAATTATCCAAGATCACAGACAAAGCCTCTGCCGATCCGACAAATATTCAGCATTTGACAGTGCCGATCACGTCCAGATCGCAATCTTATAATTCAGATGCTTCGCAGCCCTCCAATCCCCCTCAATCATTACCCTCCGCATCTCCGATCGCATCCGGGACATCCACCTCCCCTCTTTTCCGAACAAGAGCGAAGACCTTGGCTGCTTTAACCACCTCCAAGCATAGCTCACAAACAGATCTGACTCCCCGGGAACTGCAGCTTCCCAAGGACCCATTTGTCAACGGACAGCCGATCGAAGTCAATTTGTACAAAGACGCAAGCGAATGCCCTATCTGTTTCCTCTACTATCCGCCGTACTTAAACCGTACCCGATGCTGCGATCAACCCATTTGCTCCGAGTGCTTCGTGCAGATTAAGCGCCCGGACCCGCACCCCCCAGAGCATGGAGAGCCTGACGCAAATGCTCCTTCAGCCGAGGGAGAGCAAGCTGAGTCGACTGAGTCACAATTGGTCTCGGAACCCTCGGCATGCCCCTTCTGTGTCCAACCGGAATTCGGAGTCACCTATTCATCGCCCTCGTTCCGTCGGGGCCTGACTTATGCTGCAGACCCCAGCGCCCGACTCTCACCTAACTTCACTTCCCCCGTATCCTCCACCTCCTCCTTATCATCTGCCACTGCAGCTGTGTCAGGTCGCCGCCGTGCAACCTCACTATCCGCCACTGACCCCACAGTGGTGACAACGGATAGGATTCGACCGGACTGGGCCACCAAATTATCAAATGCACGAGCCCACGCGGCACGTCGATCTGCAGCAGCCACTGCCCTTCACACGGCGGCGTACTTGATCAACCCCAGTGCATCTGGGAGTGACTCGCGTGGGTTTGGCATCGGACGGCGCGGAATGCGAAGAGCCACCGGTGGAGAAGGGTATAGCGGCCGGACCGCTTCACCCGCCCTCAATGCATTGGCTTTTTTGACGGAGCGTACGGGTTCTGATCGGACACCTCGAGCAACTGGACAAGACACTGATTCTGCTTCTGCCGAAGAAGGGGCGGGTAACCCGGCTGCTGCTCGATCGAGCTCGAGGCGCAATCGAATTGACGATCTTGAGGAAATGATGATGATGGAAGCTATCCGACTGAGCTTGGCCAGCGAAGACGAGCGCCTCAAAAGGGAGGAGAAAGAGGCAAGAAAAGAGGCCAAAAAGAGGGAGAAGGAGAAGGAGAAAGAGGCTAAGAAGGCGGATAAGGTGGCTCGCAAGACTGGCTTGTACAGCAATAATGCTAGCGCCTCCGCTTTGGATGTCCTTGGCGAGTCCATTTTAGGTAAGGAGACTAGTAGCTCATCCTCTGTCATAGGCGAGGATGTCATTGGTGAAGAAATCGCTGCTGGTAGCAAAGGCAAGGGAGTTGACCGTGCATTGCCGTCGACCGCCGAAGAAACAGCTCCCCCTACGCTGCTTGATCCAGCATTACCAGCAAGCCAATTGGCGGATCACTCCGAGCCGTCACGACAATCTCACCTGCGACAGGTCTCCAGCGCTTCTTCATCGTTCTCCTCTGTCATGGAAACCACCCCGGAGGATGGCGCAGGAGGCCCTACTGCTGGAGAGGGCAACACCAACTCTCTTGAGCCAATGTTCAATTTCCGCAGTCTAGCTGCCGTGATTGGAGACGAGGAGAAAGTGGATGACTCTGCGGAACACGTTGAGGATACCTCCAACAAGCAACAGACAGAGGGCTCTTCCTCAAGTGCCGCTCCGTCGGTCCACCAGCCTTTCACGGAGATGAACACTGAATCGGCTCCTATCGTCGAGTCTCGTGTGGAGTCTAGTGATCACTCCGGGACTCACCCCAAGGAACTTGAGGCTCGCTCTGTCGAGATCACCAGTTCCCCCCCGCATCCAGAGGCTACTTCGTGAATTGATTTTGATTTTGCTTTTTTTTTTTTTTTTTGTTTCTTTTTTTTCGTTTAGCTTTCCTTATTTGGTATCTAGATACAATCCGGACCGCATGGCATGTGTGGATTAGCCGGCGTAGGGGATTGGTCACTGGTGAAGGCATCTCTGCTTTATCTTTTTTATATGCTCATTGTTTTTTTTTCTTTTCCTTTTCTGTCACATTGGGCCTTCCATATCATCATTTCTTTCTGGACAAGGATAGAAGTTCTTTGTGTTTAGCATTCAGATCGGTCAATAGTGAGATTTATGATTTCTTCAATATATCCATGTACAACATAAGGAATATGTCCACGGGTAAGTATACACAACTATGACAACTTTGTACATACATAGTAAGTATAGCCTTGAATAGTCGGCCCCTTATGCCTCTGTCCTTGACGAAGTATTTTAGTAATCTGATCCATTTAGCTTAAGATAATATAAGGGACGTTGTATTCAATTCTTCTACAATATACTTTAAAACACCTTTTCCGTATGAAGTTACAATGTACATATGTGGCTGATCTGCGGGTCCAACTCAAGTGATTCTGTGGTATGTGATTGGTTAAGAAGAGGTTAAGGAAAAGCCGAGTGGGGAACCTTGGAAGACTCCAGTGTTTATTTCAGGGTATCTTATATCGAATATGATATTATGTATTATATTTGTATTATATATATTATATTATGGTATATTATTAATTATATATGTATATTGTTAACTTAATAGCTAATTTTTATGAAACAATATCCAATCCATGGATATCCTAGACCATTACGGGATCCAAATAAAATATGGTTCGCCACCCAAAGCCTTTTTATCATGTGGGAAGAAGATATTGAACTACAAATATATACAAGATTCTCAAAAACTAAGTTATGTAGATTTATTTCTATTTATATGGCTACATATGTATTGATAAAGGATCAAGAATCTCGAATTGCTTTAGGTAGGGGTCAGGGTCAGATTTTGTCCGTTCTCGGCTGTGGAAAATAAAGTCTTTTTCCAAGGTTCTCCCCTCCGACTTTTCAACCTCGCCCCATGTTCCACCTTGATTCTCAGTTTATATTCTCCGAAAAACATAGAGAGATTGACAGTCTTGCGATAAAAGAAAAAGAAAGAAAGCGAACCTCCCGCTCCACATATAAGGTACGGGTACAGTGGATAACAAGATCAACTCAACACTACCGGGGTGGATTGCCGTAAGATCTTAGCTGCTTCTGAAGAACTATGGCATTAACACCACAGGCAAGATCACATCCGTCGCCCGACAGCTTTCCCACGGCGCAGCTTTTCCTCCTAGGTATGCCATGTCCCGGTTTTGTACTTCACAATGGCTGGCTAACAAAACAAAACAGCAATATGCCGGGTTGCAGAGCCTATCGCCTTGACTTCTATATTCCCCTACTCGTGGGTGATGGTCAAGGATTTCCATATGGATAATGGCAACAATGCCTCTTTCTATGCCGGTATTCTGATTTCGGCATTCTCGCTCGCAGAGGCTCTGACCGGTATGTTCTGGGGTGCTCTTTCGGACCGCGTGGGCCGGAAGCCTGTCCTTATATCTGGCTGCGTCGGCACTATGGCCTCTTTGATCCTGGTGGGGATGGCTCCGAACTTCTGGGTCGCGCTCGCCGGTCGAGCTCTTGGGGGAGCCTTGAATGGGAACATTGGAGTAATTCAGACAATGGTTGGTGAGCTTGTCAAGCGACCTGAACATGAACGTAAGTCTATCGCCATTCTGTCATACTAGCGGAGTTGAGGATTAATCTTGTATCCAGCTCGAGCATATGCGATCATGCCTTTTGTTTGGTCAATTGGAACGATTATCGGTCCAGGTATGTATAGTCTTCGCATAATGGAATTCTACTCCAAATGCTAATTCCATTCAGCCATTGGAGGCTTGCTAGCAAAGCCCACTGAGGGGTTTCCTACCCTGTTCCCAGTAGATGGCCTCTTTGGACAATTCCCTTACCTTTTGCCCAACCTCGTTTGCTGTGTCTTGCTTCTCTTTAGCATTATCGGTAGCTGGATGTTCCTGCAAGAGACTCATCCAGACATGCAGCCTGGCGAGGCCCATAGGCATCTCGACCAAGCAGCTGAGCAGCCGCTCCTGGTTACATCTGGTGCAACTGCCAATGCTGGCGTGGACCTGCGGGCGGAGTCTTACGGGACTTTTAATCGGGTTCACCTGCATAATGATGAGAGTTGGAATGTGCAAGCCGATGGCTCCTCGCCCACGTGGAAGAAGTTACCAAAGCCCAAAGCTTTCACCTGGCGAGTTACCATGCTTGTAGTTGCGTTGGCTATCTTTACTTATCACTCGATGACATATGACCATCTCTTGCCCATTTTCTTACAGGATAAGGACCCCCGAGGATCGTCACATTCACACCGCTCGCCCTTTGACATCCCAGGCGGAGTCGGTCTTTCAACTCGAACTGTGGGTGTGATCATGTCCACCGATGGCATCATCGCCCTCGTGATCCAAAGCATCATTTTCCCCGTGCTGGCACATTACTTGGGAATCTGGCGGCTCTTTGTCGTCGTTACGGTGCTCCATCCAATCGCATACTTCATGGTTCCCTTCCTGGTCTTCTTGCCACGCCAACTTATCTATGTCGGTATTTATGCTTGTTTGACCGTTCGCAATATCCTGTCCATTATCGACTATCCTATCCTCTTGATTCTCATCAAGCAAGCTAGTCCCTCAGACTCCGCCATGGGCAAAATAAATGGCCTCGCTGCTTCCGCTGGGGCTGCATCTCGAACTCTCGCTCCTCCGATCGCTGGCTTGCTTTACAGCTCTGGGGCTGAGATTGGCTGCACTGCTCTTGCCTGGTGGGGGAGTAGTCTCGTTGCATTAGTCGGCGCTTTACAGCTGTGGTTTATCCAGCGCGATAAACGTTCATCAGCAACCGTGGAGCCAGCGGCTGTTTGTCATTATGTTGCTCTTCCAGAGCAGCCACACGATGGCATCGTTCATATCATTGTCAATGGAGATGATGCGCGCACCGAAGCGGTAATGGTGTCGGACTAGGGAAAAAAGTCGAATATGTTTGTCTTTTTCGCTAGAGTTCTAAACTTATAGAATCATTAATTTCATAATATGATCAACAAAGGCATTTATTACGTATTGTCCTCTCTCATAAAATGTTACATGTCATCCAACTAGTAACAATCCTTTCTACCGATTCTATATTCTGCTAATCAGTATCCTTCTAGCTATAACACCAATAAACAATACTACGTAAAAAGAAATACATGTAAAAAGACATAAAAGGACACCTAGAAAGAATATAAAGGCACCTGAAAAGACATGAAAAGACATATGAAAAGACGTCTAAAAATACATACAGAAAGACATCTAAAGGAGACATCAGAGTAATATCCTGATTATAATTTCCCTAACATCATGAGCCAAATGTACATATGTATCAGATAACTGAACTTACGTTGTCAAAGACAAGAGGTTAATGTGTTGTATCGCCCGAGACTCCGATTAGATAGTGTGGATGCACCTTTCCCAATTAGGCCTAGTTTTGTTTACCCAGCAACGTCAACACGGCAACTATTTTTTGTATACACAAACTCTAGTTACCTTTACTCTACGTTCTTCTTGTCCAAACTGGTTCTGAAAACAGACCAGAGACGACTTCTTACGAACCCTTTCCCCTCTCTTTCTCCGGGGCTTCTCTTGCTTTCATAATGTCAAATCCACTCTCGCCCCTCTCATCCTCCTACCAGAACGCGCGCACACAATCTCAGATGGCGAATTCTTCGCCCTTCCTTCACAAGACCCTTGACCAGCCCTTGGAACATGTTGTTCCCTCAAGCCCATTGAAGAGAGGATGGACAAGCCACGCCGCCCCGAGTCCGAATGCCTATGATGAAAACGAAACCTACTACCCTAACGAACCCGAGAACGAGAATGAACACGCGAATGATGATTTCAATGATGCCGAATCATATCAACACGGTGCCAGCTCACCATTTCAGTTCGATGGACGCGAAGACACCGTAGATTTCCAGAAGCTGCGCGAAATGCGACAGACCTCGTCCCAATCACACCCACAACTTGAACCGCTAGAGGAGGAGAGCCCCGTAAGCTCTCCATTCCGTCCACATGCGACAAAGGATACAGTTGATTTTAGAGAGTTGCGCGAGGTGGAGCCCATGTCTCCTGGCTTGGACAGGCGGCTGGCTCTAGGGGAGCCAATGAGCTCTCCCTTCCGTCCTAATGCCAGTGAAGATACAGTGGATTTCCAAAATATGCACGAAGAGCAGCAGTCGTCTCCTCTGCCATACCCACAGCTTGAGCCATTGGAGGAGGAGAGCGCCCGAAGTTCCCCGTTCCGACCTCATGTCCGAGAAGAGACAGTGGGGTTTGAAAAACTGCGCGAGGTCCAGCCTATGTCTCCTGGGTTGGGAAGGCGGCTAGCTCTAGAGGATCCGGAGAGCTCCCCATTCCGTCCTGATGCGCGGGAAGAGACGGTTGACTTTGATCGCTTGCGTGAAATGCAGAATGACTCGCCAATTCCTAAAGCGCGGCCATTGCCCGATCCCGCTAGTTCGCCTTTCCGCCATGAGGCAAGAAACGTGACATCCGATCCATCAGAACTACATGAGATGCAGCAAGACCCACCAATAGTGTCTAAGTATTCTTTGCCTGCTGTGACACCGAACTCGCCCATCCGCCCTGGAGCACCAGAGACCGCTGATTCACCGAAGCTGCGTGGGTTGAAGCCAGACTCACCGGCGGCATCTAAGCGTTCATCCTTTGCTGCGGAATCGAGCTTGCCCGTCCGCGACGAAGCACCAAAGACAGTTGATTCTCCCAGGGTAGATGCGCATGCGGAGTCACCGGTAGCATCCAACTCCTCTTCCCCTATCCCAGTACCTACTTCGTCCTTCCGGCCAAGCCCCAAAGAAAACACCCTTGATCTTCATAAGTCGCGCCGCATTTCTCGTGCATCCCTTGGGCCGAGTGACCAGCGCTCAATTGCAGCAACTCCCCGTAAAAGATCTTACGACCAAACACCCCAGGATCTAGAGGACGATTTACAGATGAACGAGCGCCATAAGAAGGGTATGGTGAGCCGACCAGATGCACCAACAATTCACATCGATGTCGAAGAGGACCCCAGTGTACTCCATGACCAGAGCGTCATTTCCGCTGCGAGTGCCGTGCACGACCGATCAGCAATTGGCAATAGCATGATAGAGGACAGACACAACGAAGGAATGAGCACAGTACTGCATGAAGATGGCGACAAAGAGAATATTTCATACGAGAATTCGATGGTCGACGACTCAATGGATGACACTTGCTTGAGCACATTTTCCGCCATGCCTGATATGACTACATTTGCGAAGCTCCGCGCCCAGTCGCCGATGAAGTCAATGCGAGGCAGTGTTGCCCCCAGTCCAGCTCCCGCTGTGAACGGGCATCGACACAGTGTTGATCCGAATACCCCGGGCACAGGGGGCAGGGCATACAGAGCTAGTGCCTATCTAGATGGAAATTCGCCTATGGGATCGCCTACACCGAGACCCAGAGGCCCTCGGGACATGGCTCATCCAGTTGACTCTGCCAATCTGCTTGATTTCACTGATCAAATGAACTTCTTCCCTCGTCAGTCCATGCAAAGTGCCCGTTTCTCCCCCTCACGGCGTTCGCCTATGCGATCGGCCCGGCAATCCATTCGATCTCCCGGGAAGATGTCATCACTGTTGGACTTTGATATTCCGGCTGCGCCTCCCCTCGATCCATTCCCACGGTCACCCCCCGTGAATTGGAGTCACTGAAGTCCGGCTTCTTGTCTGACATATCTTCGCTCAAAGCCACTCTCAGCGGCAAAGAGGCTGAGGTTGCAAGCTTAAAGCAAGCAGTGGCGGACGCGGAGAGACGTGTCGGCGAAGCTCTGGAAGAAGTACGCAACGAAGCCGCCGGCAAAGAGGTGCTGGAGATGGAACAGGCCGAGTGGGAACGTCGAGTCAATGAGATGGAAACTGTTCTCCGGTCCGCCCGCTCCGAATTAGTGGAGGGAGAGCGTGAGCGTGACCGCCTGTCTCGAAAGGCCGAAGAGGCCGAAAAAAGCAAGGAGAATTTAGAAGGCAAAGTTGTCGAGCTCGAAAGCCAGCTTTCCGCTGCGCGCGCTGCGGCTGCGTCTAGCACTAGTAAAGCTAGCTCATCTCATCAGTCTTCCCACTCGGCTGAAGACACTGCTCGAGAAGTTCAGGATGCCGTTGAAAAGGTCGCTCGCGAGCTTCATGTGCTCTATAAGGGCAAGCATGAGACTAAGGTTGCGGCCTTGAAAAAGAGCTACGAGTCTCGGTGGGAGAAGCGTTTGCGTGAGGCGGAGAAGAAGCTCACTGCTGCACGCGAGGAAAACGAACATCTCCGTGTCGAACGTGACACTGCGCAATCTGATTCAATGGCCGCGGCTAACACCAGTCTCTTCGCTCGCGAGAATGACGAGCACGAGGCCGAAAAGCGTGTCATGGAAGCCCAGATCAAGGGTCTGCAGCGAGAAATGGTTGCTCTGAAGGACGATACCGAGCGAATTCGTGCAAACCTGGAGACTGAACGCGCCGAGAAGGGCGAGCTTGTTGCTGCTGTTGACGAATGGCTAGCCATGCAGCAGGCGCCCGCCCCATCTCAGCCTCGAGACCGCGAGCCCTCTGTGGCATCTTCTGTGCACAATGACCACATTGACGAGCCAGCTCAGCCCTCTCGTGAAGTCACCCCCGATGACTTCCGTCGCAGTGTCAGTCGTTCTGTGTCTGGAAGCATCCGTCCCCCTGCCACTACGGAAAAGAGAATCCCTAGATTCGGTGCTCCTGGCGGTCATTCTCGTGGTAATAGCGGTGGCAGATCTGGCATTGCAATGCCTACTCCCGGTCGTGGCGGGATCATGAGTTCAATTGAGAGGATGGGCCGTGGTGGCGTTTAGATGTTTTATTGATTTGACTTGGATTCTCCTTTCCGGTTTTTGTTTTGTTTCTTTGTCCTCATGGGTCATTTCCATCTTGATTCCCCGGCAGCAGATGTGATTTGCGGTTTACCTAAATTTGGTTTATGATGTTTATGTCTACTTCTATCTCTCGGCGTCTGTTAATATTGGTCCACGCAGGGGGAGGTTTATTGGAATTGGATCACTCAACAGTGATATGAAATGATGTAACGATTCGAGACGGTCCATTGTATGATTTTCAAGATTATCCTAGCCAGTGATTAAGCGGCTGTAGTCTTGTTGTGTTGTTAGGGAGCATCAGAAGGATCTTGGATTCAGCAGTCTCTTTACAAGTCCCCTATGCTTATTCTGACGCCGAGAGTACCTTGGTTATTTTTCCAAGCCCTGTTCCCTATTCTCGGGTATATATATGCACACAAGGAATCAGCATCGAAATATAGCCAGCTCAGCTCGTGCATGAACAGCTAAAACACCGAAAGACGAAAGATAATGGGGCCATCGGCTAGCTATTTATAGGCTATGAAGCCGAACCGACGAGCACGGAGAGCAAACATGAAGGTCCAATAACCTCCTAGTTATATTAACCATATTAGTTATACCTAGGTAACAACTAACATGTAACCCCCCTTTCCAGCAGCGACTTTCAGCGTAGGGCTCCATCGCTTCCATGCCGACGTTTCCTCGGCTATCGCCAGCGCAGAGCGTTTTTTTGGCATGACTAGTGGACAAATATCTTGCAGTGGCTCACCCGTCCTTGTAACACCTAGCCTATCCATTTATGGTATGACCTTACTGACCAGTCGCGGATATCTTTGCCGCCATCACAGCGTGGTGGATCACTTTTACCCTCGTCATGACGCTCATCATGTTTCTTGGCTTTGGACCGGGGTTATTGCAGGTCTCTGCTGTGCCACTTTCTTTGCGAGGCTACTATTGCATTTCAAGTCAAGGAAATGGCGAATTATTCCCCTACTATGTACCAAGCTGATCGTTTCGATATATAAGTAATTTTGGAATACTCCGTACCGGAATATACAATATATAACCGTGGAATCCTTTCCACCGTACCAGAAAAACAAAAGAAAAAAAAAAGAAAAAAAGATTTTCCCTGGAAATGGCGATTTCTCGCGGGGTGACCGAATTACGGCTTTGACCCGAGTCCCTCTAGGTCACGCGCAAGATGTATATATATGTTATCTCTCATATCCTGAGTCCATCATAGCCAATGATTCATGCTCATTGAAGTTTCCTATTTCCCCCGCATTTGGAGGGGCACGCCATGACCCATAGGATGAAAGAGGATCAAAGCTGACAATACGCTCTGTGGCTGAGACTCGGCTTTCCCCCGGACTAGAAAAACGTGGGGTGAAAACATGCCGGACTGCCGTCTTGGTTTTTCCTCTGTTGGTTACTGGTGTATCGATTGCTTGGCAATTTGGCTGGACTCGATATATTGACCTCGATCTTTTCTTTGAGTTATTGAGTTATTTAACCTGTCAATCATTGTTGACGGTGACATGTCCGAAGGGTACATGCGTGCTCCGCAATCCTGCAGCCATGATTCAATTGAGTTGCATTTTGCGCAAGTTTCGTGTGCAAATGAAATATAAGAGCTTTCATCTCGCTTTTCCGGAACTGAATCGTAGACATGGCGCCGAGTCTAGATGCAAGCCATGTAGTCCGTACGCCTGCTTTAAGCGCTGGATCAACTTTGAGGACTAGATCTGTTATCGCAATCTAAGAGGGTTGGAAGCAGATATTTTTAAAAAATCAAGTATATAACCTTGTCACCTTCCAAGGTGGGAACCGAACGGTTGGGGTTCGGATGGCAAAGTCGGCAATGTACGGAGCATAAGCTTTTGACTTTCCCTTGATTTTCGGATCCAAAGGATTCAAAAGAGGAACTAGGTATCTACCCCAGGATCTGATTCATTTTTTGTCTGGGGGACGGAATATGCCGGGCAGAATAGAATTTCCATCCGGTCCGGAGTAAAAGAAAAAAAAGGGAAAAAAAAGGAAAAAAAGAAAAACCATTGACCTTTGCCATGTTCGTGATTGGCGTCCCACTGGATCCGCTCTGAACCTCGTGAGAGACAGAATTCTCCATTTCATTAATTTCTTGAACTTTAGTCTTGAATTCCAGAGACTTTTAGAGTATGGTGTCATTGTGTGCATTTGAACATTTTGAAGCAGAAAAAGTAAAGAAGGTAGTACTGCATAACTAACTGCATAGTACCTACATAGGACTTTGTATGTTGTACATAACTACTTTGAGAACGTTACATGCATTGTTCCGGAAATCGGCACTTTAGGTCCACGTGAGGGTTAACTCGGCAGGCCGTGTGAAACACGCGGGATATACTCCGTACATAAATTCATTTTGGCCCGTTCAGGGGTACTCCACGATTCCGGGTTCATTGTCATTATTCCGAGGCTCGGATGTGATGGTACAATATAAGATGTAGAGTCAAATTTGAGTATATTTTGTGTACAATTAATTATACAAGAATAGTCGGCCGTGTCAAGTCTTTTTTGGTGGTCGTTTTTGATCTTTTCAGATTCGTCTCAGTCTTTTCAGATGTCTGTTTTCATAGATATTGTCTCCCCCTTCTCGGTTTGTTAGGTAGGCGGCAGAAAAAGGGGGAAAAAGCATACTTTGTGTTTGAGACTTTTCTATGTATAACCTTTGACATAACCTGTGGCGCAGAGTACACAAAGTACAAAGTACAACATTTAATTGTCTCACAGCATTGGAAGAATAATGGCGTTCCACTGTGGAAGGCCTGGACTTGAAGATTAATAATAACATAACAAAGCTGCGTCAAAATGGAGCCTCTAGCACCGTGCTATTACGTAGGTCTCGCCGGGTTATGATATTACATGTAAGGAATCAATTGAAATGTTATATAGTTACAGACATCGACTATAGATCAACCCTGGATTTTGATCTATATTATACGGAGTATAGCATTGTATATAATCCGGAGTATGGATGTACAAAGTACTACAGATATCCACGATATTCAATTGAAAATGCATACAACAATACGAAGAGCGCTGATCGTATTACTCATCGGTCCAGACGTTCAGACGCCGGCCAAAATCATCCCTCCACATGGGCTCCGCTTGTCGGAGACCGGAGAACTCTCCAGTGGCTGAAAAGTCTGGGACAGTCGGGGGAATGTGGGAAAATCCTGTAAGCTCCCCTTTTTTCCACGTTGACCCGCAATCTAGGATCTTCACGAATTTTTATTGTTATTTATTGTTTTGGTTGGTCGGTGTTTCTCGGAGGATGGAGGCCCACTTTGCGAGGAAATGAAAAAGAGTAAGAATAAAAGGGAATGAACAGACTTAAATATGAATAGCAACTCCAAATCCCACATTTCTAAGATACATGAGTATATAGCCCGACTTGAGGTATATGAAGTTTTGAAGATATACCCGACTCAAGATATAGGTATACATGTATGTAGAGAACGAATGATATCATAGACTAGTAGACTTTCACATGGAGTCCAAACGTAACGTGACCGGGCCGAGGGACGGTATTGACCAAACAAAAGCCAAACAAAGGCAATGAACATACCCCAGTCGGACGGGGGGTAGCCCTGGGTTAGTGACATATTACCTAACTGGGTAATTTCTGTAATTTCTGTAATGAATGTAATTCTTGGAATACATGGGGAAAACGGTAATTTATTCCCAGTCTATGGTGTATTCCCCTCAAACCTTGGCTGTTTGCGGGAACCAAAAAAACTGTGGGGGGGGGGGGGACTCAAAACTCTTTGCATATTCAATTAAATAAAAAAGGATCCCTACTCTCTCTCTCTCTCTCTCTTTCTATTTCTGCCTTTTGTCTTCCTTTTCCTTTTCTCTCTATTTTTTGGGATTTTTTTCCATTTCACATGTTAACACATCGTGATATTCCCTTTTCAGCTCTTTATCACATGCCCAGTGTCTCTATATAACTCGAATGTCCCCCATTCGCCCCCGGACGCAATAACCCAACATGACTGATACCGAATCTGGGAAACGAAAGGCCTCCACGGCCGGACTCTCTGGCCATAACCGTCCCGTGAAGAGACGCGCCTCAAAAGCCTGCTGCTGCTGCCGTGCCCGTAAAGTGCGCTGTGATGTGGTTGAGAATGGCTCTCCATGCACGAATTGCCGGTTAGATCAGGTGGAGTGCGTGGTCACGGAGAGTAAACGCAGAAAGTTCGTGGAATTAAAATTAATTCACATATAAACTTCGTTAACATGTGATCTAGGAAATCTCGCGTTGAGATAGAGAACCACTCCGAATCTCCGGAGGCCTCGGAGGAGAACCCTTTCCACCGACTCAGTGATCTTTCAGGGTTGGCCGATTTGGTGCCGACGTCTCCCTCGCAGACCTCGGTGGATTTGGACCAGGGTCAACATATGCCTCATCTGCTATGTTCGTCAATTCCTTTGAAACGAAACTCCTAGGAAACACTCCATTTGGCTGACAAGCAAAAAAAAAAAAACAGATCAAAATCAGGCTCAACGCATTGGCTCCGATGACCACTATCGACGCCGCATGGCCCCGAACCCAACAGTTCCCGCCTCTATGCCATTAGCCAACATGACCTCGCAAATCCAACAACTATTAGACCCCAATTTTGGCAATACACGATCCACCAGTGGGTTCCTCCCGGATTATATCCGAGGACTCCCCGCACGACTCCAGAAAGAGGATATTGACTACTTGGCCGTCAAGGGTGCCTTGACCATCCCCGACGTGGCACTACGGAACGAACTATTGAAGAGCTACATCCACTATGTTCACACCTATATGCCCTTGCTCGACCTGGAGGAGTTCTTGGAGAATATCGTCCAGAACGATGGAATCCACCGCATCAGCCTGCTGCTCTTCCAGGCTGTCATGTTCGCCGGTGTGGCCTTCATTGATATGAAGCATCTGCAGGCCGCCGGCTACCAGACTCGCAAGGTCGCCCGGA